AACTATTTAAAATGACTTGTTCAGGATGTCCATCTCAGATCATTTTCAGGTATCCCCAACCCTAAAAAGCCCTTTTGGCTGACTTTCATCCTTTTCAAGACGACTTATGAATAACTTTCTTTGTAGGAAACTTTTCTGGGCACCTTTAAGCATTAATTTTAGCTATTAGTTGGGTAAGACTGTGGTCGTTGTCTAACTTACATTATTATTTTTTTTTCTTTGTAAAATAACAATGAGCAATATTCAAGCAAACCTTTACTAACTCTTACGTATATCTCAAATTCAGGGCTAACTAACAGTCTCTTTGGTAACACATCAAAAGACATGTAAACAAGTAACACTGACACAATGTCACAAGACATGTTCTTTGCAACAAAATTCAGGCGTAGTGTAGAGTGTGTTGTCTCTGTACATTAGGATACAATGTTATTGGTAATGTATTTACACACGCTCATACAGAGTATATTTACCATTTCAAACAGCAGACGAACCAGTTTTTCAGACTCGCCCCTGTATTTGGATGTGAGTGTGGACGAAGACACGTTGAAGAAAGTAGTCCCGCATTCTGTGGCCACTGCTTTTGCCAACAGAGTTTTTCCTGTGCCTGGAGGTCCGACCATTAATACACCCTAAAACAAAAGCACTGCTTATCATTTTCAAATGCATAACTGAGGCACACGAAGGCAACGTCTTCTAATAGTCACACGACTTGTTGCTATGACAACCTGGATAAACGTCACGCTGCCAGACATAACACATTATCTCGCCGATTTGATAAGGATGGGAAGAAACACAGAAGCACTGATTTGTCATCTTTGGTGTTCAAATTTCATTTAAATATCAGCGATGCAGAACAGAGCTGCCATCCCTGATGCAAATGATTCCTGTTAACATTAGTCAGACATCAGTACCACTCTGATGTTTGACATTTCCAGATTTGTTTTTTTGTGTGTTGTTGCTATGGTGATTACATTTTCTATTTTATGCACTATGGAATAGCTAATGCTTTAGAGTCCACACAAAGCTGCACATTATAACCAACATACAACACAACGCACTTGTGTACTGATACCTCATTTTACAGTATGTTACACATCTTGAACACATTTCTACAACATATTTAAAGAAGAAAAAAAATAGTTATTTGTGACAAGTTCGTAGCAGTTAAATTAAGAAGATGTGTTGCTAAAAAATCTTCACGAGTCAAGCCCGAGGAGAATAATACTCAGAGGATGAGAGCAACATAGAACTGAAGAAGCTGAATTTTTCCACACCCTAGAGTTGGCAGTTTTTTTGTTACTGGATGCATTTTTTTCTGTTTTAACATAACATATGGGCATTTAATTTTGTGGATGATCGAGGTAACTTAAGATAGCAAAGTGGAAATAGGTAAAGAAATGGTTTAAATTTAAGAAAAAATTATTTGGAATTTGGCAACAAAAGAGGAAAACTTGTTGTTGGACAAAAATTCCAGGCACATAAAGGCCCACGTGCAAATATTGGGCCCTCAAAATAATTCCCAGAATATGTTTTATTTTGGCTTTAATTCTGTGTTCTATAATTTATACCAGCAGTGTTATTTGTACCTTCCAAGGTCGTCGAATGCCCTTGAAAAAGTCAGGCATCCACATGGGTAAAACTACTGCTTCTCTCAGTAGCTTTTTGGCATCTTCCAGATCAGCGATGTCACCCCTAGAGTTCACAGAGAGATACTGCAAGTCAGTCAGCAGCTCTGCAGCAGACATGGAAAGAGAAATGTCTGATGCATGGTAACGTACCAGTGTACGCTAGGGTTACGAGATACAATGTCTCTTTCCAGCATGTCCACCAGATCACTGTCGTAGCCTGTGCCATCAAACTTCCTCTCAGCATCTCCTGGCAAGTCTGCCGCTCCTTTCTTTCCCTGAAAATAAAACAAAACATAAAACATAGATTTAAAAATATAAAACAAAACATAAACCATACATTTTTATAATGTTTCTTCAATGACATGTGCCAACATAATAACCGATCAACAGATGAACTCCGACCTTATCCTCCTTGGCCTTCATGCCTCGCGCATCTCGATGTCCAGGTCTGTCTGCTTTAGGGTTAGCCTGACTACGCCCGCCCGGTCCTGCCCCTCGATTCTGCACAACTGGTGTTTCTCTTTTCTGCTGCTTCACTACACTACTCGGACGTTTTCCTGGAACAGGAATTCTATTGAGAAGAAACAGGATTATCAATATACTGAAAAGGATGTTGGACAGAGAAACTTCAGGTATGATTCAGCAGCAATTCAATGAAGCTCGATAAATTGCTCACATGGACACACACACACACCTGTGTTCTGCAGGAATAGGTGGAGGCCAAACAGCAGGGTCCTCTGGTCTTTCTTTACACTGAAGTGAAAAGGGTGCGGCAGCATCAGCTGACCTTCCAATTCTAAAGCTCTCCAGAGTTCCCATGATGCTTTTCACCTGCTCACACTCCTCAGTAAGTTCCTGCCTGACCTGCACAGGAACAAAGTTCAATCAGGTATCTCAGCAGATCTGCACCAATTTTGGCCAATATTTTAGACTCAGCTTAACTTTAAGTCTGCTTTTGCATATTGGCAAGAAATAGCTAATTGCCAACAATTTCTGCTGGATTTACATCAACTTTTTTTGTGTTGTCTCATCAAAAAGATCATTTACAAACCCTGGTTTTCCGACCTAACACTCAGCTTACCCACAAAACTTATAACAAATGTTAAAATACTCACTTGTTTCCATTTAATTTTAAGCGCAGGGTCTCGGAGGAACTTTTGGTGCTTGTCAATCTGCTGAATGACTCCCTCATAGTACACAATGGAGGACTCATAGTTCCCCAGCAGAGCATACTCACGACCCTTTTTTGCATTGTCGCATATCTCTGCCAAATCCATGATGAACATTAGCCTTAATGAGAGGACAATTTGGAGTTAAAACATCAGGATTATGCTTGTTCATTTAGTTTGCAAAACCAAATCACAAAATATATACAAAAAATCTAGATATAGGTAGAGATACCAGAACACTGATAACATCCTAAAAATTAAATATTTACAAAGATGATTTTACTGAATACACATGTAGTGGGAAAAGTTAGCACTGGTCTTTCAGTGAAAGACCAGCTGAAGCTGGTTACTTGTTAACTGTATTTGTAAATTATTAAAAGAAAATGTGATGCATTTCCAAGTGGTAAAACTATTGGGTAACATGTGTGCCAGTACATAAATGATTGTAATTATTTATTAATTTTCTATCCAGAATGACAAGTCATAAGAACATAACAAATGGCTTTAGAAGAGAATTCCTGGGCCATACAAAACTTATTCCAGTGTCATTATTGCTCCCTCGAGCCCTGGTTTGGACGTTAGTGCTCAACTACCAATATCGAGATTATTTCAAACAATGGTCTTCTTAAATAAATACAGATCTTATGCAACTGTGTTTTCTTGACTGGCGTTGAATCCGATCTAAGTGGGTCAGAAGAACAACCGGCCAATAAAAGGCATTTTATGACTTCATGATGATGAAGCAGCTCGAGGTTCAAATGAACCTGCTCCACCCAGGAAAGCATGGCGCTGATATTTACTCGGTAGGGATTGAAATTAGTAATTATAAAACGCTTCTAAAACGAGCCAATATTCAAATGATCTTCTCGTCCGTCGTTAGCATTTGCTAGCTTGACGTCGCTAGCTTACACACAGAAACATACAAATACAATAAGCAGTGCGGAAATGTAAAACGCTGCTTAATCCTGGCAAGAGCACGTGAAAAAACACATCGGCACAAACTAGACAGAGCTTAAGCAGTAGTTACAATTCTAAATCGCAGCTATAAGTTATGTAAAAAGCCCCCTACTTGAACAAGGAATAGTTGTTTTCTGTTATTTCTTGCCGTGCACACGGGTTGCGGTGATGAGTGTTACCATGGCCGCAGAAAGACGCTGCTGTTTGTAAGAGATACACAGACACGTCCGCTGTCGTGCTACCTTCAAGTACTGTCACAAACTCGGAAGTACCACCACCACCACCACAATGGTTGACAACAGCGGTTGGCGGGCATGTATTAAAACAGTTGGTGGTTTTTCATGTAAGGAGTCCCCTTTTTAAATAACACATAAGACTTCCTGAAAAAATTCTTATAATTACTTTTATACATAAAAATAGACTTTAACAGTAACTTACTACGGCAGAAGTAGCCAATGTACATAATACATTTTAAACCCATCTACAAAGTTTCTGCTAGGCATTAAATGGCCACTGGATGGCAGTGAAGATATATAAAAACGTTTTGTTTCAAGTTGTACTGGGCAAGTAGTGTATGGGCAGATATGTCATATATATATATATAGGAAAGCAGTGGTGGACCGTCAGGGCCAGCAAGGCCTTCTCTGCTGGCCTAACATAAATTATGATCATAAGTTGATAAAGGTTCATTTAATTATTTATTTACTTTTCATAAATACACGAAGCATACTTCATATTCTCTCCATGTCATATTAGGCTCCTTCCAGTGTTGATGTTTTTAGGTTAGAGTTTTTATCCAATCAGAATTCAGCAATGTAAGCGAACCGAAGCGAACGGGCACATACAGTTGATAGACAGTTACTCTTGCCAATCAGATCACGAGTTGTTGACTGTAGGCCTTCTAGCTGGCCTCACGTTGAACGTTAAATGTATGCGTCCTGTGATTGGATACTCGCTTCCCGCCGTAAAACAACAAGAAGTTCAACGGAGATTAACCGATTAGCAGAGAGAGAAATCTAATATCTACTCGCTTTTAAATTTTACAATGGCCGAAGGAGGGCAAAGCCTGGATTTGCGAACTTAAATTGCTTAACGACGGCCCCAATGAGACACCAAAGCACGACTGGACACTTGCAAGCAACGGTTCTTCTAAAAACTTTTGGGGACACCCGAGTGGATGCACAGCTCAACGAACAGGTGCGAAAGGGAATTATTGTTGTAACTGAAGCGTACAGATAAACTGTACAACCAGGTCATTGAGGTCTTCTTGAGGAAAGAAAGGAGAATGGATTTTGTAGTGTTTGGAGGACAGCTGTTTTGGTGAGTACGAACATTTTATTTATTTACTTGTGGATTTATTGATTTTTTTTAATGCGTCAGAAAATAGCCCGTTTTGTACACAATTGAGGTGATGGGATGCCTAGTAGTGTTTATAGTGTGTTGTATACAATTTCTCCAGCCGTGGTCACGTGGTGTCCTAAATTATGATATTATGAGAGGTATTTATTGAAGTCGGACTAAGTAGGACATCACTGAAGGCCTCTGTGTGAAATGCACGGCCCGCCACTGCCCATCACCAAAGTGAGCAGGGGCAGCTCAGTTTAAGCTTAAGTTCCAAACAACCGTCAAATTTTATCTCGCGCACCCCCTAGAGGCAGCTCGCGTGCACCACACTTTATTAGTGCCTGACAAATAGCTTTAATAGTACACGGATCTGTTTTTTTAATGTGTTTCCATTACCTCACAATGAGCTTTTTCTAGAATGATGTCTGCGCTACTAAGGCTGCCATCTTGAAAAACAACGTTTTTTTCTAACCATTATACTACAGTAGACACTGTTGTTTGTCATTTCTTTGCTGCATATACTGTAGGTTCTCCTGTAGTCTTAAATTGTTAATGTAAATAAGCAAGGACTTGATGACCAATTCCACATTCAGTAAATGGAAGGAAAAATGTAATGTTACTAAATAAGTGACTGATACAGCCCCCAATACTACAAATTCTACTATAACAAGTAAACATGGGAAACCTAAAAAAAATGAAAGCCACTTTTATTGATGTGTTACTGTAGCTACATAATGAAGGCTTTTTTGTAACATAAAACTGTAAGTACATTTATATTTATAACAGATATATTTCAGCATCAGAGCCATGCTACATATATACTTATAAGAGGATAAATTAAAACAAAATTGTAAAGGAATTATTGCACAGTTTTCTTCACAGTTTCAGTTTATGTACTGGTCCTTTACAACTGCAATCCCCTCTGTGTCTCCTGTATGTATTGATAATGTTATTGTGCTGATGTCAACTGGTTGCAGGTAATTTTCCAAGCGTTGAACACAGCTCTGTACTCGTATTAACCAGCTGTTTTAGCGTTTAACGAAAATGTAAAATTCTGCATTGGGCACTGACATTATAGTGTCACTGGACTGCTTCAGTTCAAATAGAAAAGTCTGTAGTTGTAGTAGTAGTAGTGGATGATAAGATACCTTTGTCAGTTTCCTGTTCAATCTGTAACCATTCATTGTGTCAAGGATTGAAGGTTGATGGAGCGATTCCAGCTGACATCAGCTTACACGTTCCTCTGATTTGCACTATTTTGGACTTGTAGAAAGTCCACATGCACATGGAAAATAATGCAGATGCAACCCGATTTGAACCAGCAAAAGGTTTCTTTGGGGAGTCAGCCTTAGTTTTAGGATAGCCCAGATCAGTGCTGTTTTCCTCAGCACTGTTACTGTCTCTGAGAAACACACTGGCTATCTCTCAAACTTCTTGCACAAACATACAACAGGATTTTAACCTCAGCACCGACAGATTGCCTCTTCTTGCTCTCTCTCCTGCAACAGATGCCTCATATTGCTCTCATTGGGCTGTTTAAGCCGTAGAGGTTTGCGACTCTTTAGCCTATAAGCTATAGTCAGAAAAATAGCATCTACATGTTCCTTCTCAGCAGGATCTTTGGCTGAAGTTTCAAATAAAGGAAAGTTGTAGCTGTCGGCAAGGCATTGCGCAGCGGATGTCGGAACTTCCCGACGTTCTCTCAGGTCACACTTGTTTCCAACCAAGACACGGGGCACCAACGGCCCCACAGAGTGTCGGCTGCATTCCTCAATCCACTCAGGGATGCTCTCGAAGGAGGAGAGGTTGGTCACATCGTACACAAAGATTACAGCATGGACGGTGCGGTAGTAGTGATCCACCATGCTCCTCCTGAAGCGTTCCTGACCAGCTGTGTCCCAGATCTGCAACTGAAACGGCAACATATGCACTTAGTTGTATGTTTTGCATCTCACCAAAATATGAGACAAGGTTTGTCTCATTGGAGGAAGGGATAAAACATTTCCAACACATCTTGCAATAATTTAGCAATAATAGTTTTGTAATTTTCCATGTTGATAATTTTCTAGAGATATGTTTTTGACTCTTTGCAAGTTTGAAATGGAATGTATAATTTTTCATTTATGTATGTTTTGGTAGACATTTAAACATTTGATGGTCAGTTTCAGGGAAGTTTTATCTACTGTATCTTCTTTGGTAGATTTTAGTTATTTTGGTAAACTTCAAGTAAAGTTTGTATTTAATATACATGTTTTTAAGGCATACATTAAATTATTTTCGATTATCCCATATTTTTTGAATAGCTTTTATAGATTTAACTTATAGATCAACTGTATATTTTGGCCAGGTCTATTTAATTTTAAAATCTTTCAAAAGGCTTAGATTTCTCATATATTTTTAAATGACATAGCCTCACCAATTTAACAAAAGCGCTTGTTATACAGTAAATAAATACGCACCACTAGCCAGTTCTTTATGTTATATATTAAGCACAGCATCATGAGGAGCCGTTAGACTTCTGTTCTTTGTGTCAAAAAAGGGTGCTCCGATGAAACCACAATTAACAGCCCTGTTTTCCTCAGGTACTAACTGTCTCTTACCTTGACTCTGTCTCCATCCAGCTCCAGCGTCCTCTCTCTGAAATCCACCCCGATCGTAGCCTCTGGGTTTTTCAGGAAAGCTCCACCGCAGAATCTGTAAGTCAGACACGTTTTTCCCACGTTCGAGTCTCCGATTACTATAATTTTAAAAACCCGAGTCTGAACGGTGTCATAATCGTACTGTAAAGAGAGCTCAAAAGAGTCTTCTCCACTGAAAACTGTGTCAAATTCCTGCCCAGCTCTGTTTACATTTGCCATTGCTCTTTTTCATTATCACGCGGGGCGGCGACAAGGTATCGCGAGAACGTGAGATATGTTCGATTGGACCTGAAACTGTTAGTCACTGTTAGCCCAATTTTATATTTATGAAAGTTAACCACACACAATTAATAACACGCATTACTATATTGATGACAATAAAAAAACAGTGGGATACGAAATTAAAATGAGGGAATCTTTAGGTATCGCGAGAATTTGACAGACGACGGACCGACTCAAACCGTTACTCAGCGTTTTAGCCCAATTACAGTTCACCATACAAATATACTTACACATAACTACATTAATAGCAATAGAAATAGTGAAAAACTAAAATTAAAAATTGTGTTTTAAACATACTGGCTTTAACTAGAGTGGATTGATAAAGGAACATTTAATTTCCTTATCCCATAACTCATTCTATTATTATTCCTGTATTTGAGATAATACTTACTTACTTACTAATGAAACGTATAATTTTGGTATTACCAAATTGTTTTTTAACACATTGTATTTTATGTATTTTAGTTAAAGTCATATTGAGTAGGCAAAACATGAGTCCTGACTTTAAATAAATACTTTGCTATCTTTTGTTTTCCTTAAGGCTGATCTCTGTCACATTGAGAGATTAAAACAACAACTTGTTGCTGCAAACATAAGCTTACATTTTGTCATGTCACATTTTGAAAAGACACATCTAACCTATTTCTTGTTTGTGTATCTGCTGATGTTTCAGAAGACATGAATATACAGATCTTTGTTACACTTTATTTGTCACATACACCAACACTGTTTAATGATCCAGATTTCGTGTTATCACAACCAAACACTCCCACCCTGCCCTACAACACACACCCTCAAAATACTGTCTCATTTCAAGAATCCATCATACTGACCTAACTGTCTAGCCACATTTCACCCGTTTATTAGGTACAAACAATGAGCACTGGTAGCCTTGTAAAAATGTTATGGTCATTTTACTGTTTGATTGTACATTTTGCAGCCTGTGGTATGTTGAGGTATTGCATTATACCAAGTTGTGTCTCAAAAACGATTTTATTAACATTACACTAAAACTTAAGAAAACTGTGAATGTAAAAGATGATCGTTAAAGACAGTGGCTATACGTAATAGCTGTTAACATGCAAATAATTTTTTCTTTAAATAAAATATCTCACTCAGGACAGAACATCACGAAATGGCAGTATTTCTTGCCAAATATGTACCACAAATACAAAATCACATACACATATATACGCTGTTTAAAAATTACTTCAATTAAGTATTTTTTTCCATACCAACATAATTTTCAAAAAGATAATTGTACTCATGGCATTGAGACTTAAACCTGAGTAAGGGTATCGTACATTGGCTATTAAGTTTGATGCAGTAATTTTTACCTTTTCAGTCTGCAGCATACTTTACATAAAAAACAATTTAATTTTTCTTTAGTTTACAAATAAATTATTTAGATTTAAAGTCAAAAACATGTACCACTTATGCAGCAGAGTCACAGTAATCAATTAATCAATACTTCAAATATCATCACCTGTATTGAAGTTTAACATTAAATTTGTGCTTTCAATCAATTTAAGTTAGTTTTTTGTTGACTTTTACAAACCTTTAATGGTAAATTTCAGCTTGATTTAAGATTTGTTTTTTGAATTTGTTTTTACAACTTACAAGTTCAACAAAAATAAAGAAACAACATTTACAAAAACAATGCATATTGAGTCTAATATTGAAATAAGACTCAGAAGAAAGCTGTTTCTTTGAATTCTGGATTTCTTTCATTAACTCCTTATTCATTTATCATCACACATTTTGAACATCTGTTTTCAGGGTAAGAGAAAAGGAAGGTAACGCAGTGGGACCAAGAAAAGTTTGAGTCACCAGAGGAATAAAGAAAAAAAAAACTTTTTTGCCTCATTATGAGCTAGCAGGAAAAATGAAAACTAATATCCAAACTCTATACCTAGTGAAACATAGTGATTCACTATGAAAAATACATTGGATTCATTACTTCAACCAAGTAATGAATTACTGCCAACCTTTAACAGTATTTTTCAAACATTTTTGCGTTAGGGAAAACAGATGCGAGCGATAAGATTCTTTGAAAATACAGTGTTTTCCACTTTTGAGGCATCAAGGCCACAAATGATTCCTTACTAAACCAGGAGCTTTGATTTATCAACACAACACAGCGGTTACATAGATCTTACTGTAGTTGCCATGGATTTTGTTCTCCAGGGAAACAAGATATTCTCATAATCGGAAGAACTGGACACATGGGTTTAAGAACATAAGCCAAGTATGAATGAACTGCTGGTACTTTGATGTTTGACATCAATAGTGGTTTAATATTATCCCATTGCAGATTCCTTCATTCAGCTGATTTAGTGCTCAACCTTCTATTCACCAAAAACAGTTGCATTTCTGTTCTGTACGTTGAAAACATACTGAACCCATGGGTAAGGTTTGTTGTCTCTATTTATGTAATATACATGAGAAAGTGTCTGGTCAATGGCCGACATTCCTTTCTTCTACATAGTCATTAGCCTAGCTTGAAGTCATGAAAAAAACTCCTCTCTCAGTGATCTAATGGCTTTAATACTGACCATAATTATGGATCTGTGGTCTGGCAGAACACTGTAATGCATGTTATAAAGTTATAAATACTCTTTTGATTCCATTTGACACAGTAAAACATTTAAATTCTACCAATTCTCATCTGAAAAAGAGCTTGAGCTGCCAGAGTCTGAGTCTGCATCTGTTAAACCATCCAAGTCCCAGTCAGCACTGGAGCCACTGTCATCATCCTCCTCTGTAGAGAAGCTGTGAGCTGAGCTGAGACATGCTGGGTAGACGCGTGTGGAAACACACACAGGCCCCAGAGTGGACACGTACACCGCCATGATGCTCTTCCACGTGTCTCTGGCTGGGTCGTATTCATGGATGAGGACCCTGTTCTTGTTGTGCTGCAGTAAAGTCTGAGTGAGGAGAAGCAGCTTGTTGTTATGCTGGATTACCTGGTAATTTAGCGCTCGACTGTCAATAGGAATGTCACCCAACCGCTTCCACTCCCCCCTGAGTGGACTGTAGGCTTTAACCACAGGGGTGTCGCACACACAGATGATCTGGTCTTGAAACACGCAGGCTTTATGAAGTTTGTCCCTCCTCAGGGAGCCACAGTGTCGCCAGCGGTTTCTTTTGGTGTCATAGCAGAGCATTCTCCTTTTGTTCACCACATACAGGTGGTCGTTTAAGGCCACCACCTGCATTTTACCCAGAGAGTGAGGCAGAGGAGCCACGAATGTCCACTGATTCCTCTGAATGCTGTAGCATTCCACCTCCTTTAGTCTGGCATCTGTCACTGGGTTCCTTCCCCCTAAAAGGTACACATGGCCATTGAGGTAGCACATCCCAGAGTGTATCCTCCCTAAAGGTCTTTCTGCCAACTCTTGCCAGCTGTTGAGCACGGGGTTATAAAGCCAGAAGTGTTTTGAAAGGTGGGAGGCCAAATACAGGTTGTTTTCTGGAGTGGCACAGGCAATTAAGGACTCCATGGTGGAGCGTTTGTAGTCCTGACTGCTGAGATCCTCTAAAGGAGGAGCCATGAAATAGAGGTCATCTGAGTAGGGATCACAGCACATGATATTGTCATTGGGTAACCCAAAGAAGAGGATCATCTCTTTAGCACTGACACCTATTCTGTTTTTTGGTACATCCTGAGGTTCCAGCATTGCACAGCCATCATCTGCAGACCTGTTAAAAAACAAGGCAAGGTGCTTCTCAATGAGAGGCCTGGACATGAGATCCTCCAGGAAACACCTGTCCTTTTCAGTAAACAGATTCCAGCGAACACACTTGAACACCTGCAAAGCATCATCCCTTCTCTGGGGAGCGTTGGCTTCGATCCACTGCAGAGCTGCTGAACACACTTTTCTTTCACAGTCTACGTCCAAAGTGTCCAGACACAACAACTCCTTCAGCTGGACCAGGTCCAACTCACACAGCTCTCCTCCTGTACACAGTTGATTAAAATTCCTGGCTATGAAAGCATGGGCGCTCTCCTTTAGTTCTGGATTGTCAAAGGTGTCTGCAAACCTCAGTATCCCCACGCAGTTGGACAGATCCAGGCGTCTGCTCATGAAACCAGAGCAAGCCTTTCTGATGTATTCCAGCTGCAGCATGTTGGCTGCTGCATACAACCTCTGGACGTTACCCTCAGTCACAGTCACCCTGCCTGTGTAGCAGTAATCAACGATGACGGACATGGATTCAGAATCCACGCCACGGATCACCACTCTCTTCTGCACGCTTTCGTTCAATCCACCGGTGAACATGCTCTTAAAGTACGGGCTGGCAGCGGCCAGAATGTTGCGGCTGCAAAGGAAAACTCGGTCGGCTTCACCTAAAGCTGAACCTCCAACATCCAACAGGGGCTCTTCTTCACACTCCACCTCGATGGTGACATCGCCCAGCAGCCGACTGTCGTACAGAGACTTGAGCTCCGTGATCAGACCCCGAGCATGGTTCACGTCCTCCAGCACCTCCGGACCACCGAAGCCGCTCAGAGCCGAAGCCATTACTGCTACCTCTGCTGCTACTGCGACCTCAAGGTGCAGAGTTTCAGCCCAAAGAAATTATATTTCTCAAAGCATCACATTTACAATCCGAAATCAAACCTGTGTTGTGCTGTGGATAGACACAGCAGAGCGGTGGGGGTTCAAACCAAAACAACAGTCTTCTCTCTTCTTATTATCATAGTTTCGCGTTTCAATCATATATACTCTACAGCTATTCAGAGTATATAAGATAAAACCCTGAATCCAAACTTCCTTACATTAATTTTGGACTCCACTGTCTGTATATAGACGTCTAACTCTCTTGTCAAACAGCAGCTGTGGTTAAAGTAGTCATGAACTTAAAGCCATCATATCCGAAAACGATTAGTAAAATAAAAGATTCGTATCTCTTTTTCTTTACCAACATTAATTTGTTTTAAAACTCAGTAACTTCCTGATAACATTTAATTGAAACGCATGTATTTTTTAGACTCTACAAATTGAATGTATCCCCCTTAACTTAAAATCAGTTATATATCATCTTATTGTGAAGGTCGCATTGGTTAACGTCCGTTAAATGTCATTGCTAATTCATACAACCTTGCTAAAACAATCCTCGCCTCTGATTGGTAGTGTTACTAGGTCAAATAATGTTTGGCTGTGAGTAACGCTTTTTGAAGTGTACATCTACTATTACTACAAATACCAATAGCAAACACTGTAGACAAAGGCTATACTGCATTATTACACGTTACATTTTAGTGCATTGAGTTTTGATCCTGATTGATGCCATGGTTCTAAATGAATCAATAATATATAAACTGATTGATTTCAAATTACCACATATTACAATAATATGGCTATATTATTATTTTTATTTTATTTTACCAACTCACCACTATTAGTTTGTTTTGCGAAAAAATAGCTTTCTTTAATTTGTGACTGCAAAAAGTTTAACTCCCTCCAGACCAAAAACCTCAGAGACAGTGGAAGAAAAACAGACCCATGTCCTGAATCTTGGAGGTGAATCTTATAGGACATCTACCTTTATTAATTTTGGCTACATCTTAAGTATGTCGACTGTTAAGTTCATTGATTTTGCGCAGGGCATCCTTGTTGTGGATGGTCTTGTGGACGGTGATGAGGAAAGGAAAGGCAGATGGCAGCTCCACTCTCTGGCTCAGCTTCTGATGGCCCCAGTGAAGACAACGCAGCCTTTCAGCCAGGTCTCGTCTGCCAGCTCGCTCCAGTCCATCCCGCAACAGCTTAGTTTTATTGGGCTTATCCCATGACCGCTCATACCTGTGGACCAAATGTGGAGACATATTTTACAAATATTACATGTTGCTTCAATTAACTTTAAAAATGATTTGCATATACTGTACACAAATCTTAAACCTGAATAAGTTTTATTTAAAGAAAATCCCTTTAATATCAATAATCAATATTTCAGTATGTCAATTGATAATGATAATACACTGTATTGGCACTGTAACAACAGTATTTTGTATTATAATTCTGATAAAAATCACAAAGTAAAAACACTTATACGGGTTTGTAACAAAAAGCTCTCTGCAACATAAAAACAATGTCACACTCAGACACATACCAACTCTCCAACATGGTCCTGGCCTGTATTATCTTGTCTGTAGAACTCCGGTGAAAGCAGCCAATCTCTGCCCGGCTGAAGCCCAGCTCATAACCCACAGAGGTCCACTCAAAACCCAGGTGACTAGAAATCTCTTTGAGTGTCTTCAGATTAATGACAGCATCCTAAAACCATTGTGAAAACCACTAATACTGACCTGGTGGACCAACTGCAGATAAACAAATATTAAACCAGCAGCTTGTTTCATATTGCACGTACCTCTTGGGCTTTGTTGGGCATTATCTCAGACTCCAGAGATGCAGCAGTGCAAGAATCACACTATGTAGTTGTTTCCTTCAATTAGAAATTGAATATTTAGTGATTAGAAAAAAACAGAGTCTACAATCCAAATAGCAGACATGTTACTCACCAGTTAAAGTTATGGTTTAAATTATATGTTACTGTGGAGATTCAAAACAACACAATGAGCTGTTAAACATTAGTCACTTCACCGGGGTGGTAGTGGTGGTGGTAGGGGGGTGGGAGGGTTGTAAAAACAACCAGGTATAAAACAGTAGTGGCCTGATGGTTAAGTAAGGCGAATTGTGTCCGAAGGTCGCAGGTTCGAATCCACTAGGCACCACTGACAATGGCATCGTACCCACACAATGTCCCCCTGGCACTCAGCCTGAGCTGCTCCCTGCTCACTGTGGTGATGGGTTAAAGGTAGAGGTCACAAATGAAATAAAACAACAAAAGCATATTTTTAAAGGTGTTTATTTGGTTAAAAATTCACCTCCTCTTTATTTTCTTATCATCCACCAAGAGCCTCTGGGCTCAGTGTGCAATATGATTGCAGCGATTATGTTATTAATAAAGAACATTGAAAATCACAGCATTTGTTTGTAAACATTAATAAAAAGAAAAAGAAAAATAAGCCACACACTTATAAATCACACTTACTTGAACTTAAGTCATATCTTACCTAAATTTAAAGTCAAGCTGATAATTTTTCCTCTTAATACATTGTTTATAATCCTCCAACAAAAGTGCTATGAGGTCCAGCAACCAAAGTGACAGGAGTTTACTGCAAATTCACAGGCACAGGAAATGACTTAAAATCTGACAAGATGCTCTGAAATGGCGGGAAAATAAATGTTGTCAAATTAAATTGCATTGAAACTGATTGAGGCGCGTGCAAAAGCTGTGGATTATTAATGGTAAGATTTCAACTGGAAAAAAGTTTTAATTTCAAATTAAACTTTTATAAATGAATAAAAATACACATCAAATAAGATTCAGTTCACATCAAACAACTTATTAACAGAATACGTATTGCCAGGTCTCTTCAGCAGATAGTCGGTACAGATCCAGCCTGCTGGAACCATACTCTTCACAGTCTTTGCTTAGTCCTTAATCAACAAGAAGTGCTTTGAAGAAACAGTACCAGTCACTCTCTCTCTCTCCTGAGTCACAGCCCAAGACTAGGAATCACTGACAGCAACTTCAACAACCAGTCAGGTCATCCACTAGGCACCACTGACAATGGCATCGTACCCACACAATGTCCCCCTGGCACTCAGCCTGAGCTGCTCCCTGCTCACTGTGGTGATGGGTTAAAGGTAGAGGTCACAAATGAAATAAAACAACAAAAGCATATTTTTAAAGGTGTTTATTTGGTTAAAAATTCACCTCCTCTTTATTTTCTTATCATCCACCAAGAGCCTCTGGGCTCAGTGTGCAATATGATTGCAGCGATTATGTTATTAATAAAGAACATTGAAAATCACAGCATTTTTTTGTAAACATTAATAAAAAGAAAAAGAAAAATAAGCCACACACTTATAAATCACACTTACTTGAACTTAAGTCATATCTTACCTAAATTTAAAGTCAAGCTGATAATTTTTCCTCTTAATACATTGTTTATAATCCTCCAACAAAAGTGCTATGAGGTCCAGCAACCAAAGTGACAGGAGTTTACTGCAAATTCACAGGCACAGGAAATGACTTAAAATCTGACAAGATGCTCTGAAATGGCGGGAAAATAAATGTTGTCAAATTAAATTGCATTGAAACTGATTGAGGCGCGTGCAAAAGCTGTGGATTATTAATGGTAAGATTTCAACTGGAAAAAAGTTTTAATTTCAAATTAAACTTTTATAAATGAATAAAAATACACATCAAATAAGATTCAGTTCACATCAAACAACTTATTAACAGAATACGTATTGCCAGGTCTCTTCAGCAGATAGTCGGTACAGATCCAGCCTGCTGGAACCATACTCTTCACAGTCTTTGCTTAGTCCTTAATCAACAAGAAGTGCTTTGAAGAAACAGTACCAGTCACTCTCTCTCTCTCCTGCTGTGCAGCATTACCCTGTGCACCACTGGAACTTCTTTAAATTTGGTTCTCTCATAGCATTTATTTCTCACTCGTGCCACTTAGTGAACCAGGGCTACATATGTAACCTGAAGACTTAGTAGCAGCCATCTTTCCAGCTGCCGTCCCTCAGGGCACTCAGTGTAGACAGGCTCTTTGGAGGGGTCAGCAAACTGTACACAGAGAGAAAACAGTTAAAACACTGACAAATACAAACAAGATCTATTCACCATTTACAAGGCGTCCTGGACTTACGTCTGTGTTCTGTTCCTACTGTATGACGTGACTGAATTTTTCAGAACTCACAAACTGACATAAGTAGCTATGTTACCTACACTAACACATGGGTAACATCATAATCTAGGACATTGTTTCCAAAAGAATGGGTCGCGACCCTCAGGTGTTTCACAAGTTTTTTTGGGGGAGGGGGTCGTCTCGCATCGTGTTTCCCATAATGTCTATTGACTTGGGTCGTGAAGGTTTGTGACTTTTAAAATATGGGTCCCCAGAAAAAAAGTTTGGGAAACACAGATCTAGGAGATAAAAACATCAGAAGAGTCTGACTGTCCTATATTTCCTATATACATGAGGTCTGACTAAGCACCCCATGTATATAGGAAATGGACTGACTATAGTTTCCAAAATGTAGACTAGAAGTCCTCCCATGGTTTCTAAGGCTACTTTGAATCTACAGGTGGTTTCTAATGTAGAAAATGAGGCCTCAGTGTGTCAATAAATGTTATTTCTACCTGCGTGTTGGTGGAGTGAGTTTGCTTGGACGTAGAGCTCCACCTGTTCCCACGAAGGAGGCAGGACGAGGGAGGGAGCTGCGAGGGACACAGGGCTGCTGGTTAGAGTTGGACTTTAATGTCTGCGGAGCCAAAATGCTGCTGGGTTTCAGGGGCTGAGGCAGTGCAGTGCTGCTGGGGATGGAGTGTAGGCTGGTGGAAGTGGACAGAGAAGTGTTGGTGGGACCCTGCTGCACCGTGGGGCTCACATAGGCTGTTGCTTTCAGAGGGTGACGAGGTGCGGTAGAGAAGTTGGTCACGCTGTGGACTCGCTGGCTGAGGCTTCCTGGAGAAGGAACTTTTGTCATGCAGAAAAATTAGAAGTTAGATGTAGTAACTTCTAGTATTGTGGACAGAATATTAACAAGTGCATCTATAAATGTCTTGCCCTGAAAAGTAAAGCATTTTGTCATTATTTCATGAATAAAAAATGGGCCTGAAACAGCTGATTTATTCACTGACGTGAGGAGAAAAACGGTCTTACTGGAGGAGGACTGGAGTCGTGCAAGTCCACTGGAGGAGTCAAAGCTCTGGCTGCTGCGGAGGGAGGGTATTGTTGGCAGGGAGGAGGGGCCGTGGGAGGGTGGGTTGACAGGGGAAACCAGGCAGGGCATACTGGGAACACTGGGCATGCTGGGAGTTCGGAGCAGGTTGGGCATGCTCTTCCGTAGCTTGTCTATGCAACCAAATCAACAAACAGGGTCAGATTTTGCAGATCTTGACTATCTTTAGAGATTTCCACTGCCTTTGGGGGTTTTAAAGGAATAATCTGATAATAATCAAGCAGTTTTTGAGTACTTGTTTGGTGGCTAAAATTGTTTTTGACTGGCATTATAATGGCTGGAAGAACATTTTTCTTGACATGAAAAACCCCAAAAAATCAAATTTTATTTGGGGGTATTTTTCAAAATATCAAACTATTCCTTTAAGAACTCTGACTCCTGAACTTGGAACCAATAAACTGAAAAAAGGGTAGGCTTGTGAAGGCAGGTTAGCAACACAAATTAGCAAAAGCCAAGGCAAATTCCTGTTTAAATATTTTAGTTTATTTATTGAAAATCTCAAGAGATTTTAAATGCTAACGAAAGATACGTTGTTTACTTGCAACATCTTGAACTGAAGGTTTGTAGTTCGGCTTCTGTAGCATACATACAATATAAAAATAGCATAATTAGCGCATATCAGCTAATAAATGTCTGATCATGTCCAGGGCTTATTAGCCAATGACTTAAGTCTAAGCCTGTTAGCCTAAGTAAGGCTAACAGGTAGATAAAAGAAAAGCAAACAATTGTTAAATTCAGCTCTTATTCTCAGTTACAGCAGAGGAACGGCTAATATTTCAGCATATTTATACATATTTCATTTATGTATAAATACACCAGTAGTGGTGACACTATCTATGAAGCAGCTGTAGTCCTTCAGACACTCACCTGTGCTGTTTCTGTAAGAAGCCTGTGATTCTGTGAGGAGACCAGAGAACTGGGAGAGTCCACTGAGTGAAAACTGAGAGGTGGTCAAGCTGCGTCTACAGTCTCTGATACTGGAGAAGGTGTGAGAGTGGGACAGTCCTGTCCTCTGCATGGAGCCCGCTGGAAAGAGTTCAGGCTGAGGAGGGGGGAGCTGGTCGTACCCCTCATCCTCCTCCTCTTCTTCCTCCAGATCTAATGCACTGCGTCTCAGGGAATGTCGGGAAAGCCTGGAGATGAGTGGAGCTGCGACGGCTGGCTGTGTTTGAGGTAGAGGCATTGTACTCCTGCCTGAGACCTAGGAGGAGACGACGTGGGGTTTTAGACACAAGGAAACATGAGTCACAACATTCATCGCGTTCATTCTTAGGTCAGAGATTGAGTTACCAATCAATGAGACATTACTGTAACAACAGGGTTAATTGTAGTGCAATAAATACAATTTTTTAAATTATCTGTCAAAATCGAAACATGAATTAATAATTCACCAGAAATTCAAGAATGCATTGTAAAAATATTCAATAAACAATCACATAGAAGTAGTCCTCAGTTTCTGGTTTGCCATAACAAACAAATCCAGTGATGTTTAGGAATCAGTGCTGTTTGAAGAACTCTGTCATCAAACCGGTAGCTGCTTATCATGGCTTTAAAAGCTGTAATCCAGCCCTGACAATTTTCTTTGTTCAAGAGAACAACCACCAAGAGAAGAGCAGAAAAATTACATTCATTTTATAGTTGGAAGTGTCTTCCCTGTCACTGAATAACTGTTGTGTGTGTTGTGTTTTTTTCTTCAGAAGCTATGCTGACGCTGGACTCACTCTCCTCCTGAAGTCGAGCCATGACCTCCACATCTGTCATGTCCTGCAGTTTGTAGCCCATAGAGATGGTTTCGTTGTCCAGGTCTGACACACCAGCGTCACTGTCCAGGGAAGACTGAGGGCTGAGGGCTGCATGTCTGCGAGCAGAGCCTGGATACACAGAGGACAGAGATTTTAGCCCAAAGGTAAGAACATCTACACAAGATAATATCGGTTGACTGATATTATCGGCCCGATATTAGCATGTTATGTAATATATGTAAGAATCGGTTTTTCATCAGCTAATGAAAACCCGATAACGCAATGCCTGGGTTTTGCCAAATGATGTGTGCCCTAAAAATAGTTTTGGGGATAAACGGCTGTATGTTAAAGTGGAAGGCACTAGATGGCAGCATTGCAGCTCATTTAATTAATCTCATACAGACAAATAAATAACTATTACCAGGCCTTTATCGGTATCTGTTGATATCCAAATCGGAAATTAAGTGTTCTATCAGTGTATCGGAGATCGGCAAAAAGTTGATATCAGACATCCCCTTTTATTATTATTATTATTATTACAATAAACCTGTTCAAATGTCGAGAGACACTCGAGGGTGGGGATACACCAGACATGTCAATTGCAGAGAACCTCACACTGTTTAATACAGAACATAGCAGAGAATGGCAGCATGAATGGATGAGCACATGAAGAAGACATATGTCCTTAGGACCTACTGTGGAGGGCGGTGTTGGATAGGAAGGTTGAAGCTCTCTCACTCAGACTGTTGCTGGTTCTGATTGGAGCACTGGGCTGATCTGGTGATGCCACCGGAGCTTGAAAGATAACAACAGAAGCAATGTGTTTAAAAGACTACACTCAGAGACAAATATGTTACATGTGTTTTTTTTTTTCAATATGTCCATCTGTTTGAGTGCGTGGGTTTATACTAATCTCTTTTCATGATAGTTGCTGTAATCTGATTATAATCCCATAGTAACAAGTTGTCACAGAGGTATTTGAGATGGAAGTGAATCTCTGTTTTTACACCTCTGCCGCTGCCAGGGTTAAAAAGCCAAACCTTGACTTGTGAAACCTTTTTAGAGGCTGGCAGTGAGTGTTTAGAGTGAAGAGAGTGATGTTACCTGGAGACTCTGTTAGTGAAGCAGATTTAGTGTAAGGCAGGACAGGACAGCTGAGGGTGGAGAGACCTTCAATACAGCTGAAGGGACGGATGGAGGAGAGTCCTCGCCTACGCTTAGCTGGACACAAAATCACGGAGAGTCCTCGCCTACGCTTAGCTGGAAAAATCAAAATGCAAGGAGGAGTTAGTCTGATTGTTGTCGGTCTGTTTCCACATTTAACACATACTTCAAGCATTTGTTATAAATTAACACGTTAATTATTAATCTGTAATGGATTTAGGATTAGAGGGGATTCTACATGTGCACTTTAATCCAATGCAAATATCAGTACCAGGCCTACTGTAGGCTGTAATGTAAACACTTGGTAGACTTTTTATTTTTTTTAAATTAATTTCCTAAAACAAAATCTACAAACATGAACCATCTTCAAGTTCTTTTTCACCACATCCATGAATCATCTTTAGGTGCCTCCTCTTTTCCTCCTGCTCCATCTACTTCAAATAAATTCACTCTTACTTCGATGAACATGTTGCCTACACTGCGTGATGCTAGGTCCAAAGTGTGTAAGCACAGAGTTTACAGCCACTGATTGGTAGTCAGAGTAGCATTCACCTGACAGAGCGGCACATTCTGTATTCCTGACACAATTAGACTGAGACATTGGGACATGAAACAGGCATTGAATTCACAGTTACACCAAAAACTGCTACTGGTGCTCAGAGATAAGAGTGCATTAATGTCTCAGAGAGGGAGGGACAACGTTTACCAGAGACAGAAACATGCAGATACATATAATTAATTCCGTGTGTAACAATCACAGAAGGAGAAGATACATGGAATGTCTACAAAATTATGTGCAAGTGTATGTGCCTCAGCAGTAGAGGAGGTTTGTGCGGAGGCTGCTTAGAGCCGAGTGCTGGACAAATCCTTTTCTTTTTTCGAAAACCCACTTAATGTAAGCATGGTTTCCACGGCAACCATATCCCCTCTGCTCTAGTGCAGAAGAAGTGTAGCACCAAATATGAAACTGAGGCGTTCTGCGAATGTCTGTCAACTGCACAACTGTATTCTAAAGAAATACTGTGTATTTACTGTTAATATTTGGTAAATAAATACTCATACCAGAGTTGACCTGCAGATTTGTGACTAGCACGGCCAAGTGTGCACCAGACTGTACTGACTTCACTATGTAACTCCGGACCAGGCTGCTGCTTCAGAGCAACAAGCACATGGGTTGGAATGTGCGAATGTGTTTTTCATTTACTACAATCCACAGTGCCGCCATTAGATGTCACTAATACTTACAAAGTGGACCACTCACATGATTTAATCACAGTAAATATCAAAGCCATCTCAACCAAATATAGTGTTTACACTTAAACTGAGGACATGTAAAAATATTTCTATACCACTATTTCTATATATGTTGACTCCCTCTTGTTTACTTCTTCTATTCACAGTATTAAAAACGGGCATGTGTAAAAACCTTTTAAACCAGGAGTCCCAAACTCTTTTTTGTGGATCGCAAACCACCCACATGCAGCCCGCAACCTGATGTCAGTGTAATGTAATCTGCCCCACAGCTGTTAGTTTCTGGCCCTTCAATGATGGAAGTAGGAACGGCACCCCTGGCTCATTTGAGCTCATGGAGACCCTTGCTTTAAACGAAGATAGAAACTCTCCGACTGCTGCAGACACTTGCTGTCAGAGCTTATGGTCACATGGACTCTGCCACACAGACATACGTCCAGATGTGGCTGCTGTGTTAATCCTACAGTGACAAACACATACACACACACACACAAACCTTGGTCCAGTCTGTGACCGAGGGTCATCCTGGCCAGCTCCACCTCTGGTCCTGGGTGGTCCAGAACCTTCCTGCACCACTGCAGAGGAGTGAGGATGCTCTCACAGCGCTGTTTGGATTTGTTACTCACGTACAACCTGAAAATGGACGAAAACAACAGTTTAGTTCTGATTCATTGATGTTTTATGACACAGTTGTCACACAGTGAGAGGAAAAGAAAAAAGAAAAAGTAGCCAGGAGGCAGCTGTATTTTATTTGTATTTGCTCTCATACAATGATATTTTATTGGATCAATAATTCCAGGGCTCTGTAAGTGAGTTTTATGTCTGTGTGTGTTTGCATGTGTCGAACCAATCATCCCATAAAGTGCAACATTTCCACAAAGAACAACTGCCATTTTATTAACAAGCTACATAAGCTGTGATCCCAACACTGTGAGATATAAACTTAAGTAATGAAAGATGAATTCATTGCAGAGGTTCTCAACCGCAGGGTCTTGGACCAGTTTTAGGCTGCAGCATTTTACAGCAATTGCTGAAAAATCTTACGACTGTATTGTAAATTACAAGCACATCAGGCTATTGAGGTTAAAGCATAAAAAATTCCGACTGAAATTATAATATTTTATGAATTGCATATTATTATAGCAGTCAAAGTTGGACGTGTAGGTCAGCACGGAATGATTAAAAATGGATGAACTGGGTTTGAACTCGTTTGTAGTAGTAGTGTAGATATAAGAAGTGCGTGGATCTGAGCTGACACTAAAAAGTAGTTCACACAGACGCGAGGTCAGATAGTGAGAACACGCTCACACCGGGTGCATCAGTGTTTCATTTGACTGTGTACTACATTTTTCCGCATCGTCACATCAAATACATAGAGCTGCAGAAACAGCGCTTTTTCTAAATAGAATTTAGTTCAGCCCAGGGCTAAGAAACTGAACACAAAGACGAGCAGTTGGATCACACGCTGAGGAAGCAGGTCATTGTTTCTAATTTGATCTCGGTGCTGTTTTTCTCTGAACTGATACTTCTGCTGCAGAAGACACGGTGCAGCTCAGAGCTGCTGCTGTTCCTGTAAACAGAACACTTCAGCCAGTCTGCAGGTCCGCTGTTCTTAGAGAACAGTCAATGAGAAAATCAATCACAGGACACACGATCTGGGTGATGTGTCGCTAAAAACACTAGTTATTGACAATGTGGCAGCCAATAAGGTAGCCGGTCAGCTGCAATTAGCTCTAATGTGTTTTTTGAAATGTAAAATTTAATTACAGCAGAGCTCATCTATCATACATGTGCCACTTAGGGCCCTGTGACAGGGAAGGGGCCCCGAGTTCTCTTGGCCTGTCTCGCAAGACAGCGATGAACAAATTACATTTATTCTGTTACATTAGGATTTAATACTTTAATCATGAAAATCCCATTGTTTGAGATGTAAATGTGGTTTTCTGGGGCTAGTGCCAACATTTAGAAATCTGGGGAGCAGATGGCTGATATATGATGCATCTATGCTTATCTCATAAATAGAGCGCCCTTCATGAAATTAAGTGTGTGGCAATTGAGTGTACATATATAAGGAGTGGAGGATGCAGCTTGATTCAAATTGTGTAGCCAAGAAAAATCAAATTACCTAACTGGAAAATATCATCTATAACTGTTCACCTTTGTTAAATAATAATAATAAATTTAATAAATAAAATAAATTTTCATCTTTGTTCCATGAGAGGTTGACTTCTCCAAATACTATGGACCAGTGTCTAACACAAGGAAAGTGTAGAAGATGAAACATTTAATAGAAAACTTTAATTAGAACTGTTTAAAATAAATTGTATATAATCATACAAAATACAAAATGAAAGATTGATGATTTAAAATAATTAAAGAAACAGTTATTCTATATATTTTATTGGCTGGACAACTGGGATGAAGTTTTGTACTGTAGATAATATTATTGAAACTACATTTCATTAAAAAATGGTTTATGAAAAATAAAATAACTGTATGATGAAAGTTTTATTTCCATAATATAATTGTACTTACTTGTATTACAAATGATGGGAAAGCCAGTTTATACAGGTGTCGCTTTATAATTATATTATACATTATCATACTATTTATTTACTCATCAGACCCACCTGAAAAATTAGGCTCTGTGTGACCCTTGAACCAAAACGGGTCGGTAATACATGGTAATGCAAAACCCGATGCCCGTTACCGTCATGTTTATTTACAGACTAGCAGATGCTACGTAGCAAAGCCACAAGACTGCAAAATGTCCATTTGGAGCCTCGTGCAGATGCCTGTAATTTGTTAGGGTCAAAAATTCAAAATAGGAAAAATCACCAACAGGAATGTAAGGGATTAGAGGACACATATTCAAGTGTTGCTAAGATCTTGGGTTATTGGAAATTCCACAGCCTATAAGAAAGGTTTTCTTTCCCACAAGCAACACTTGATCCTTTAAAGATATATTTAATAAATTATATAAATATATCCTATGGATCCGGGTTTGTGCTTCACATTTTCTGTCTTTTGGTTTTGGTTTCAGTGAGAACCAAACCATATACGACTAATGGCCCCATAAAATCTGGGACCGGCCCTGACAATGATACAGAATGTCCAGATATATTAGAAAATAATATAATAAAACACGTATACACTGGGTAGTTACCAGCTATCAGGTTCTCCAACTGGGAGCACGACGTTCAGGTCCAGAATATCAACCTCATCCAGAACAGTGGTGTCCGCAGCTCCTACAGCAGCAGCTCCTCTCTGCTCCTCAGCGGCATCAGGAGACGCGGAGCTCGGCTGGAAATAAGAGAACGGCTCCTCTGACGGACTCCGGGTTTCGAGCGCAGACGAAAGGGACCGAATAGGACTGGATATGTTATATTTACTGGGGAAAGTGCCACTCAGACAGTCATCATCTGGATGTATGTGATGGAGATGCTGCTGCTGCTGATTGTGGAGATGGTGAGGGAGAGGGTGAGGGTGAGGGCCGCCGGAAGAGCAATTGTTTACAGCGTTGGCCCTGGTGCGCAATTGTTCATTTTGCTTCTCCAATTTTCGCACCAGCTCCTGCAGCTTCAGCACCTCCAACTCCGCGTTGGTCATCTTATTGTTGCCGTTGACATCTGCCATCATCGGCCTGGGACTCAGCACCTCCGCTTCCATCAGGTAACAAGCACATGGAGACGACGGGAGGCTCACAAACAGAGGAGGACGCACGGCGGCCCTGTGTGTGTCCGCCTGCAGAGGGAACTATTCACAACAACAGAGCGGCTGTCCAGATTTTACCCCCCCCTCACCGACACACACTCACCCTAACACACACTCACACACTGATGCTGCCGCCGCTGCTGCTGCTGGTGTGACTGCTCAGCCTCTCTCTGATTGGTCAGCCGAACTTCCCATCATTCCTCTGCTGAGGAAGTGTTTACGCTCCAAATGCACACGCGTACCGAAGTGACAAAGAAGACTGTGTGCACCTCCTCTTTTGGAGAAAAACACCAAAAATAATCCAGTGTACTGGTCGACCATTTAAAGGCTGGTCTTTGTATTCAGCCACAACATTAATATTATTATGAATATAATGTTCGTAAAAGTGACGTTAAAATGAGATTTGTCTTTGAGATAGACAAAAAAAAGACTACTTTAAGATTTGAGCGACCACTCGTTGAACCATAATATATACAGTGATAAAGTATTTGTAAAAACCTTACAAAAGAACATTTATATGGTACTGAGACAATTTAAAAAGAATATTCTGGGTGAAAACACGGAAAAAACACTTCCTAAAACCCTGAAGTTAGATTAGACAAACAAAGAAAAAAACCCCATTCTGGTATCATTTGCAACATCTCTTTGTTACAGTTACCTTTATTAGTCATCATATCACCAAGGATTGAGGAAGAAAAAGACGAGGCAGAGAACGCATAGGACACTGTCCCTACAGTGAGACAGTGGGTGTGAGTGGGTGGTGGTATAACTGTGAAGATGTTTCACTGCATCTGGACGTAGGAGTCCTAGAGTGAGACTTTTCATTTGATTCGTGGTTGTTGTTGTTTTTTTTTTTGTGTGTTGATACAAATAAGTTATAAAAATGAATATTTTCAGCCAATCTCTTACCAGGTTTCCAAAAATCTAAAATAAGATGCAAAAATGATATTCGGCCTTCTGTATTGTTTTTATATTCTTGAGTTTATCACAGGAATACATAAAGCTAAAGTACTAAAAATACATCCCTATAAAAACTCCAAACCCCAAACCTCACTACTGCATAGAAATATTAAAACCTTCTTTCCAACAATATATGCTGCATGGGTTATAGAAATACTCCATCTTAATATTTTCCAAACACAGCAGTGAAATATTTGACAAAGGAAGGTTATAAACAACTCTACAGCATAAAAAAGACACACCTAACAAATCTGGACTGATTATCTTTATTGCACACAGAAAAAGCCCCCGGCCCTAACTACTGCACTGTCTGTTCATCACACCATACATCAGAAACACACCTAGCAGACGGTGCACTAACAGAGGTATAATTCACCACCTGTGAAAAGGATATAATCAACATTTGCCAAAACACCCAAATTCAGATTGGTCAGCCCGTGTAGGAAAATCAGTGTCACCCAAAATACAGATAGTCATTTTATATTTGATTGTTCGTGCTGCATTGGTGAGGAAGTCAGCGCCTCCATTTCTCTGCAGGACAGAATAAAAACATATTTTATTTTTTCAGCAAAGGAAACATATTTCTGTGCATGAATATTTGGCTTTGGACATGTTTATTTATTTATTTATTTTACCTCTGGTGACCTCAAAGCAGTTCTCACAGTGCACCATGCGTTTGTAAATCCACATGCTGTCTCCAGCTTTCAGGTGACCCAGAGTGCAGTTACACACCTCACACTGTGGGAACACAAACAAATACACACATGAGGGAGGTGACACACGCCGAGCTAGCAGCTGCACAACGTTCTCCCTATCAAATGTAAGTTATATTTGTCTTCATTTCTTCTTTATGCTCATTGACTTTACCTCAGTGTTTCTATTTAGTCAAAAAACAAGACTTTTACCTATCATAAAATGTCACAGCTACAGTGGTCTGCTGTTTCACTGCTAATGCTAATGTTAGCAGGCATTTTCAGTTGAAAAAACAACTTTCACCAAGATTGCACCAAGATAGTTTACTAATATTTGTTAATCTACCTTTCAAAATAACACTTCAAGTGTGTAACCCTCCACCCTTTTTTAATATAATCACTAACTCTTGTGTTGTTTCTCTTAATACAGGTAACCACTGCTTTACAAAAAAAAAAGGTAACAAATAAAATAAAAACTCATTGGTTTACTTTGAAGCAGAAAGCATGGCAGTTGACGTTTAAGTCATTCAGGATCATTTTGGCGTCACCATTGAAGGGCTTATGACAGTAGCTGCACAGGTCTTTCTCCGTCAGTGTTCTGAAGGAAGAGGAGAACAAATTGAATGAATTAATATCCTGAACACAGAATTCACAAATTAGAGAACATTGGTCTGATTTTGACTTGAAATTTAGCCTTGCAAACAATTGGAAAATGCTGGTAAAATCTAAACAACCTGTGCTATAGTTAGAAACAGCAATGACTTGGTTAATCGCTAACTTTCTGGTGCTAAGTAAAAATAAATTAAATTAAATACAAAAAGATAATGGCAAGCTAAAGTCTAGAGCAGCTGTGGGTAAACTCGTGGGCCACAATTGTCCTAAAATTGAACGGGGAGGGGGGTTGGGGGGGTTAGAAGCAGATAGATGCAGCTTTCAGGTGAACTAAGATGAACAAAAGTCATGCATAAAGGCTAAAATGTTAAAACACTTGTATCATTTTATACACCATCTACTGGGGAAACGTGGGTATTGTCGGGTAAAGTCAAAAGTATAATGATAGTATAAATAAATGATATAATTTGGAAAGGTTTGGCGGGCTGGATTTAAAAGCTGAACGGGTCACCTCCGGCCCCTGGGCCTTAGTTTGCCCATGCCTGGTCTAGAGGGACTTTTTGGTGAGTGTTTCCATAAAACTGTATGTGTGTTCATACAGGAATAGGTTTTCAATCATAGGAGGAGTCACTGTTCTATTTCCTTATGTCTCTTCTTACCTCTGAGGAGAGTACAGACTCTTGGTGGAGGATCTAGAAAAAACAGAGTCTCCATTGATGTCATCCGACCTGCTGTGACAGCCACATAATAATCAGCTGCCGTTCTTTTTTAAAAAATTCGAACCATAATGTTTTTACATTCATTTTACACGTCTCTGATCTAATACCTGCTGCTCCTGTACTGCGTTGATGAGTACGAAGAAGGACTGGTGATACTACTGTATTCATAGCTGTAGAAACACAACAAAACCACAGGTTAAAAAACAGGACAACTGTTGTTTTCTCCATTTACAGTAAAGGACAAAGATGTCAGATCCACCTGGAGTCTGGTTTGGTGTAAGAGTAGCGTTTGGTTTCACTGCTGTACTCCTCACTGTGGAGCAAACACAGTGAGGGATGGTTGTTTATCACCAGTCCAACAGTAAGCATTAGGAAAAGCCTTTAACTAAATACCTGGGCTTGGTGCTGATGGTGTAGCTGGAGGTGCGGGTGATGGGAGAGTCATCACTGACCACAGTGTAGCTGTCAGTGAGAGAAGCATTAGAAAGTATGTATATTTATGTTAATGAAAGATGTCAAAATTAAGCATTTATTACTATTATTATATTTCTGTCTTATAAAATATGGATTTGAAGCTTAATATTTGTTGAAACCTAAGTTGAGGGGAATTATAATTCCAGTTGAAAATAATAACCTTTAAAAATCTGGGGGGAAAAAACAATCAGAAAGCACTGCCCTCTAGTGACAACTAGAAAATCTCCGCATTAAATTTTCTATTAAGTCTAACTCAGCTAAATGTATTTAAGAAAATAATTTCGTCTCCATGCGTTACCTGCTGATTCTGCTGGTAGAGGAGGGGGATCTTAGAATTGAACTCTGATCTCTAAATAACAAACAGAAAATGTCAGAAAACTGCCCTGTGTGTTCACGTGATTATTTTGATGATGATTTTCTAAACCTCACCCTCTGCTGCTCTCCAGAGTCAGGATCTCTCTCTGTGTGATGCTTGACGTCCTGTGACTGTTAGAAAGTCTACATGAGTCCAGGACTATAATATCAGAGCTGCTTTATTTCAACCATTGTTCTTTAAAAAAAACTCACGTGGTGGGAGATGTGATCCCTTTGGGCAGGAGGGTGTCGTACAGCGCATCCTCAGCCCTGTTCAACATGAGTATTACATTAGTATTAGAGGTAGAAGTGGTGGTAGTTAACCGGGGTAATTACAGGAGCAGCTGTGATAGCAGTTATAGCAGATAGATGGGTAAAAAATGAAAGTTTTATCTTACGTAGATGAAGTCCTTGTTGATGTCCTAGTTGTATCTCTGAAAACAAGTTTTTTACAAACATTGTAAGTGTCTTCTGTCTGATGTTCTGCATATTTAATGACAGAACTGTATTTCTGAGTACATGCTGTGAACGGCTGCTGTAACTTACATGTCAGGGCTGCTCTTCACACTCACCCACTCAGTACTGGTCACAGTGGATTTACTGCAATAGTATTTCCATTATACTTGTTATTATCATAACCACTTACATCATGAAAGCAGCATTTTTTTAAATGATTTGACAGATTGTGTACCCTGAAAAAAAAACAGATTACATTTTTGTCCAATAGTAGAGACTAACAGGATTACCTGTCTGTGACATCATCGGTGATGGACTTGGGAATGAGTGTGTCGTAGAGTTTGTTCTCAGCACTACAGGAGATACAATACAGTTTGTTAACATTACATCACACACTTATGAATTTAAGTCCATTTATTATTTTTAGAATTATATGTGAAACTTACTTGGTGTCACCACTACTTTTTATAGTGACAGCCTCAGTTGTGTAGACTGTTCTTTTACTGCAAAAAAGAAATATATACTTTATATTTTTGTACGTCATATACTCTCCATATGTTTATACAAAATATATAAATTATTATGGGCAACTCTTGCTTGATTTGTTACTAATAACTAATTTTAGTTTTGCATTAAATGTGTCAAATGTCACCTTTCAGTTGGTGAGCTACTGTTCTTGATGGATGATGGGATGAGGGTGTCGTACAGTTTGTCCTCCGCATCACTGCACAGAAACAAGAGGGAGATTATTGTGATTCAGGTTGACGTTAAATTTAGTTTTTTAATTTTTTTTCAGTGTTGACATTTTTAAAAATGATTTTACCTGTTGCTAGAAACAGTTGTCTCAGTCACATTTGTTGTTTTAGTAGGTGAGTAGCTTGTGTACCTGGACATGTGAAGAGATTTTGCAGTGAAATAAATAATAGTTGCAGATAAAAACTTTTTTCAAAAGTTGTCTGTTGTCTGCAGCTAAAATATTACATAGTTCAGCTAAACAGTTGGACATAAACATGCAAAAGTGGTTCAACATTAGCCTTTATTCCTGTAAGATATTTACTGCCTTAAACAAAAGCCAAAGAACAAATAACTTAAAGTTGAGAAAGTTGAAATTTAAATAGAAAATTATTGAACCCTGGACCAAACTTGCTACCAGCGAGCAAAATACTTTTTTTACCCTTTGCTTGAAGACAAGACTCGCTCACTGAAGGTTTCAGTTTTGGGAGATTTTGAAGATCTGTAACAAATAACATTTAATTATGATTTAGGTGCAATACAACAACAACAACTGCACTGTGAGGTTATAACGTATGCTGATGATCTAACCGTTTGTACCTGAGAGTTTGGGTGCTGGTGATGGTCTCAGTGGTTTTTCCATCCTTGGTAACAGTAGTAGTTGTGCTGACGTGGAGAAAGAGAAGAAATTAAGTGAATATTTTAAGATTGTACTTTGATGTGTACTTATTTGTTCAAAGCATGTGCTGCATGATTACCTTGTCTTTGGGTCTTCAGTGAAAGTTGTCCTCCTGTGATGACAAAAAAAGGAATTGAACATAGAAAATATTAACTTTCCTTGATGAGTTTTGTGCAACAATTTGAATTTTACATACGTGGGAGAAGTCAGGCTTGAGTAAGAGCTGCAAAACGGATTCAGATTTTTTTTTATTATCAACTGCACAAAATAAAAGAAATCAGCAAAAAATGGTTGCATTGAATGTGATACAGTATATAATTAAATGACACCTTCTAGTGTAGGAGGATGAAGTCCTACTGGAAGGCAGGGTGCTGTCAGCAGAAGATAAAACATTATGTCCAAGATGTTCCAAAACTCCAGGGTGAGCTTTAACGTCCTGTATGTCCTATTGTTAGTCACTGTGTCTCAGTAGTTAAATATATAACTGTAATATGTTACTATTTTGATACAATGCTGCCTACATATACATTCTGTTTCCTTTATCAAAGCTGGCACCTCTGCAGAAATGTTGACTGTATCATTAAAACATTTGGATACTGACCTGCTCTTTGGCTCGTCATAGCTTCCACTAAATCTGTAAAGAACAGAATCAAAAATTATATATTTGCCACAAACTTTTACAGAAGATGCAATTTTCAAACAAACAAAAAAGATTACTAGGGATTCTTTAAATTAAAAAATAAATAACTAAATAAATAATAAAAATAAAAAAAACAGATAAACAACACCTCTTTGTAAGAGCGCTCACAGAAGATGTTTTGTTTACAGTGGTAGTAGTGGTTTTTGTTTCCACACCGTCGCCACTATTAACAAAATACAAGAATATATTTATTATTGTTATCATAAAAATATTCAATTCAATTATATATTGTAATAAATATAATTATAATGTCTATTATAATTCTATTTATTTTACCTGGTTACAGTTTCAGATGTGCTGTAACGACCCAGGACAGATCTGCCAAAGTTTGGGTCACGGCTAAAAGAGCAGAGAATTTTATTTTACACACAACCAGAACATCGTGAATACAGGTAACAGATTACAGATCATTTCTTTGCTTCAATCCCTTACTCAATGTCTTCCTCTTCCTCCACATCTCTTTTGATCCAGCTGTTGTTCTTCAGCAGGTTCGACTTCCTCTTGTTGTCATCGAGGAGCTGGCTGGAGGTAGTGGTCTCTGTAAAAGAGACAAAAAAGACACAAACACAGCAACAAACATGTACAGAAATCAATCAGTCAACAAATCAATCAACAATCAGTTATTACAAAAATACCCGTCGGTACTTACTGGTCTGATACGAATATCTGCTCATTTTTGTAACTTCACCTGTCAGAGAAAATCAGAGATTGTTTTTGTAATAAAAGTACAGTAATTGTCCACTAGGTGTCGCGGTAGGCTAAGATTGAAAAGTTCGAGTCCTGTCTTGAAGTGTTGATGACAATGTGTTTCAGAGAATTTGAAAAAAAATCAGTGACTCCTGACATCTACAGATCTACCCAGTGTTTTTATAGCTATTTTTTTATTATTCAACTGCCACAGGTCAGTTCAGTCACAGCAAACCTTCACCTTAAACCGTGCTTCAACCCCCCTCCGACCTCACCTCTTCACCACACACACGCAGATTAGACCTTGAACTGGTTTGTCTTGATCCACCCCCAACCCCAACCCTCCACTTTGCATCGTCAACACACCTTCCCTAAACACATCATTGTCAGCTAAAGCAGAAGTGGTTTGGCCTGTAACATGTCATTAACCTGTGACATGGTGTTTGACACAAGTCTGGCTCAATCACTTTCACATACAAGGCCTGCAGGCAGCGGCCCTCTACAGTCTGGTAAAAAAATTAATTAACCATAAAAGTGACAATAAATAACTAAATGAAAGACTAATCATAATGTCATAATGCCATCGTCCAGACCCAGCATTTGCTTTAAATGAGGCTCCAACTTACTATAGGTTAAATAAACCTGTCACTAATGACATTTCACAGCAGAATATCCTGATGTTGTAAATGCAAATTTAGATTATTATACATTATTTACAAACCAACCTTTTGTACAAAAATGTTTTTCGTGGAAACATTCTTTGATATTATAATTCATCAGACACACCCTCTAGTGTCTCTGTCTGTATCAACATGACACACAGAGCAATTAATGCTACAACAAAACTGTTGCTCCTGTGACGTGGTAAAGGTACATGCAACTCAATAATGTTCTCAATAATGTGTCATAGTCAAGGGTCAAGGTAATGTGCTATAGAGACAAACAATCCACAAGAATAAATCAATGTCCAACTGAACATTCATTCTAAAATAATAATAAATATAATAAATACAAAGTGCAGACAAGACTAGTCAGGACTAAACACCAGTTGAAAGGCCATAAAAGACTCAGAAACAACTGGATGAGTCCAATCGTTCTTATCTGAACTGTTAAAGATAATGTTGAAGTTGCCTGAAAATGTTCCGATTTTTACTTTCAGTAGTAATTCAGGTCACTTGTCTGAATCGGAAAAAATAATGAGCAAATATTCACTTTGGCTTGACAACTGGAAATAATGGAATTTGAATGAAACAGTTCTTGTGATCTGATTGTTTTAGTGTAGTCTAAAGCACTGAGACGTGATTTAGACTAAAAAGACAGACAGCACAGGAGTTATATACATATATAAAATGCCCAGAATATACAAGCAAATAAGAAACACTTGATTAGTAAATAAATATATAATCATTAAATATAGTGAAACATAGACTATGCTTTTTTCAGAGCATAGTCTATGTTTCACTAGATAGTGAAACATATCTACAAGTTTAAGATTTTAAATCAAAATCATTTTACATACCTCCACAGAACACGCGCACACACACCTATGACCTGTCACTTCAGGTTCCTGACACCTGTCTGTCAGCCAGCAGAATGCATCCACACCCCTGACACTCCTTTAGCTTTATTGCTGAGGGAGGAGAGTTCACCCAAAGGTGTGTCCTTATATATAACAATCACAGAGATTTCTCTCTCTCTCTCTCTCTCTCTCTCTCTCTCTCCCTCTCCCTCTCTCTCCCTCTGTCTGGGTGCGGTGCTGAAAGACCTGCAGTTCAACTTTGTAATCAAGGAAGCTGAAGTGTAATATAGAGTCCTTCTATTTTTCTGCTTTCCTGTCCGACAGCCTGGACAGATCTATGTTTTTAAAGAAAAGTGAACTCCTTGTCATTGAACACAGCTCACCACTGCACAGAACCAAATGTGACCTCTGCTTTTAACCCATCACCAGAGTGAGCAGTGGGCAGCGTTCAGCGCCCGGGGAGCAGTGAGTGGGGATGGTGCCATGCTCAGAGCCACCACTGCCCCAGAACAAAATTGAACTGCATTGATCCCATATTTGGGAAATTCTTGTGTTAACAGTAGATATGCTGTAAACAGACTGCCCCCAGCAGGCACCAAGCATGTTGTTCCTCTGAGAATCAAACCCAGGACTCTGTGCTCTTTGCTTCCAGGGCAGGCGTGCTAACCGCTACACTATAGAACCGATTTATGTCGACATTTATACTCATTATAATGTGATTGTTGACATTTAAGGTCGATGTGACTATGTTGCCAAGACTGTAACAGCATCAAGGCTTTCTTTCAGGTGTCACCTTAAACAAAATGGAATGGAATGTGAGGTTACAGCTCCAGCTCTGACTGAATGATTTCTTTTGGTGATGATACTGCAGTGAAACATGTGTGGGAGTAGGATGTTTTGGAGCTCAACCATCTCCAATCCCTCTTTCACTTCCATTCATCTTCTCCGGCCTCTTCTTTTTTCCCTCTTGCTTGGCAGTTCCAACACAGTGGGTCCAAAATATTCACTATCTCTTTAATCCTGTCCATCCTGGTCCTTCTACATCTCCTCTTTTGACTATTAGACAGAGCCACTGTCCCTAATCCATACATTTTAGCAGGTCTCACTACTGTCTTTATCCCTCACAAATCATCCATTCCCCTTTGTCTGCACACTTTTCTTTACCTCTTCTCTGCATGGTCCATAACTCTGGATGGTTGACTTGAGGTACTTGAACTCCTCCATCTTCACTACTTCTAGACCTTGCAGCTTTATCTTTCCAATCACGTTTTATGACCTCTTTAATTTAATACAATTATTTTGTTTTTCTATGCTAAATAACAGTTTTCTCCAATAACATTAAAATCCAGTATCCCCAGGATTGTGTTTAAAGAGAATTACAAACAAATGTTTCAATCTGCTCTCCATTTCATAGAGGACTTACAAAGTGGACTCTCACCCTGATCAAAGGTCTGGGTTGAGGTTTTATAATATCTGAGGTGAACAGTGGCACACAGAGGCAGCTCTCACCACATCATTAACATTAATAGAGAAACCTGCATGTGTGAAGCCGTCGACAGTGCTCACAGAAAACACAGTCTACCATCAGACTTTCAATACTATCCTGTCTGCGCTCTCTCACTGTGTTGCTGGGAGTGCCGTGTTTTGGACGGTCAAAGTTATGAAAGGTGCATAGCACGCTGGGGTGTAGCAGCACATAACTGATAAGTGAACTCCACCTAGTCGTGATGACAGTGGCACAGGAATGTCAACGTTCCTAACACAGTGACATTCATAGTTGTGAACAGGTTATTGAAAGTTTAGAATAAGGGAACATTTGTTTTGGTCCTGTATGAATAAATATCTGAAATTAGTCTGGTCCTGTGAGAGAGATACATATACTAAAAACACCGCTGTAAACATTTAATTACCATAAATGTAAATTACAGCATATTTGAATTATTGTCTGTTTTTATTGTATAATTTTCTTGTGGGTTTTGTGTGTGTTTTTTTTTACACAGACTGCTAACATAGGAGAATATGAGTGTAAATCAAACTGTCACTGGGTGGTGCCAGAGAACTGATAAAAAAAATAAACCAACACGACATGGAATTCAATAAAAAACTGTTTATACTTTCCCTCCCTCAAAAAATGTGTAACTTTAAGTGTAGTATAGTAAAGAAAAAAGAATATGAATTACAAGAAATAACTTAAAAAACAACTATTTAAATGGGTTAGAAAAGGGAAGGAAGTATTGCAAAGGAAGTTTCATGTGTATTTTATGTGTCTCAGACAAAAGAGAAGTATCAAAAAGGTAAATTATTGAACCCTGTTAAGGGTAGCTTTGCAACAATAACACCACTTTACAAGGTTAAAGTTCCAGCTGCTGTATTTCTAGGGTATGCTGCGTTGAGTATATACTACATTGCAATAGAGAGAATACAGAAAAATACTAATCTGCATTAATCCAGTCAAACAAATTTTATTTGATGCCTGAAGCAGGTAAACAGAGATAAGAGAAAAAAAGAGATAAAAAGCCATTCCTCAGATTCCTAGCTATTATGACAAATGCAGGAAACGTACTTACAAACTGATCATGAAGTGGAGACATCAGTGTTTCACAAATCTTGGTCAGACAGACAAATCAACATCAAACAATGTTGTTGGTTGTTTTCACCAATCATCAGCTGGTTCCTGTGCATTTCCACCTGCGTTTTTCCACCACAGCGTCAATGCCTCGTGGAACTAGAGGCCATTACACAGTGAAAAGGTTGTCAGGGCTTAACAACTTTTTGCTGCCTGCAGGCATTTAAAAACAAAAAAAGGGAGGCGATTTGTTTTCACTAATTACATAGCAAACTCGTTGGACAACCAGTGCAAAGATGTTGGTCAGGAGGTGGCGACCTAGACCAACAGCCATTCCAACTACTGTATGTAAAGGTTGAAAATTTGGGAGAAGGTTAAAAAGGAGAGAGTGCAAACCAATCAAATGATTTCAATGGTTGTCACTCACTTATTTTGGTGTTACTGAAAGAGCTTAGGCAATAAAAGTTATTAAAACAATAAGAATATATTTGGGGAAAACAATGGCACCAACCTTTATCTTTATCAAAAATGAGCAAGAGCTGGCATGTGTTATCTGGACTTCTGATCACATCAACTATTTTTACTATAAGCTTCTTAAAGTATGAGATTATTTTAAAGTTTCTTTTCTTCCTGAACAGTGTTTGGCTGGGGTTGTTTTTTCCTGGCCTATAGCGCCATCTCAGGCCAGATATGCATTGTCATCTCCTTCCAATCTTTATGTGGACAGAGCTGATACATCCAGAGGGTAAGAGCTTTGGAGTCTAATAAGCAAAAGGAGGAAGAGTGAATGTCAGCACTTTGTTATATGATGCTTTTACAAGAGTCTTCCACTGGGATCCTTTACTCTACTGTATGAGAACAGTGAAACCCCAACAGCACGATGCTGCAGAATTTAATGCTCATAAATTCTGCTGTTAGGGCTCAGTTGTCATCACCGATGCATGGTAGAATTAGGTACATGGCAAATATTGCGCATGATGCTTTCCTGGGTTGCTATGAGGAGAGTGTGTAGGTTGATACCTCTCCTATCATTGGACTGCTGCAGAGTCTGGCAGCCAATAAAGAAACACTAGAGTCTGTGTAAATATCTCTCACTCTTGTTCTCCCTCTCTCTCTATTATTAAATATACATGCAAATCTCATATACATGGATTTACACTTTGTTTTAAAATAAATTAATTTTAAAAATGTTATTTTAAGTTTTTTATTTAATTAATTCACAGGGACAGGTAAAGCAGAAAAGTTTAAATCAAAACAGTTATGCTCTTATGTACAGTACAAATATTGAGTATTATGTGTATTTCTGTGGGACTGCACTGTGTTACGTGTGTACGTTCTGTTTTATACTGCATTGAATATGGTGTCAGTTAATTTTTGACTGATGCTAACAGGCACATAGGGGATTCCCCCATAGATGTCACCTGAGTGTCTGAATCTTCTGTACAAGCAAAATTCATCATAATCAGCAGGATGTTATAATACATTACTGAGACACTTTAGTGTGAATAACTGTGAATTTAAGTGTGAATTTGATTTATTTACAGAAAATGGCAAGGTAGAAAAGGCAGGGTAAAAATAGCTGGATATATTCATGGCCTCAATCCCTTTTAATTACATTTAGCAGGCTGATTTGGCTACATTTGGCCTTTTACTATTTTATGTTAACATTTTGTTATCGTTTGGTCATTTATTTTATTTTTATTCTAATTCTGCCCGGGTTATTATTAACTTACTATTTTATGCCCATATTAAATTATTCTTTTTGGAAAATCTTTTGCTATTTTTGAGAAGCTATTTATTTTCGTAGGGCTGTTTATTTTTGTTATTTTATCAACATCCTGACCCCCATCCTAAAGTATTACGGCTAACTAGTAGCTATTCTATGCTAGCATTCATGTAACCTTATAAAACATTAGCTTGTTCTGTAAGTGATGATTATTTCTTAAATATGTTCTACATTACAATTAGGCAACAATTATTTTATTATATAATATAGAAAAAAGAAAAATAAAGAAATATAGAAAAAAGAATTCTGAAGGACAGATGTACAAATTTCAAGGGCACTTTACTCCATGCCCTCGTGAATTTTCCGTCCCTCGTTTATATGGGTGTCAGCTGTGTTTCTGTTTCAAAAGTCATTAGACTAATACGTGTTTGAATGCCTGCGAATGATAACGGAGTTGTTAGGGAAGACGCGTGTACAGATCAAAGTATCAAAGGGGAATCCGTGCTCTGACACTGTGTGGTCACTGCAGACGGAAGTACAAATACTGAAACACTGTTGTCAATTCCCGACAAGCTCCTTCTTAATGGGCGCCTTGCAGCATTTAGTAGCTTTTAAAGCATCACACAGTGTGAGCCAATTTTAGCTCAAACTGGGAGGGGTTCTGTGAAATAAATGCACACTTTCAAAATGTTTTGAAAAAGGAAGCTCCTGTGCGTGAAGATTTCCTTTCACACAAGTGGACGCCTGAAATTTATAAAGGAAAATTGGGATTATCGATGTGATTATTTTTGACAAATGTGTTAAGGTCGGGTTTTGGTTTGGTCTGTATGAAAATATCCCGGCAATGCTGGAGACGCAACCCTGTTTCAGAGAGGGAGGGAGGGGAGGGATGATGGAGCTAAGATGGCAGCCTTACTGCTGAGGGTGCTGCTACCGCCTCTCAGGGCTCTAGAATTAATCCGAGAGAGACTTTATCAGACCCAGGACACCGTGGATTTCTGGAAATAAGAGCTCGTCTTCTTTATGATCCTACCAGAGTTGTTGTTATGGCTTGATGAGGGCTCTGTTTCCCCCATCATCAAGCGACTGTGTTGACGCTGGGATCAGAAGAGCTGTAGTTGCGCCACCAAAAGATTGGTGGCTACGAATTTCTTTGCTATATATTACGACAACTACGGTGGATGGTCATTTGTGGTGTTTCTGCGACGGGTTCTGTGACTTGCGGGGGATTTGATAATGACTATGGGATTTGTTATTGACATGCTGTGGTCGCGATAACCTTTTTGAGTGATATATGCATTGTTCTCCTAAACGATGATGTGTGCTGCTGCTGCGGGGGCGGCCCCCGCCGCCGGTGCTGGTGTCGCTGCTGCTGCCGGTGCTGGTGCTGGGATTCTGCCCTCCTCGTCCCCGGCCATGGGGCTCGGTGTGCGGGTGATGTCTGGAGCAGGAGCCGATCTCTCCAGCCTCGGTTCCGGGATAGGTTCCTGTCCGGCACCCGGAGCCCAGTCGGACTGTCGGACGCGGTACCAGCTTTTACTCTCAGGACGAGCTCTGGCAGAACGATACAGGCGGATTTATACCACGGCAATCAATGATAAAGAGCAAGGGATAAATCAAGGAAGGTACGTTGATTTTTTTTTTAATTTTATATTTTTAATGCACAGTCTCAAGAGGCTGTCATTGGTGCTGATAACCATGCTAAGCTAACATGATTAACCCTTGCTCAGCGTTACGTCAAGACCCCCGTTGCATTCGAGTCAAACAGATACAATCATGAGTCATGCCATAGTGTGATCTTTTTCACAATGGTCCCTATTGCCTGCCTTGTACATAGTGAGTTGTACAATTTTGTGAGTTACTTCATTTAAAGTGACTAGCTTGCTAGTTAGCATATTGGCGTTGACTTCCTTAGCTTTATCACTGACAGCTAAGCTAACACCACTGAGGTTAAAACCCACCCTGTTGTTTTCTAAACCTTGTGTTTTATACACGTGTTGCTACTTAACGTACAAAGTGCACAATTTAAGGTTTTTATATTAATAACTAGCTGATGACCTAGCTGTCATGACAGGACATTGTCCAATTTGTTTTCAGTAACAAGGTGCTACACCGCTAAACGTAAACAAACGCAACTAATAGTGTTGAGATTTGTATCCTAGTTTTGCAGAAATACTTAGCTTTTCAGCAAACTGTAAAGCCATGAAGCTACATTTATTGTGATTTGTACTGTGCATATTTTTAGCCAGGGGTGTCACGCTTTCAAAAGCTGCCAACCCATAACGAACGTAAAGAAGTTTCAGCCCTTCTCCTGTTCATGTTAACATGAAAGTCCATTTTTGGGACACAGTCTTATTCCTTAGACAGATTGTAGGTAATATATTTAAATTGAGATTTACATTTATGACAGGGTCTGAATTTAGGACCAACAATCATTTTTTTAAATGTATCAGTCGTCAAACTTGATTTCCATGTTTATCTCTGGTCCCCATCTCTCTCCATCCGTGCGTCCCTATTTACAAAATGATGTTACAAAGTGCACCAATTGTTACCCTTGAACATGAGGAAGTGAAGTACTGGAAATAAAACATAAACGACACTAAGTCCTCCACTGCTTGTGGAAATTATAGTGGACATTGTTTGGGCAGATTTTAAAGTAAATAAGAGCATTGTTAGCACTTAGGAGTAACCTTTGTTGTATTTACCAAGATATCATACACTAGTATTTCAAACGTTTTTGCCACTGCTGAAACTTTTAAAATACACGGCATGTCTTGCCATAAAGAGAATCTAAGGAGTTGGACACAAACACATCTCAAAGTTTTATCTTTTACAAAAAACATTATGGTGTAGAATTTATATTGTTTGGGTTGTAGTAAACAGGAAAATTGTCAATATTTTATGAGAAAGATTTAAAATGCTGTCCAGCTGACAACGCAGTCTGAGAAATCAGCCACACACAGCTTGCATACTTTTGGGCCTCTGGTCAAAGCTCTTCCCTCAGAACCTGAGAATTTTGTAGTTTCTGTTTTAAAGCATTTCATTGATTCATTTTTATTTGAAAAATCAGCTGTTTTTTTCTCTTAGTTATAGTAAATCATCCATTCTATATTTCTCTCAAAACTCACTGCAAGTGCAATTGCTAGATAAGTTTAGTTATGTTTCCACATTTTTATTTGGCTTGAGCATATGTTCAAACCATGACCTTAATATTATTTAAATAATAAGTATAAATGGTTGAAGATGCACTGGAATGTGAATGAACTAAGTGGCCATTATTACACTTGCGTCACTGAAGCCAGTCAGGTTGTAGACTGAAAAGCTGTGATGTGTGCATCTGCATCCTTCTCGTCCTCCTCTCCTCCTCTTTCTTCTCGCTCATAAATTGATTTGTGTTTTTTCATCCCACCACATACATTGGCTTAAAGCCTGAGGAAGTTCTCTGAAAGCACTCAAGATCTGTTGTATAAGGCATCAGATGTTCCTTCTGCTGCTGATGCATTTACCTTCTAATCTTCGACAAGAATATCAAAGTCATACTGTAACTCTTTCTGAGGAAACGGCACAGACAAATGTAGTGTATTATGTCAAAAATGAAACTGAAAACAAGTTGGCTTCACCAGTAAAGCTATTACATCACTTTGCATAATCTATCATTAACTGCTCCACATTAACAGCTTTTGCGTTTTTGTTATCATAAAAATAGTTTAACTATTAAAGATAAGTTGAGTTTTTTTATTAAAAAACGGGCGCCAATAACTATTTATACATTTATTTAGTAAGAATGTTGTTTGTTGGTGATATCCACATTAACATTTTAACATAGGAAAGGCTTGTTCTGCTAATTGATTAGCCAATTGAGCTGCAATTAAATTATTACCTAAATAATACCGCTTACTGTTTCATCTAATAGAGCTATCTCTTCAACATATAAATACAGTAGTACATTTAAAATGTCACCATGGAATGATCAACACCAAAAAGATACATTTCTGTCTATTTCACATTATAGTAATTCAGCTTGTATTGATTTGAAATCAAAAATAGCAAAAATAATTTTGGTAGCAGAAAACTGGAGAAGATGCACATTTTTTGAGAGTGACCGGTTACCAGTTCACAAAAGAGAAGTTTAAATTTGTTTCAAGCTGTTTATGTGAGGTTTCAACATAGTTCTAAGTCACCTCTTCATACTTTCAGGGGAAAGAAGGCTCTGAGTAAGAAGAAATTGAAAAGGCGACAGAAAGTCAAGTCCAAAGTCAAATCGAGAACAAAGGTAAGGAAAGCTCTGTCTAACCTAATACCTACAGTGTGACACACGTAACCATTATTTCTCTGAAATATGAATAAATTTAATTCATATTATTTTACAGGTGCGGTTCACAACAATCAAATGAGATCATCTGTTTGTGTATAAACTGTCATGCTGACAGAAATGTCTCAATGATTCAAGAAATTATGACTTTAATGTACCATTTTAAAAAACAAATACTGTGCTTTATAGAGTTAGACCATCCAAGTAAAAATACCTGACTTTAGGCATTTTGTGTCAAACATAACAACAGAATATGAGAGAGAAAAGATAGCGCTTTCATGATAAAGAGACTCTGTCAGTTTTCCAGTTTGATTTCTACTCTTGCTAAATATATTTGAAATGGTGTTTGACATTTTCTGGTGTAGCTTCAGTAAATTTGAACTAACCTTTAAGACTTGATGAAATCATTGAGATGTCCTTTAATTGAGGTATATATTAATGAATTGTGTAAAAAAGACATTATGTGCACTGGTTAACAACAGTTTCCCTTTATGTATGGTTGTATTTTTAGGATCTTTTTTATGCAGGTTTCTGTGAAATGTAACCTCATTTGGAGCCTCAGTCTTGTCTAGTGGACTGTCCAACTCTAAGCTCCCACAACTAATACATACTGACAAATGAATCTAATGTTATTTGTGAGGCCAGTGCCTTGTTTTATGTTTTTCTTGTAGAAATATTATTATTATTATTAACAATATTGTATTATTTTACTACAGCCACCTAACACTTATGGCAGGGCTTTAACTTTGTTGTTTTTTAAGTAACATTAACACTGAGGGAAATAAATCCCCAGAGATTAATTGTCAGTGTCAGAGTTTCATGTAAGGACTGATTATTCTTTACAGCTATCTCGAGATTGGAGTAGTATTAGATCTAAAAATAGATTATCTGCTGCTGTTCAGGTGCTGTGCAGAGTCATTATTTTTGATTGTGGGGTTGGTCAGGTGTCGAGGAGCTCATCCTCACACCAAGCCACTGTAGAGATGGATGAAGGCAGAGTGTGAGACAAATAGGAGGGGCCCCTGGCTCATGCACAGTGTCTTGTTGCCAAGCAACCTGATGTGATCCGCATCACCGTGGCAACCGTTACCGACCTCCATCTCCTTCATCCGAAGCGGGAGCTAAGTCAGCTAACAGAGGGTGCAGTTGTTTTTTGACTTTCAAAATTGTGTTTTGGTTGAGCACTGCAGAGTTACTGTTGGATTTCATGTGGATTTTTAAAGGTTGCAGATTTTCAATCCATATTTAGTTGGTTCAGAGGTGGCAAAAATAAAATCAGGTTTCTAAAAACCTTGACCAACAATAGACAGTTTATTGTTTATCCACACACAGTAAAAAAAAAAATTAGATGGCAAAAAAACCTTAAAAGTAAGTTCTGAAATATAAAAACAAAGATGTATCTTATAACAAAATTGAAAAAAATACAATGTTCTATAAGGCAACTAGATTTAGTTTGCTAGTCAAATATTAAGCATAGGCCTATCAGAGAAATAACTTATGTTCACTTGACTACTAAAATGTGCAAAATATAGGCAAAGGATAGCTAGGGGAAAACTTAACAATAAAAGGGTTACAATTTACCAACTACACTGAAAGTGCAGAGAAATTTCGCAATACTACTGAAATTTCTGAACCTGAAAAGGTCTGAAAGGTCATCTCGATGCTTGATGAATGATTGAGGCTATTCTGTGATGAAACCTTTTCTGTTGTACTGAAAGTTCATGCCTAGGTTTAACCTTTTGGTTTGTAGATGAAAGCAAAGAGATGTGATTTTGGTAGAAATTTAACTATGAGTGAAATATTTTATGAAGCTAAGTTGCTTCGTGAGTTGATGTCCTGGAACATTTTTTTTAGATTATATATATATATATATTTATAGACTACAGTAAATAGAGGTGGAGGCTGTAAAAACGTCCAGCAGAGGGGGTGGGATGAAACAAGAGTTGTTACATGAGTGGTGCTACTTCATTTTTTTAATATTAATCATCCTTTTAACTCTTTCCAGCCTCGTACTCTGTGGCACAGTGGAAAAGGGGCAAGACTTCAAAGGGCCTCTCACTGTTTTGTCTGTGTCTGTGCATAAAAACATGTAAGAGTGTATTCAGCGCAAAATCAAAGACCACCATCATCCTAATTAGAGGGGAAATGAATGTTTTCTGTCTGCAGGAAAGCAAGTGAGGAACAAATAAATTATAAATGATATAAAGGGCCACGCAGTGGTAGGAGTTGTTTGTGCTCCTGCCTTACATCAAGAGGTTTACATCGCAATCGGTTCCATGTACTTGTGTCTGTGCCTTATATTTAACCAACCTCATATTTCAGATTTTGTGGTCTTCAGCCGAAAAAGTGAATTAAAAGCGTGAACACGCCCTTCATTCCTAAGCAGTATAAATAATGGATAACTAGTGATAAATCATAGTAGCAAAAATTAAAAATGTGCTCTCAGGAAACAGAATACCAAGGTTTGGACTCAAAGGGACTTTAATGTATTTCACTCTGTCTTGACTGTATGGGGGGACGTCTTAAGTGCGGTCTCACAACAGCCTTTTTCCAAGGCTTTTACATGATCATTAAGTCATTGTTGAAGCACGTTCACAAACAGAAAATATACCACTGTTGGATCCATGATCACGAGGAAGAAATTGAAGTGTTGAATGACCTAGCCTTCCAATAATTCTCTAATTTTAACACAATAGTGATCTATTTCTAATGTATGTTTAAACTGTACACAAACACAGCATTGTTAAGTCTGAAATGCAAAACTTCATTTTTTATCAGTTTTTAGTGTCTTCATTGAATACAACCCTTTAACATGCTCACTGGTAGTAAAGAAGAAATAAATTCTTTAGTTTAGAAGCTGCTTATGTTCTTGCTCAGGAGGAACAATCTCACTTGCTGTTTGGTTCTTTAAGTGATAAGCATTTATAGACCATTTCTCCTTGCAGTTTTACTTGAGCTCAGCCATATGGATGTCTGGCTTGAAGTGTTCTCTGGAGGTCATTCAACAGTATCTCTACTACGTTTATAGGCTGCTGCCGCTTTTGCTGAATCACAAACTCCCTCAGAGCTTCAGCTGGTGATCAGCTACTCTGACATCATCCAGTAGCACCTATGAGAACCTCCTAAATATTAGCCCTAACCCCTTAAAAGCTGTTTAGCCCTTGATAGGAACATGCACAAAAATTGATAAGAATAGGTGATCATGGGGAACATATTTACTAAATGTTTATTTTTGACTCTTCAATGGTTCAATATTAGTGTGATAATTTTTATTATATTATACTGTATATGTTTAGCCTCCACAAGTAGGTCAGAGGTCATTAAAGGGCATTTATAGAATTTACCAGTGAGATTAACTATATTTAGTGTCATTAAATTAATTTTTCTGGAACCATCTTGTGAATGTGAATTTCCTATATCAGTACCTTGGTCTTTATTTCTTTATTTTAGTCATCTCTGCCTTTTGAACTAAAGTGCTTTTTCCAAGGAGTTTGTGAATGCCTTGCAGTCTCTAGGTCACAATGTAATGTACATTAGCAGCAGAGCAGGAGAGCAGCAGACTGCGCTGTTAGATGAGAGGGCAGCTAATACCCTCCTCCCTGGTGGATTGAGCTTGAGAACGAATGACGCCCTTCTCCCTGAACAGATGACATCACCTACTATGATTGTGATGCCAAAAGTGCAGCGCTGCAAGAGAAGCACGGCCGATCGATCAGTGTGCGTCAGGACTGTATTTTAAAAAAGTACAGGGGAGAAAGCTTATCACAGAGTTTATCAAGTTACTCTGTAATGTCTAGTTAATGTAATCTTAATGATTAGTTGGATGATGCAGGTCATTTCTCTGAATAGAGGTTTGTCTTTCCAACTGGTCTGCATGCTGATGTGTCCCTGTGAAAAAATAATGAATGCACTAGTGGTCATACTCATTCATTGGGTTTCCTGCTGCCTATATCCTTCTAGTTCTAGGTCATATGTCAGGGCAATGAGTCTAAAAGACTCGGTCTCTCATTAAAGCAGGGTTGGGATTATGCCAACACAAATAGATTGAACTCTTCAACACCTACCATGTTTTATTTTGGTCACTTTTATCTTGGACTAACACAGTAGCATTTGTACAAACTCCTTGGTATAGTTATTTATTTCCTCTCAGTTATGCAAACCTGTCTGCAGAGAAACAGATGGTTTAAAGCTATGGTTGAATAAAATGAATGGTTTGTGTTGGTGATTGTCAAATAGTTAAGGAGTACATTAAAATCACCAAATTTAGCAAATATAAGTGAAGTTTTACCAAAATATACCCCATAAGACATGGTGGTTTTCAGAAAAGAAAGCTTAAAGGTTAAAGTAGTTAGAGTGTAATTCAGTTTGCTTAAGCTAAGCAAATAGTATTAAATAATATTTAAAATAGTCATCGTAATTTATACATTTATTTTTTTTAACAATCCTTAACCTTTTACTGCAGTACATTAGGCCTCTGTGTTTGTATTCCATACAAATTCTCCTTTTTTTAAACTGTATTTTGATAGTAGAATAGAACTATTTTTTTAGCAAAACACACTATTTTCTTTGGTGGATCAACTTTGACTCCTTTTTATAACAAAGCCATCTCATAAGAATGCCTTTTTGCTGCTTCTTCATGATCTGTTTTTGTTTCCACAGGCTGAGAGCATAGATGGAGCCCTCTTTGTACCGGACATCAAGCTACACAGCAACCCGTCAGCGTTCAACGTCTACTGCAACGTGCGGCACTGTGTGCTGGACTGGCAGCAGAGAGAGGCCTCCCTGGCTCTGGCCTCCAGGAGCTCAGTGCAGAGCGGAGACTCAGATAGCGAGGAGGAGGAGGAGTACCGTGAGCCAGCCGTCAAGCTGCCAAAGGTATGAGCAAAGGGTAACAGTGGTGGATTAGATGGTTGGTTATGGTAAGCCTTTGCCCTGTGTCTTAGAGTTGCTCTGATTCTTTACGACCAGGGACAGCTGTAGGGCTTATCTTTTCAACGTTTTAGAAAATATTTTAAAAAAAGGTCAGCTCTATGAAAACAGTAATAGTCACAATTGTTTTGGTGAGTATTTAAATTTCACTCATTTAACACAATAACTCAACTCTGGTAAGGCATTGCATTTATTGCTCTTAAAGAACCGCAATTCTGATTATACCTTCCTGTTCCCCTAAAATAACTAGTAGTCGTAAGTAGTATATAAGCTGCAGTAAGTATAAGATTAGAGAGTAGAATTAAATAAGTGTTTTATTGATGATTGTGATGTGTAGGACGTCGGGGAGGTTTTGCTGTTTTGCCTTTTCCTTTTCTGTATTAGTGTCTCTGTGCTTGAATTGTAGGAGGTTAAAAAATATTTATTTGATTGCTGAATGGTGCAGACATCACGGAGTGGCAAAGCTTGTAGATAACATGTTTTTGATTTACGACTGCCTTCAAACCCATAGTGTCTCACACCAGTAAACTAACTTTGATTCCCTTGTTGACTAAGTGGCTTCCCTCCTCTCATTCTCTCTCCTCCTGCTGCCTCCATCCTCTCTCTCTGTAATCACACTGGCTTCTTCCAAACACCAACACCAGAATACATGCAGCCTGTGAGGCTAAACGTAATTAAAATAATTCAGTAATAGGCATATTTTTGATTGTTTTTGTGATTATTCTAAACCACAATGAAAATTAAATTTTTATTTGCACAGCCTTACTTTAAACTTCTTTGGAGCTTGTTTCCAGTACCAGTCATCACGAGATGTGGAAGAAAGTGATCAGGGAGAAAACTGTGTCAGGACAGAAATACATTATTGCTGCTCTGATGAGACCCAGACAAACTTCTCAAGGATTTTGCCCTGAAGTTTTTAAGAAATGTAGAATCAGTCATCTTCAGTAGAATGATCATTCCAAGTCCAAGATTGAAGTACAATCAAAAATGCATCATTAGTTCAATAATCTTGTTTCATAATAATCGTCATTTAATAATAATCTCTCTCTCGGGCGTTCCTGACAGAGAATATATATGATTTTCTAGACCAGAGTTGTTGTTTCCTCCTCATCCACTGTAGGGTTGTCTGTTTTATCACAACATTACTTTACAGTAAACACACTGTTTTAGGTGGTAGTCAACATACAGTAAAGTCAGGCTGTGGAATGATAACATTGTCATGTTTCTCACACAGTTGTGCTTTTTTTCCCCTGTGTTCATGCAGATCATTGGAATTGGCCTGTGTGGGGTTTTTGAACTGATAAAAGAGACACGGTTTTCACACCCTTCACTGTGCCTGCGTAGCCTTCAAGCTTTGTTGGACATGCTACAGGGACAACAGCCCGAGGGCTTCCAGACTGAGCCCCCTGATGTGTTAGGTAAGACAGACAAAAAGTAAAAGGTTATCTGGTGGTCATTTCAACTCTTGTTCAGTTTCTTTTGCAGCACTTTTTCTAGGAAGTCCACATTTTAAAATTATACCACCATAATGCACTCAATGGGACTTATATTCTTCCTATATTTTTTTCAGAGTCTCTTTTCCAGTTGTTATTGGAGACAACGGTTCGGAGCACGGGGCCCAATGACCCGACAGGACAGGCCATCACAGCGCTGTCTTGCGCCTGCCTCTTCAGTTTAGTGGTGGCCTGGGGAGACACAGGCAAAATCCTGCAGGCTGCATCTGCCATCCTCACAAACAATGGCAGCCACGCCTGTCAGACAATACAGGTATTTAACTAGTAGACTGACTGACCAGTCGTCCAATGGCTCCTTCAGTTTTTTTCCACCTGCTGCAAAATGCAGATCTACAGACTTTATTTAAGACTACAGTAGACTGAGACACATTGAACAAGCTGAGACCGTAATCTGACAACAACAAATCACTTATTTTTAACCAGCCTGCTTTTTAATCTTCACAGATTTAAACATGTTGAGGGCATACAGTATACTTTACCAGGTTTTACACTGTATTTAACACTCATTTAATTCAAAAGTTATTCAGGCACTATGACTAAGTTGTCCCCCTAATACATCTGAGAGGTGGTCGCTTTAAATCTGCTCATCAATAAAATCCAAATCTCTATTGCCATGAGACAGTTTTCTATTTGGCTTATACTGCTGTCTAATTTGACTTCTTCTAGGGTTTTTCTAGTGAATAACAAGAGTTTGTTGACAAAATCCAATCTTTGTCCTGTTTACTTGTTCAGATTACACTGAATAAACATTTTTTATCTCGGTTAAATGACTAGAAAGATGATCCGGTTCATTGTAAACAGTCAAATGTCTTTGTGCTCATCATATCAATACTAATTTGGACCTTCAGTGTGATGCATGCACATGTTTTTACACAGATAAGGCCATGGAGCAGCTAAGATTCTCCTGGCTGGTCCAAGAGGCTTCTGTCTCTTTCTGGCATTTTCTCTGGGCAGACAGACTCACAGCAGTGTCTGGACTGCACAAATTGAGTTTTGGAAAATGTCAAGTCCTCTGTGATTCTTCTCTTTGATTATGTTACCCTGCCTACATTCTTCTCTAATTAGCTGTTTGTTTGCAGCCCCAGTGTTGGCTTGTTTTTCTCTCCTACTAATAATATATATAAAACGACTGTTGCAAAAGGTCAAGAAAAGACATTTTTGTTAAGTTTAGTTAAGTTTGAATTTTAGGTTAACTTAAATCCCAACATTTTGTATACATACTTAATATTAAATACACAATATTTTAGTCTGAAATGTTGCCTTTTTACCCCTTATTTTTCACTAGGTGCCCACCATCCTGAATGCACTACAGAGAAGTGTACAGGCAGTCCTGGTGGGAAAGATCCAAATCCAGGACTGGTTTGGAAATGGTATCAAACGCGCTGCCTTGATGAACAAGTGGCTCCTAAAAGAGGTGACCATTGATGAGGACGAACGTTGTCTCCTGCAGACTGACGGCTCTTTCCTGTACTTGCTCTGCAAAGATGGACTGTACAAAGTGGGCTCTGGATACAGCGGCACAGTCAGGGTATGTGATGTGGCGGGCTACTGTGCTGCTACTGCTAACAGCTATCAGAAAATAGTAGAAAGGATGTGTTCTATCTCTTTAAATTGACTGAAAGTTTGTCTAATGTTTGGTTGATGCTCCACAGGGTCATGTGTACAACTCCACCTCTCGAATCAGGAATCGAAAGGAGAAGAGATCATGGTTGGGATTTGCTCAGGTAGGAAATTGATTGGTCATTTGGATGCTTCCAATAAAGACGGTTTGAAAAAAAGTGTTAAACAACTGCAACAGGAACTCTAATGGTAGATAGCAATCTACCTCATTTTTAGAATTGGCGTATTTGCTAGACAACCAACAAAAGATTAAAAGTTAGCACACAAATAGCCAGATGCTACCTGGGAAAGTTTAGCCATAAAACTTGCAGATAAGTTTGAAATCTAAGTTATGAAGTCTAACAGACAGTTAATTATTTAAGTAACCAAATCAAGTTCAGATTAGGAAATAATTTGTCATCGTTACATAGCAAACCACTACACACAACCAAATGTGACCTCTGCTTTTAACCCATCACCAAAGTGAACAGTGGGCAGCGTTCAGCACCTGTGGAGCAGTGAGTGGGGACAGTGCCATGCTCAGAGCACCTCAGTGGCAGCTGGTGGACTCAAACCTGAAACCTTCCGGACCCAAGTCCGCTTCCTTAACCACCTTTCCACCAACTGCCCCTATTTTATCTGTCTAAGCAAATAGCTAAAATCTGTAAATGTTCCTACAATTTAAAAATTGAGGGAGAATAGCCTCAAAAAGGCTTGAATTGGACACAGAAAAAAGTTTTATGAATCCTACTGCCACAGTCGGAAACTATTGCTTATAACAGTGATGATTCTGGCTGTTTGCAGTTTAAATATTGTTTAAATGCAAAATCACCATAGTCACTAACAATTATTCAATCAAGTCATTTAATGCTGTACCTAACACAAACGTATGTCAAAGATATTGTTTTGACTGTGATTGTTGTTGTCTTCTCAGGGCTTCTTGTTGTACCGGGACACAAGCAACCACAGTATGTCAGCCGTTAAGATCAACCCTGAGACCTTGGAGCATGAGGGCGCCGTCACCATGCCAGGTATTTAATAAAAACATGCACGGCAGAGATCATATGCACTGACAATGACATAATATTTGCCTGTTGATTTCTGCCATTGTGCAGGGCAACACTCAGATGGGCAGAACATCATCTTCACAGATGGAGAGTATGTCAACCAGATTGCAGCCTGCAAAGATGTAAGTTTAAATTTAGCGGATCAAGCTCTTTTTTAATTGAATCACTGTTACCAGTAGAGGTCATCAGATGTTTTTTGTTTGCAGTATAATGCAAAACAGGAAATACACCAAGTCAGGGTTTTGGTGTCTTACATCTCAGGTGGTACATTAAAGACTTGTGTAGTCATTACCACATAGCATAAACAACTGTACAATTGACCTAGAAAAAAAACGACAGAAAAAATTCTAATGATGGGTTGTCTGTTTGTATAGTGTATGAATGTGTTCCTGCCACTGAGTGCAGTTAGATCATGTATGTATATGGGCACTGGGTCGAAAGCTTAATCTCCCGCAAGCAGTCAATCACCATAAGCACCATGCAGTACGGGTGGGGGAAGGGTGAAGACCACTGCCGTTGCATCTCCTGGTTTTCCCCTGGCTTCTCAGAAGCTGCATTACTTTCAGCGGTCAACATTTCACAAAGATATTTAGGAAGAGAGGAAATTGTGTGTAAATCTTTGGTGTAAATGAGGAAACATGTAGGGAGACAGAGAGTCAGAGCCAGAGGTTAGAGGAGCTACTTTAATAATCCAAGTGGCACGTGTGCTGTGCACTGCGGGTGTCGCAGCAAGACGAACGAGCCCATCATTACTCCACAGTAAAAAAACTGACCTTCCACATGATGTCTGCCCTGTTGTCTCCAGAAAATGTACTTCCTCTGGTTCCCTTTAAGCCCCGTTTCTTCTTCTCTGACTATTGTGTCACCTGTTACATGTCTGACAATGAGTCACAATGGGTGAATTCTAGACACCTCACAACCATAATGTCAGTGTTGAGAATGTATTTATCTATTATGGCTGTAATTACATCTGCTGCATTCTCTGTCTCACTCAGAGGTCACATTCCTCGATCTCTCAAATAGATGTAGATGTAGGCTACTAATGGTGTCTGAGACAAAAACGACCTTCGATGTGACATTTTGATCTGTCCATGAGCAAGGGTTGGGTACACCCCGAACAGTGGGACTTTCATTATGTCTACAAAAATCATAGAGAGAAAAGTTCTAGTGGGTTAAAATGGTCGTGGTCAGTGTTCCTGTCAGCTGCACACGGAGAAATATCCATTATATATCGATAGTTCAGCCCTACATTATTTCTGACCCGACATTTCACCTCTTCAAGTCACTTTATTCTAAAGTTAATTACATTACTGCCACAGAAAAGATAAATGTGGCAACTGAAGCAACTACAATGTAAATCTATGTCGATAAATTCACACTAAACTAGCTTATTGACAATGTCACTGAAATGATTGTTTATTTTCTATACCATTACATTTCCAATTACATTTTTTACAAATTTGCATACATTTATATTTAGTCACAAGTGTGAGTAAAAACATCTTGCTTCCAAGTCATGTTACATTTATTCAGCTGAAGTAGTCACCTACCTTCATTCAACTGATTCCATTACATTAGCCTGTCGTGTTTCTTAAGCACTTAATGCCATGAAACGCCAACAATCTTTCTTCCTGCAGGATGGCTTTGTGGTGCGGATCTTTAATATGCCCTCTATACCATGCTCGGAACCGGCCCTGCAGCAGGAACTGCAGCTGAAGCTGGCGAGGAAATGTCTGCATGCCTGTGGCATATCCCTCTTTGACCTGGAGAAAGATCTGCACATCATCAGTAAGTGACAGAAAACACAGTAATGTCATACATCTGTGGAAAGCAAGCTTTTACGTGTATTCGTTTCTGTATACAAAGTAAAATAATGCGCATCCAAATGAATATATTTTATTCTAAAAAGTTTTATTTTATGATTTTATTCCATCAGGCACTGGCTTTGATGAAGAGGCAGCGTTGTTGGGAGCGGGCAGGGAGTTTGCTCTGATGAAAACTGCCTCAGGAAAGGTGAGAATGAAAAATGGTCACTGGAAGGTTGCCTAAAATGTTCACTGACAGTTGGGACAAATTCACCCTTTTAGCTCTAAACAACTAGCCTCTTGCTAATGACTGCCTGAGCACTTTAAATAGTAAACATATGGGTAGAAAACCCCTTGTTAATAGTTTTTCTGTATAAATGAACCACAGGCCACAGTGTAATTTTGACATCTGAAGGTACTTAGCCACAGTCTAACCTCCAAAGACCTGTTTGTAACTAGCAGAAACAATACTGTAAGGCTTGTCCTTTTGTTTTGGAAATATTCAGTGTCTTTCTCAGTGTAATTGTCTCCAAACAAAACAGCGCGACGGAGCTGTATTTGCAAGTTGATTGCCCATTGACTAAGCTCCTGTTTGTGGTTGTAGAAAGGACAGGCCTCCGTTAAATCACCGAACGTTATTTCACTCAGTACATCAGAGCTTTAATGTGGCTGTGACCCAAGGTTTAAATTTTTAAATGCATTTTCCTTTAAACTCTCACACACAAGGAACATTGATGTCTCTGTAAAACATATGACTTCTGTTAAACCTGAGTGAAAAATTGCTTTAATAATACCCACAACTATCAGTGAAGATAAAAAGTCTTTTCTATCCTAAAAGATTATTTAAATTGTACCCAAAGGAATTGGCCATATACATGTAGACAGAAAATTGTCGTAGAGTTTTGAATTAATTTAAAGGCTAAAACTACGCCCAAAGGCAACAAAAAAGGTACGAAGTAGAAACCCTAATTAACTAATATAAACCAGCAATTTAAATTTAAATCCACTGATCAGTCACTGTTTTAGAGTCGGTACCAAGATCAAGGAGATGTTTAGCATTTTTGGGGCTGACTGTCCCAGTGAGAAGAGAATTCTAAATATGTGGTTTGTTGGGGTGTGTGGTGGGTGTGGTGTTGTGTGTCTCGTGCTTTAGGTGTGGCGCAGCATGTTCCCTTTGTAGAGAGCAGCTCAGTGTAGTTGCATGTTTCACCAAGGCCTATACTGACAATTAGAGTTTATGGACACGTTAACTTAACACAGGGTGGTTGAATTGGTGAAACTCCGAGCAGCTGACCCCTGACATGCACAAATGTCACTCATGATTACAGTGGAATACTGTACAAGGCATGCGATGATACTGACTAAACATGAAAAGCCTAGTGTAAGTGATTAAGGCCTCTGTTCTCTTTAAGACAGTGTTTTTTTGTTGTTTTTCCCACTACTGGCTGTAGCCAGTACACAGTATATAACTTCTGAGGTTGCCCCTGCTGGTTTTTAATCAAATCTCCTTCACTGCAGCCTAGTGCAGCACATACTTGAAGTGGTTATTTTCTATAGACCCCTTGGAATGGCCAGGATTGGCCTATATTGTAAGTACTTTAGAAATATCTTCTTGGCTGCAAAAATTGTAACCAAACAGGTGAAAGAATGAATTTGTATGCCTTCAAACAACTCTGACTGCACTGTATTACGTCACGTTGGTAGTCATATTAGTCACTACCACATGCCATTATGTAAAGTGAGTCATTCCTACCACAAATGCACAAAGGTCAGCTGTTGTAGTGGGATCTTCTTGTCGTTTACAAAGATGCATCAAAACCACGTTTGCAACGAGCTCAAAGATATCAATAGGGTTGCACTGTTGAAAGGTTGCAAAAGATTTTAAAAGCTGACAAAATTCCACAGTGAAAAGTCATTACTTAGTGGAGATGATGGTGCACTTCAGTCTTTAGTTTAGTGTCAGTGTTTGGGAGCAATTCTTTCTAAAATTGATGACAAGATGAGGTGTCATTTTTTATGTTGAAAAAGTCAACTGTATTGTACATGTGTAAAAGGTCACAGGGGTTACTAAACCTTGCAAAACTCACACAAGGCATCGAGCATTTTGGTTAAAAACACCATACAAAATGTGAAGTTCAGGTGGTGGCAGTGTCATGCTCTGGGGCTGCTTTTTTATTGGTTTAATTTGTTCTTTTTCAAATAGAGTATGTTTTAAAGGCCTTATTATCCTGAGTAAAGTATAAACACTTTAACACATACATTATCTGAAGGCATTTCTCTGGTATTTATAGTCTCTGCTATGCTTGATGACTACCCTCCAGCATAGCAAACACAGCATGCATATTATGTCCAACAAAAAGTTGTTTCACTCATTCTTTTTTACCATCTTTTCTCATCCTTGTTTCACAGATCTACTACACAGGAAAATATCAGAGCCTGGGTATAAAGCAGGGTGGTCCATCTGCTGGAAAATGGGTGGAGCTGCCCGTCACTAAATCTCCAAAGATTGTTCAGTTCTCAGTTGGTCACGATGGATCCCATGCGCTGCTAGTTGCCGAAGATGGAAGTGTGTTTTTCACAGGCTCTGCCAGTAAGGGAGAGGATGGCGAGTCCAGTAAGAAAGCTTTAGATAATCTCCAAAAACTGCAACAATTTATTCTGTTTTACTTGAAGTAGCTCAGATGCTGATCTTTCCTGTTCTTCCCTCTCAGCTAAAAGTCGTAGGCAGCCCAAACCATACAAACCTAAGAAGATGATCAAACTAGAGACCAAGACGGCAGTGTATACCGCATGCAATAATGGCAGCAGCAGCATTGTCACCAAAGATGGAGAGCTCTACATGTTTGGAAAAGATGCCATTTACAGTGACAGCACCTGTGAGTGGACTTGTGTGTTTTGTACTTCTCTACATGTCACCAAATAAACTAACAAATTATCCGAACCTCAACTTTCTACTTCACAGGCCAGGTGACAGACCTGAAAGGTCACTTAGTAACTCAGGTTGCCATGGGAAAGGCCCACACATGTGTCCTGACCAAGAACGGGGAGGTGTGGACATTTGGTGTGAATAACAAGGGCCAGTGTGGCAGAGACACTGGAGCCATGAGCCAGACTGGGAAAGGTTAGAGCAACAAAACACAAAACCAACATTACATACAGTAGTACACTCATTTGACCTAACTCAACTGTTGTGTTTTCTTGGTGTAGCCTTTGGTGTGGAGAACATGGCCACAGCCATGGATGAAGATCTGGAGGATGAGCTGGAGGAGAAGGAGGAAAAGAGCATGATGTGCCAACCAGGGATGCACAAGTGGAAGCTGGATCAGTGCATGGTCTGCACCGTCTGTGGAGACTGCACAGGCTATGGTGCAAGCTGTGTGAGCAGTGGACGTCCAGACAGGGTACCAGGAGGGTAAGTAGGGAATGTAGTGAATGTAGCTCCTAGAGCTAAGAAAATGAACTAGATAGTCTTTTTGTAATCTTTTATTCTTTTTTTGACCAGTATCTGTGGCTGTGGGTCTGGAGAATCTGGATGTTCAGCTTGTGGCTGTTGTAAAACTTGTGCTCGGGAACTTGATGGTCAGGAGGCAAGACAGAGAGGTATCTTTGATGCTGTCAAGGAGATGATTCCACTGGACCTGCTGCTTGGTATGTTCCATTACCAAATCCATTACATTTTGTGTTTAAATGCCCATATTTATCTCTGGCTTAAAACAAACCTCCCATCTAAACCAGTTAAAAAGTGCATGTAACAATACAATTCACCAGTCACTTTATTTGATTCATCTTGCCAGTAATGGGTTTGACCTGTCTGCCTTTGTAACTTTCACCAAACTTTCACCAAAGTATACTCAGAATATTTGAAAGCACAAATGAGGATTAGTCAGAAGAGGCAAAACTTTCCAAAGCTACGTTTGTACAAATATTACCTTAATGTTCTCAGCTAAAAAAAGTGGCACAAAGTGTGGTCTTCCACTGCACATTGTCTGTAACGTTCTCTGTGTGACATGGAGGTGGTTTACAGCACCATTAACTAGCAAACATGTTCCTAATAAAGTGGCCCATTCATTGTTCCATACTCCCATCTGCCTGAAGTTCCACTTTTAAAGTACTTTAAGGAAAATCAAATGTCCATCTCTCTTTGCCATGGATCTGTGTCAGCCATTTTTTTCTCAGCTGTGTCAATGTGACCCTGAACTGCACATATCACACTCCTGTGTCTGTTGCACTTGCTTACAGTCCACATACTTGCGCAGTGGTTGTTGTCGCTGCTCCTTCATATTTATATTGTGTTGTGCAGACTACTGCTTCTCCATCACCTTGCTGCCATCTTTCATTGATGTGTGTCTCGTTTTTGTTCTGCTCTGCTCCATCTTTTCCTGCATCCTGCATCCTCTCTGGGCTGCCTGTACCTGCGGGCCTTTTGTGTTTTCAGCTGTGCCTGTCCCTCCCCCTCCAGGAGTGAACATTGAGGAGCACATTCAGATCCGCCAGGAGGAGAAGCGACAAAGGATCAACCGCAGACACCGGCTGGAGGAGGGCAGAGGTATGGATCAGAGCTAGACAGAATGCTTTAGGGAAGGATTACCAGATTCTGCTGGCTTCCAAAAAGGTTTTTTAAAAGATTTTTCTGTAGCACATCAGATATAAGCTGAGGGCGATGGGGGGTGAAAGCTACGTTAGAGCCATCCTGTTAAAGCCAGATAACTTTGAGTTGCTCTGTGAGCTTGGGTGTTGTGCCTCAGTGACCTCCCCCTTGCTTGTGTCTTTATAATTTTTTTGCAGCGTCTGTGTACACTATAGTTGTGGTGCAGTATTTTCATGTGTTCTTTCCCATTTGTGAGCATTGTGCATGCATGTGAAAGTTTCTTTCTCTCCCAGGCCCCCTTGTTTTTCCTGGTCCCATTTTTATGAACCAGCGTGAGCAGGCCCTAGCCAGAATAAGACCCCTTCAGGCACTCAGGCATAAACGGGACAAGCACAAAGGTACTATGGTCTTCACTAACTCAACGGGTGCAGGGACACCCACTTGACTCATCTCCCAATCTGGCTGTCCCGCCCACCTCCTCTCTTACTCTCTGAAAGCAGGACTTTTGTGTCTTTACCAGGTCTCATGGTGACATACTGAAAGCATTAGTCAGAAAAACAACCTTGATGTGACTCACAGTAGAAATCTGACTAAGACTTTTGAATATGTTTGGTCCAATCTCTTAAAATAGCTCGCTAAAAAAAGTTATTTTCTGTTCAACTGTTGAATATTTTATGTAGAACACAGGTGTACATACAATTTCAAAAGCCTTTTCTAAACTTGCATTGCCATTATATGGAGGGCCACATGTTATCAACAAAGTTTTAAAAAAGAGATAAAATAAGAAAATGGAAAAAATAGGAAAAACAAGGTTAAAAGATTGCTAGCCAAAGATACAGCCAATAATAGATCAAATAGATGTGTTTAATAGATTGAAGTGTTGTTTGCCAAACAGGTAACCTACTGGGTAGCTGGATAAAGCAGATTTTAACACTGCCAAAAAAGCTGTGCATGAGTTATCACTATCACATGGGAAACATAAGGACTGCCTTTGTAAAGGTACTTATCTTTCTGTTTTTACAGTCTCACAGTAAGATGTGTGCTTTGAGCACAGCTTTTGTTCAGACCTAAATATAAGCCTGTAGTGTGTCCTTGTCTAACTGAATTTGCAATCACTGCCACCTCAGCTAATTTGTCACTTTATGGGTAAAGCTACAGGATTTGCAAAACTCCAAGCAGTTTGGAGAGCACACTACAACGAATAACACACTGTCAACCCATCGTGAAAAAAGGAGAGCTGCTGAACTACAGTGTTTAGAAATCGGTGTCTTGCGCAGAAGCGTCTGTAAAATATGTATGAATCTATTCAGGCTCTTTCCACTCTGACAAGCTGGTGAAGAGGTTCACTCTGGTGACACTGCTTGAGTAAAACTCTTTGTATGGTTTAAATAATACATACATACATTATAAACAAATTGCAAATGCAAGTCTTTGTTTTCAAATGCCCTTTTTTCTTTTTTTGTTGAATTTATAGAAAAAATGTTGGGACTCAATCCATGGATGTATAAAGTACTTTTAATGACAGTTAATCACAGTGGGACAGGTGATGCTGCAGTCCCCTGATATGCAGCACTGTAGAAAATGTTGCTATGATATGTGGGTTAAATTCAACTTCACACAAAATAATTAAAAATAATAGTATCCTTAACTAATCTTCCAATGGCATGGCTAGTCACAAAAATGATTTATTTAATTATTTGTAACTTACAAAAGTCGTATTTCCTTCCTCCGAGCTGATCCCGCCACTCCTCCCGCATTAGTTGCTTCTTCTTGTTTTGCTTCCAGCAGCAGCTCTGCATCCTCTGTGTAGCATTGCTACCTCCTGTTGGATCCATTGTGGTACACCACAATGTGCTGGTTCCAGGTCCACACAGATAATAATGGTCACATTTACTGTAGTGCATGTCTGTTGTCACACAAACAGAACCTCTTACACAGGGCTCTGGCTAACAGAGAGTTTGTGTCAATGTCCGCAGACTGTCAGTTGCAAAGATCAAACAATGTTTTCATTTGTAATGAGACTGGTTGCCAAAAGCCTTTCTGTCATAGAGGTGACGTCCCTTCTTTCTGTTTTGGCATGAGTTGCTCCTTTTTCTCCTCTTGTTTATTTACTTATTTTTTGTTGAGTCCTCTTTCCCCTCCAGCTCCCTCTCACCAGGACTGGGCAGGCACATCAACCTCAGCGAGCTACACTTCACTCTCTATATTTTTTTTATATTTTTAACATGCTGACCTGAGTGTTTGTCTTGTAGATGGAAGCAGTGAGCGAGGAGAGAAAGATGCCAGCAAAATCACCACCTACCCTCCAGGGGCTGTGAGGTTTGACTGTGAGCTGCGAGCTGTGCAGGTCAGCTGTGGGTTTCACCACTCAGGTGAGTTCTTGTCATGTACCTCAGAAGCTGAGTCAGCAGATTTTATGCTGTAAATCTTCACATCAAAGCCCGTTCTGACCTATGAGTAAAGAAGGCGTGTTTCTCGTTGTTTTACTTTGCAGTCGTGTTGATGGAAAATGGAGACGTCTACACATTTGGTTATGGTCAACATGGGCAACTTGGACATGGAGATGTTAACTCCAGGTACAGTTTGTTTTTTTGAAATGTCTTATTTGTTTTTCAGACGTGATAAGTGTTTGAGCAGCCTTTTAAACTAACTATTCCGATCTTTTAGGGGTTCTCCAACTCTGGTACAGGCACTCCCAGGTCCCAGCATCCAGGTGACAGCAGGAAGCAACCACACTGCTGTCCTTCTCATGGACGGGCAGGTCTTTACATTTGGTAGTTTTTCGGTAAGAAAAACATTTGTCCTACATAGAGTGTTTTATCTTTTTTAATATATAAATCAAACAAATGTAATTCTTCAACTTGACTTATTTTTGCACATAGTATTACCTTTCATCTGCTCAATTGTAGTCTAGTCAATTGGTACCTTTTTTGTATCGCATACAATTATGGTCATGTTAAAAATATTAATTTATACCCATTTAATCTAAGAGATGAAAAATCTTCCAGTTTCACACATCCAATTAATGTGTGAAAATACATGTATGTTTTCTTATTTAGAAAGGACAACTTGGTCGGCCCATCTTAGACATGCCCTACTGGAACGCCAAGCCATCTCCCATGCCCAACATCGGTGCCAAATACGGACGGAAGGCTACTTGGATTGGTGCCAGCGGAGACCAGACATTTCTACGAATCGATGAGGCGCTAATCAACTCCCATGTCCTGGCCACTTCAGAGATCTTTGCCAGCAAACACATCATTGGCCTCGTCCCCTCCTCTGTGTCAGAGCCGCCTCCATTCAAATGCTTACTCATAAACAAAATGGATGGAAGCTGCAGGACCTTCAATGACTCTGAGCAGGAGGACCTGCAGGGATTCGGCCTGTGTCTTGATCCTGTGTATGATGTCATCTGGAGGTCAGGCAAAGAATTGATTTCTGTGAATAATTATATGCCATATATTGTGTTACAATCTGGTTTAATCCTTTCTTTATGCAACTCCCTTGTCTCATAGATTCCTGCCTACCCTGAGAGAAATGTGGTGCTACAATGCAGTGATTGCTGATGCCAGGATGCCCTCTGCCCCGGATCTACAGGCACGGTGCAGCATCCTCAGTCCAGAACTGGCTTTGCCCTCAGGATCACATGCAACCACCACTCGCTCTCATGGAGCTCTACACATTCTTGGTATTTCTTTGGATTAATTATCACCATATTTGCAGTCCTATGCAGTTGTGTGTCAAAGTCTTAGGCAGGTGTATAGATTCACTGCCCTCCACCTTTATTGTCATTTTTCCTTTTTCAAGCTAATTGTACCAAACAAATTATGTTAAACTCCAAAATGCACACCATTATTTTTTAAAGTAAACATTTGGGTCATGGACTGCAGGCAACTGCAGACAATGACAGCCAAAGGACAGCTATGCAGCTGGATCTGTTCAGCCAGTGCAAAGGGTTTGTTTCTAGGCTACTCAACTCCTGACAGCTTAATATTTGAGTTTATTCTCTTAAAATCATCAAAATAATCCCCAAAAATGGCCTCGAAAATGGTTTCATGTTAAATTGTTGTTCTTATCTCACAATTATGTAAATTATGTTTTAAATTTTGGCCTTTCTAATTATCTTTGCCCCAGATTTACTTTAATAACTTGTATTGTGTACCGTAAAAGAATATTTGACCACAGATCAGCTTTTGATTATTAGAATATTTGCATGTCTATTAAGGTTGCCTGGACACTCTGGCAGCGATGCAGGAGCTAAAGATGGGTGTAGCCAGTGCAGAGGAAGAGACCCAGGCAGTGATGAAGGTCTACTCCAAGGAAGACTACAGTGTGGTTAACCGATTTGAGAGTGAGTGGACTGTTAGAGAAAACATACTAAGTAATAAAACATCCTGCTGCTGTTATCTGCTATGGCCTCAATCTATGGAAGATGTAGTAAAAACCTAGCATTGCCTTCGTAAAACATTTGTTCCTCTGTATGATGTTGCAGGTCATGGTGGTGGTTGGGGTTACTCTGCCCATTCCGTGGAGGCCATTCGCTTCTGTGCTGATGCTGACATCCTGCTGGGAGGGCTTGGCCTGTTTGGTGGTCGAGGAGAGTACACTGCAAAGATTAAGGTGAGCTTGTTCATATTGCTAAACAACCATGGAATTATGTTGAATTAAAAGATTAAAACAAATTTGTGTTAGGTAATTTTAGATATGCCTAAAGTCTAAAAAACAAAAGCCAACATTCAGCAGAATAGCAGGACATTACCCAGAAACGGTTTGAGTGTAATATTTTTATAATATGATGAGTATTAGGTTTAAAAAAGCAGCTAAATTAAACTAAAGAGATCAAATTTGACTTTTATAAAATGTCTAATCCCAGTGATTCAGATGCTCTATTCTGTGTCTTCTTACCTTGAGACTCTGTTTGTTGTTATATAGCTTTTTGAGCTGGGCCCTGATGGAGGTGACCATGAGACAGATGGTGACTTGCTGGCTGAGACTGACGTCCTGGCCTATGACTGTGCTGCCAGGTAGCGTTTCTGCTCACCTTCTGTTCCTACTGGTTTTAATAAAAAGACTAAAAATGATCTGGAATAATAAGAGGTTTGATTTTGATAGTCCTGAATGATGGTCATTCTCCCTGCAGGGAGAAATATGCCATGATGTTTGATGAGCCTGTGCTGCTGCAGCTGGGCTGGTGGTATGTGGCCTGGGCCAGAGTGTCGGGTCCCAGCAGTGACTGTGGCTCCCATGGACAGGCCACCATCACTACAGACGATGGGTACGTATAAAATGTAAAATAAAGTTTAATCAGTTGACATTTCATGTATGTTTCGGTATAACTTGTTTTGTTTTTTTAGTGTGGTCTTTCAGTTCAAAAGCTCCAAGAAGTCAAACAATGGCACAGATGTAAATGCAGGTCAAATACCTCAGCTACTTTACAGGTGTGTGAAGTTTGTCACTACATTTTCCAGATATAAAATCTTACTGTGTGTCAAATGTGCGATGATTGTTCTGTTGTGTTGTTTTTCACCAGGCTTCCTTCCAATGATGGAAATGCATCTAAGGGCAAACAGCAGACTACTGAGCCTGTCCACATCCTCAAACGCTCATTTGCTCGAACAGTGTCAGTGGTGAGTTGTGTTGCTGTGTTGTGAATTGCGTTGTCCCACTCCCCTCTAATGCATCTTGCATCACTGTCGATATCTGTCTCTGTCTGCAGGAGTGTTTTGAGTCCCTGCTCAGTATCCTGCACTGGAGCTGGACCACCTTGGTGTTGGGTGTGGAAGAGCTGCGAGGACTGAAGGGTTTCCAGTACACAGCCACCTTGCTCGACCTGGAGCGGCTGCGCTTTGTTGGCACATGCTGCCTTCGCCTGCTCAGGGTCTACATCTGTGAGATCTTCCCCATCGCTGGTGAGAACACAAAAGTATAGAAAGCGCCATCAATTACTATATAAAGCTGTGGTTGCAGCAAAAAGGAATCCATGATGGTGTTACTGAATTTTACTGTATGTTGTAAATGTGTTCCAGTGCAGATCTATTTCATCCTGCTTGTTAATAAGAAAACGGAACAACACTGGACCTGCAAAATGCTTTATGTCACAGTTGTAAATTTGATAAATTAAATTGATAAAATTGATAAATTATAATTGTAATGGGGATTGGATTATGTTAATAAAGTTAGTTAGTGCAAAAATAAATGTAGATTTCTTAAAATTGACAAATTATTGGCCCACATTTAGCTTCTAATTGCCAAAATGACCAATTCATAGTCTAAATATAACAAAAAAGCAGGTGTTAAACATAGAAATATTAAGGCCTGTTCTAATGGTCTGATTTGTGAATTTGTGAACATTAATATGTTAGCATAGATTGTAGCTTAATTATTCCAGTGGAAAATTAAAAAAATAATCTTGAAAGTCACTGATTTAGAAAAACATGTTTGATTCCTGAGTGTAACTGAAAATGTGATTTCCAACTCTGTGTATGGATTTGCAGCCAGCACCAAAGCTGTGGTGGAGGAGTCCAGCAAACTGGCAGAGTGTGTGGGGAAGACACGGAGCCTGCTGAAGAAGATCCTGTCAGAAGGCATGGACAATTGTCTGACCAAGCTGGACAATGACCCTCAGGGCTACCTGTCTCAGCCTCTCACTCTGCTTGAAGCTGTGCTGCAGGAGTGTCACAACACCTTCACTGCCTGCTTCCACTCCTTTTATCCAACTCCAGCTTTGCAGTGGGCCTGTCTCTGTGATCTGCTTAACTGCCTCGACCAGGTAATGTGGTGGCAGAGTCTCACTGTGAACCTTACTGTATTACTGTATTTGAAAAAAAAAAATTATTATAAATATATTATTTTATGTGATTATAAACAACTGTTGCCACTTTTCTTAAATTAAAAATAATGAATTCCAGGAGCCTGACTTAAACTTTAGGAAAGTATTTTAATTTAGAATTAAAAATAATGAATTCCAGGAGCCTAACTTTAGGAAAGTATTTTAATTTCATTACTTTTCTATTGATATTATTTGTTGATAATTCCTTGTTGTGTGTGCAGATAAACAGCATGCAATAGTGCATCTCTAAATCAGACCATATTTTATTATTTACAGTTTTTAAAAATTGTCATTTTCTTCCCTTTGTGGTACAGGACATAGCAGAAGCAAACTTTCGCACCTCCAGTAGTCGCCTGCTGGCTGCAGTTATGTCAGCTCTGTGCAACACCTCTGTCAAACTGACCTCCATCCTCCCCATTGCATATGACGGAGAAGTGTTGCTGCGTTCACTGGTCAAACAAGTCAGCACAGAGAATGACTCGGCTCTTGCTCACCGCTTCCCCCTGCTGGTGGCCCACATGGAGAAACTAAGTCACGTGGGTTTTTGAGTCATCCATTTGTTTTTATTGTGTTGTTTATGTGTTGTGTCTCTTTGAATCTAAAATAAATTTTGCCCCTGCAGACGGAAGAGAACCTGATGGGCATGACCAGTTTCCGTGAGGTGCTGGAGAAGATGCTGGTGATTGTGGTTCTGCCAGTGAGGAAGAGTCTGAGGAAGGAGGTGGAATTATTTTCACCGCACCTTGTCTCCAACACCTGTGGTCTTCTGGCCTCTATTGTTTCTGAGCTCACAGCCTCAGCCCTTGGCTCTGAGGTAACAAACACAACAAATTAATGTCTTAATGTTCTAAAAAATATATTAGATTTTTAGATTGATTTTTTTTACTGTATTGTATGAACCATGATGTCTTTTATGTGTCTTTTCTGACTACCTTACTGTACTGTCATACTTTACTGTTCTCCTGGTTGTCATAGTAACTGTCACTGGATGACGGCCGTCGTCGACATCACTGTTTTTCTCCTCTTCTGTTGTCAAGGAAACTATTCTTTCTCCCTCTAACTTGGTGTCACTATGACTCTGCCCTTCTCTCTGTTTAGGCAGAAAAATAAATACATAGTAGGACTGCTTAGTAAATGAACAGATGATTACTCTTTTTTAATTAGTGGTTACAGCACAAAAAGGCTCATACCCAGGTTTTTAATTAGTGGTTACAGCACAAAAATAGGCTCATACCCAGGTTTAAAAAATGCCACTCACAAGTCACCACAAAAAAAAGCAAAATCTGTTCCTTTAGAAAGCTCATTGACAGCTAAAATTTAATTAACAAATAGGTTTAACTCTAAACACTGCATATTTAACTAAATGTTTATCAAAATAGGCTAAAGGTTTGTAAGTTACCTCATAATAGGTTAGGAATGGCTAGAAATATTAACATATACAGTTTAAGAATATATACCTTAGACTAGTGACCTACTTTCAAACACTGTTTTCTTCTGACCCTCTGCTTTGTCTCTGCATTATCTCTAAACAACAACATTTTATTACAACAGCAGCTACACACAGCTGTTCATCATTGTTTATGACACTGTTTAATGTTTTGTCTATAGCATATGCACTGCCGTATAAGTATATGGAGTTGATTCTAATTGTTGTCAGAACCTTATTTTTAAATGGGTTTAGTCAATTCTTATGTCTTTCTACTCTCAAGGTTGATGGACTGAACTCACTTCATTCTGTAAAAGCATCTCCCAACCGCTTCACAAAAACCAGCCAGGGTCGGAGCTGGAACACAGGCAACGGCTCTCCGGATGCCATCTGTCTGACTGTGGACAAGCCAGGAGTTGTGCTGGTGGGGGTCTGTGTCTATGGAGGAGGGGGCATCCATGAGTATGAGCTGGAAGTGCTGGCTGATGACGTAAGTGATAAGAAAAACGTGGTTTAAAGTTTAAAAACGATTTAATAGGTTTTTATAAAACATCTTTGTTATTGTTTTGTTTTGCTTCTCTACTCAGGCACAGACCGATCATCCAGGAGACTCTGCACATTCTCACAGGTGGACATCTCTAGAGCTGGTGAAGGGCACCTATAGCACTGATGACTCTCCCAGTGACATTGCTGAAATTCGCCTGGACAAAGCTGTGCCACTTAAGGTTCTGTTTACATTACTATTGTTTTTCTTAACATGATTCATTTATGGTTATAAATGGTACCATGATGGCTATTAATTTGACACAGGAAGGGGTAAAGTATGCTGTCCGACTGCGAAACTATGGCAGCAGGACAGCTAATGGGGACGGAGGCATGACCACAGTGCAGTGCTCGGATGGTGTGTCCTTTACCTTCAGCACCTGTAGCTTGAGCAGCAATGGGACCAACCAGACCAGAGGACAGATCCCACAGATTCTGTACTACAGGTAATAAATAAAAAAGCATCTTGTAATTCATCAGCTGTAGAGTCATTGTTTTTTCCTGACTAATGGTATCTTGTGGTGAAAGGAGTGAGTATGATGGTGACCTCCAGTCTCAGCTGCTTAGCAAAGCCAATGAGGAGGACAAAAACTGCAGCAGAGCACTATCTGTTGTCAGCGCCGTAGTCAGAGCTGCGAAGGACCTGCTTCATAGAGCATTTGCTGTTGACGGTAAGCTCTGCAAACGTTAACCTGCTTCGAGTTAAATTATTTTAATCTTTTTTTTTAATCTCTGCCCTTTGTTATTACAGTGGAAGATATACCAGAGTTGTTAAGTTCCTCAAGTCTTTTTTCCATGCTCCTGCCTCTTATCTTGGCCTACATTGGCCCTGTGGCAGCGTCTGTACCCAAGGTAAAAGGTCTTCTTATCAAATAACACTGTTGAGGGAGGTCACATAATACTGTCAGCAGAAGTAAAATGTATGCTCAATTCTGGTTTCAGATTCCAATTTTTTTGTTTTCTACTGTGTCTGACTTTTTGAATAAAAACACCTTATGTTGAAAACAAGCCTTCTCTTGTATGTACCAACTGTACTAAATGAGACAAATGAGACAAAATGTTTATTTTTCAGGCTGCTGTGGAAGTCTTTGGACTTGTCCAGGAACTCTTACCTGCTGTCTCTGCTCTCAACCAAAAATATGCCCCACCAACCTTTAATCCTAACCAATCAACAGACAGCACAACTGGTAACCAGGCAGAACAGGGGCTCTCAGCTTGCACCACCTCGAGCCATTACTCCGTAATGGAGAGTGACCACCCTTACAAGCAAGCAGGGGTCACACAATACAGGGTGAGGTGCCTTTTATTTGTTTTCTTATTAAATAACATTCATTGGTTTAAAAAACAAAAATCTGACCGTGCTCTCTTTGCCTCAGGTATCATTTCCAGACTGTGTCCGTTGGACCACCATTGAGTTTGATCCACAGTGTGGCACAGCTCAACCGGAGGACATTCTACGAATTCTCATACCGAGCAGAGTTCTTCACTTGTCCAGTCTAGGTGGCAAACCTCTACTTCACGACACCATCAACACCTGGACCGAGCTGAAAAAGTTCTCTGGAATCACAGGGTGGCCGACCACTGTGCTTGTGTTGCCAGGTGAGATAAACTTAGCTGTTCAATTTTTAACAAAAATAAACATTTAGTGCATTGAATGTTAAGACCATCTTTGTAAATGTAAACCCAACTATTTAAGTTATAACATTAGGTAAAACTGTTGTATTTCTTTCTTTTTTTCTTTCACAGGAAATGAAGTGCTCTTCTCCCTGGAAACTGCGTCGGATTATGTTAAGGATGAGAAAGCTTGCTTCTACGGCTTTAAGTGTGTCGCTGTGGGATATGAATTCAATCCAGGACCTGATGAGGTGCAGTACATACACACATACATTCTCATGCTCCATTAATAGCTTGTCAGAGGTCTCTTTTTTACATGGCTTGCAATGACTTTACAGGGCATTATCCAACTAGAGAAAGAGCTGGCCTTCCTGGGCAGTGTCTGTGCTGCAGCCCTGATGAAGAAAGATTTGGCGCTTCCCATAGGTAGGATGTTTTCTAATGGACAGAAAAATCACAATGATTTTCTTAAAAAATCTCGATTTTATGAGCAGATTTATACTTTGACAATTTGGGTTAAGTTTATTTGCTTCTTGACCTTTTTTAATTTTAGGCAATGAGCTGGAGGAGGATCTAGAGATTCTTGAGGAAGCTTCTCTACAGGTATACAGTACTTAGTATTTCAAGTTTTTGTTCTGTTTTGTGGAATAAATACTCAGCTCTAACTGTGTTTTTAGGTGTGTAAAGCCCACTCAGGAATCCTAGGAAAAGGTCTGGCCTTGTCTCACTCTCCCACCATCCTGGAAGCCCTGGAGGGGAATCTACCTCTCCATCTCCAAACCAATGAGCACTCCTTTCTTGAGGACTTCATTACCTGTGTACAAAACTCAAGTGGAGGTCGCCTGGCCAGGTAACAAGGCTCTCAAATCTGGTCATTCCATCTGAAATATATACTGCAAATTTGAGTAATCACTTGTCTTTGTTTTTTGGTCAAATTCAGGTGGCTGCAGCCAGACTCATACGCTGACCCCCAGAAGACTTCTCTTATTCTAAACAAAGATGACATACGCTGCGGGTGGCCAACTACTGTGGTTGTACAGACCAAAGACCAGTATGGCGATGTGGTGCACGTTCCCAACATGAAGGTTTGGAGGATAGATACCATTCTTTACCCAGTGAAGAAAAAAATCTAATTGTTACTGCCGTTTTAAATCTCAACAATCTAAAATTGTCTGCCTGTTCCACATACAGGTAGAGGTGAAGGCTGTGCCTGTTTCCCAAAAGAAGTCTATGCAGCCTGATAACATGAAGAAACTGCAACGTATACAAGGGAGCTCCTCACCCTCATCCTCTGGTCCTGACCTTACTTTTGGAGGTTTGCCAATGCCCAAGCTCGAGGCCACATATGAACCTATGATTGTAAAGGAAGCACGATACATTGCCATCACCATGATGAAGGTCAGCACACAAACGCACATTTACGCTTTTGTTGGTTTCAGAATTTCCCAGAAAAGTAGTGTTACCATAAACATAATTAGGTTCTCCAAATGGGGGCACAATTATTTTGTTGCATAAGGGGAAAAGGTCTTGGAGAAAAAAGGAGCTATACAGTATTGTTTTATGTCTTTCAATCATTTTCTTTGCTCTATCTTTTTCTTTTTAGGCATATGAAAACTACTCTTTTGAAGAGCTGCGCTTTGCTTCCCCTACACCAAAAAGGTATAGTTTGACACACATCTCTCTTCAGTCACACATGGCTTGGACAAATATCGTAATGATTTACCTATAACTGTCACACGTATGTTTCTGTCATTGTTGCTATGCTGATGTCACTTGCTAACTCTCCTCAACAGACCAAGTGAGAACATGTTGATTCGTGCAAATACTGATGGAACCTACAGTGCCAACTGGACCCCAGGAGCAGTCGGTCTATACACGATCCATGTTACTATTGATGGCATTGAAATAGGTATGTTGATGTTGATGCCTGCTGATTTATATTTAACTGAAGCATTAAGCCACTGTTTATTTCCATGTTAAGCTGTGAGTGTTTTGTCCCATGAAGATGCTGGTTTAGAGGTAGAAGTCAAAGACCCTCCAAAAGGCATGATACCGCCAGGAACTCAGATGGTAAAGCCAAAGGCTGAACCTCAGCCTAGCAAGGTGAGCTTTTTCCCTACCATTGGGTGCATGAACACATTAACAAACTAAAAAATGTGTGAGGTTACACAGTACTATTAGGTTTAGAGTAGGTTTTTTCCTGCTTGTACCTTTTAAGTTTACTTTGTCTTGGATTATCTTGCCCTGTGCTTCTTTTGGCACAAAGTCAAAAGAAGGTATGCATTTAAGACAGTGTTCACACATCAGTTAATTTGTAAATACAAATTGAAGTAGGGAAGTGCATCTGATTTTCTTTACAAAAAACAATTGACCTAGTTGTGCATAGGGTGCTGCCTTTCAAGTTTTTTCTTAGGACAGTGAACGTTTCATCGTCCTTAATATGAACCTGGTTGGTATAGTAGGTTAGATTATGCAAAGTATAAAACATTTATTGTGGTTATTCATTGAAAGCTTGACTTAATGACTTATTACTCAAAATGTATCAATGAGGTTCTGTAGTCTTAGTGGTTGATTTTAAAATGCCATTAAAACCCTGATGGAGCAGTTACTTTTTCAAGCTCAATATATAATTTTTTGCCCTGTTTAAAATGAGCGGTTTCAATTTTTAAATTATAAAGGCAAACAAGCAACAAATAAACTGACTCCTGCTCCTTACCCTAATGCTTCTGAAAGCTTCTTGTCTTTTTGCTGTATATTTGCAGAATCATATGTGATTGTGTGGATAAAGGCATGCAAAATCTCTATATCAACCTCTTCTTCCCTTTCCTGCTCCACTTCTTGTCTTCAGTGATTTTCCTTTCCTCTGGCGCTCACAGTCTCCATCTCCTTTCTGCTTTTCTTTTAAGGTCCGCAAATTTGTGTCCAAGGACAGCGCAGGCCTACGTGTGCGTAGTCACCCCTCGCTGCAGAGTGAACAGATAGGCATAGTGCATGTCAATGGCACCATCACTTTCATTGACGAGGTAATTGATTTTTAGATCAGGTAGCCTTTAGGTGAGATGAGCGGGAGCACTATCCACTTTGATTCTATTTCAGTATTTGTTTTCTTCTTGAAATCAATAAGACAAGAATCACATAGAATATTGAAGTCTCATATTTGTCTTTGTAGATTGGTAATGTGTGTAATTAGTCCCAAAATATGTGTGTAATGAAATTTCTTCTGCCAGTTATAATTACAGCTTTCTTTTCAAAGCTTGTTCATGTGTTTCTGTCACTTTATGTTGCCTCATACTTTAAAAACATTCTGAGGCTGCAGAAAATGTATCCAGTAGATGAACTAAATTAACATTCAGTTAGTATTCAGTAAGTATAATTCAAAATCAATTTTTAGAGGAAAACCAAATTTAAACTAGTCAGTGATTTAACAAGACGTAAGCTTAACATGTATGTAGTGAAAACTTCTAAATAATCTTGAGTGCGGTCTAGTTCAAAGTTGACTCTCCTGCAGCCTTTGAAATGTACAATGAATGTGCGAGCAACTGTGAGTGACGTGCGTGCCACCCTTCATGCTCCTACAGTAACAGGACGGTGTGGCTGTACTGTGTTTGTTGCTTGTTTTCCTGTAGATCCACAATGATGATGGTGTGTGGCTCAGGCTCAATGATGAAACAGTTAAGAAGTATGTTCCCAGCATGAATGGGTACACTGAAGCCTGGTGCCTCTCTTTTAACCAGCACCTGGGCAGGAGCCTCCTGGTCCCTGCTGACGTAAGTAAAAGATGGCAGTCTGCTGACTCAGTACAAAGACAGGAGAGGCTTCTGTTGAGTTTATTTTGGGGAAAATGTCAGAGAAATGTCAAAGGCCAGTTGTTGTGGCTGCCTGTTCTCATGCATGGGACAGTCAGCAGGATGAAAGCTTTTACTAACACATGGTACAGAGGCTTCATGCATGGATTCATTCACTTTGAAGGCAGTGAAACTTTTAATTGTAAATATTTGACTAAATTTGGAGCTGTCAGTTTTTAGCCAGATTTCAAATGCCTGTTTAAACTTGGCAAATAATTCCAAATATGAGCCATTGAACAACTACAATTGCATAGTGTTTGAACGCATTTTTAAAACACATTTTGGAAGTTAGTCATTGACTATTTATACTGTTCAGACAAACCGCAGTGATCAGCATTGGCTTTGGACAATCTCAATAAAAAAATCTAGGTTAATTTGCGATAAAGTTTAGCATTAAGTTATGTGTTAAATTGATAAAAAAATGGTTTACAGGCCCAGACCTAGTAAAATTAAAAAACTTATAAACATGTAACCTTAATACAAACATGTTGTTTCCCAGGTACTTAGTTCTTAGAATAAATGACATGTCTCAGAACTCATTAATGTCAAGATTTCCTTTTCTATTTAACTGCCAGATGGAATTTATGAGCATGTTAGGCTACTAGACCCTTAATTGTCTTTTAAAGATTACTTACAGAAAATTAATTCAAACTGATTTTGGTTAAAAGTGACAGTGCTGATGTACAGAAATGCATTGACTTGTTCTGTAAGGCAGGAACCTTTAGATGCGAAAGAATGTTGTGGCAACATTTGGTGAAACATACCAGTTAGCACTGTGCACTCTGTCTTTGCAGCCTAACAGTCACACTTCACGAACACTTGCACACTGTGGCATGTGATAACAAGGGGTCCCTCTCACATTTACTTCATGCCATAAAAACCGCCTAAAAAAAACTACAGTACAGCTAACTCAAATCAGCATGACGGTGTCAGATCAAGAATCTGTCAAAAGTCACACAGTGGTGGTATCTGGGTGGTTTTCTGTCATGAAGCAATCACATGTCTGCAGAAAAGAATAATGTAATCCTAATTTCTTCCTGTACTGCTCTTAAATCTCACCTCTGTGATGGGATGCTTTGCCTTTATTAACCTTCCATATCAGGGCTCTGTCTGAACAGCATGACACATCACATCATCCAAGCAGGGAATTTTTTTGGAAGTTTTTTTTTTACTTTGCTATGGATTTGGTCTTGGATTTGGAAATATCAACCTTCTGGATTTAAAGTAAAACTTTATTTGTTTAGCTTTTTTTAATTAGCCGCCGAGCTTGTTCTTCTTTCCTATTATTTCTCCAAACTCAGCAGCTTACGTGACACCAGTCAGACTCCTGGTAATATCAGAAGAGCCAGCCCAAACTGACTTCATTTTCTTCCAAAAAAATACACAAGCAACTCCATCCTGTCTCCTTTCTTTCGGGTCGTCTACTGTTTCTTGACTGTCTTACAATCTGTTGCTCAGACTGTCTTTAATGCTAGCCAAGGAGTCAGGAATATCGGCTTTTTGTCCTGGACTCCCCTAACTGTATTCCCACCACAGGTGAGTTAAATGACAGAGGGATACAGAGCCTTGTTTGCCCCCACAGCTCATCATCATATGTCCTTGTCCCCTGAATCCCCCATGGTATTTCTTATGTTAATGAGTAAAGAACTTAATTCTCAGCTGCATGGAGGAGTTTAGAGTAATGACACAGAACGTCAGTCAGTGGGTTCTACTTTTCTGTACGAAACTCATGATGCATGCATGCATGGAAGATACAGATGTCCACTTCCTTGCATGATATTGTGCTTGAAAAGCTTGTCAAACAAAATTGTCTGTCACAGCATGTCTACGATTAGACCGTAGTAAATGAGCAGTCTGTGTAATTTGATTAGGTTGCCTGTGTTGTGGTCGATGTGAAGATGAGGGTTTTAGATATCACTTTGATGTGTCATCTCATTTTAAAGGAACATCCAAAAAATGACTACAGCTGTTTCCATTGCTGTTCTTTTACTCATCTTTCCAGCTGGTGGCTTCAGTAAAGGCTGTACAGTCTTTTTCAGATTAGACTCTCTGGTTTTCTGGTCTTCTGTTAAATATAAGTCTGTTAATTATGCTACTACTTTTTCCAAAAAAAAGATTAGACCTCCAAAGATATTGCTTATTGGTTATCCACAAATGTCGTATGTAGTCCTATTACATTGCCCTTTTTTGTTTTACTTTTTTTTACTTTTTTGTTTTACTTTTTTGTTTTTCTTCACTTTTGAGACATACCTTTGTTGTAATAATCTAGGGTCAGGGTCAGTCTTTTTAGCTTGCATGCATAATAACAAAAACACACTACATTCAGTGTTAGTTTAATGGGAATCTGACATTGACTTTATAGCACTGTGTACTGAATTGTGCTAAAACAAAGCTTTTTAATCATATGAAGCAAAACTCGACAATGACCCTCACAGTGTTAAGTTATAAGTTTTAAGGTGCCAATTAATTATTCCTAATTGGCCAATATAATACTATAATAAATCAATTCTAATTCTGTACTTCTAACTCTTGGTCTTACTTTTTGCAGGAGGTCAGGGCCCAGTCGGAGGAGAACCTAAAGGAGGTGAGCAGCTGCCCTTCCCACGAAGCCCCCATACGGGTGCAGAGCAGGGCAGGGCAGGGCGGCGGCCCGGGGCTTTATAAGGTAGTGAAGACCGGCCCCTCTGGTCACAACATCAGAAGCTGCCCAAACCTTAGGGGTATCCCCATTGGAATGTTAGTACTTGGCAACAAGGTCAAGGCCATAGGCGAGGTATGCACTCACCCCTGAACAACACAGTGTGTTTTTGTGGCAGGATTTGAATTAAAATACTAGAGCTATTACACTGATTGGCCCTGGACTTCCCTGTGTGTCCTGAATTAATTTGGGTGCATTCTTGGAATCTTCTGGGTGTGGGCATGTCATCCCCCCTCGTTGGGATCTAACTTCTATGGCTGCAGCATTGTTGTGTGCTTCCTGATTCACTAATTCTAGTCTGTCCATGAATTCATTGCAGTTTCAGGGTGACACATTCGGCTGCCTCAAGACTTCTGTGGGAAAATCTGATCACAAAATGCTGGAGCCTCTCTTTGCCTTGACTGTATCTTCCGTGTACTCAGTTCTGTCTTTATACAATAAATATATATATATATATGTACAAATTGTCTTTATCCTAACAATGAGTAGAGCATCCCTTTTGGATTTGTGTGGTCATGCTGTGGTGTGTCATGCTGTTCACTACTAGAGCCTGAACTGAATGTCCTGTTTTGGCCAAGCTTGCACGTACTACTAATGTAATACTTTTTTTGAATATAAATGAATTCATTTTTGACTTCCTTTTATCTACTGCGAGTTGTTTGGAAAATGCCTATCAGTAGTCAGCAGCTAAATATTTGACATGCGCATATGGTCTTGGATAAAGAGTGTTGTTTTTGCATCAGGTGGTCAACTCAGAGGGGACGTGGGTCCAGCTGGATAAGAACAGTGTTGTGGAATTCTGTGAGAGTGATGAAGGAGAGGCCTGGTCGTTGTCCAAAGACCGCGGAGGGAACCAGTACCTTCGGCATGAGGAGGGTAAGTCAAAGTGAAGCTACCTTTATAAAGGTGTGGGTTGTAGCTACAGTTTCATAACAGATGGAATACAATCAAAACTGATGACAAGACTGTAAACTTAGATAATTTACTTATTTCAAAAAGTTAACCCTGTTTTATTTCCTCAAACAGAACAAGCTCTGACTGAACATGGAGCGCAGACTCCACCGCCAAGCCCCTTCTCTGTGCAGGCCTTCAACAGAGCTGCAACTTCAAACGGAGCTCAGGGCTTTGACTATGGCATCTCTAACAACAAAGGTCAGGATCAGCTGAAGTGGGTTTTAGAAGACAGCACTTCAAAAAGTTCTCAGCCATGTTTTACTGATACCAAGATGATAGCCATCTTGTTATGAGTCATTCCCTGCCTTTTTGAACAGACCTTTCGGTGCAAAGGTTTAAAACAATCAATGTCATTGTTGACTGTTCTGTCATCTTTTTATTTATGCTCGTATTTTTTTTGTTTTACATCTTTTGTTGTGTCTGCTGCTGTTATTCATGCACAACACCTGCAGTGTCATACCTTTTTGAGTAGTATTGCATTCACTCATCATACTATAAACATAGAAAATATTCACTGAATTAACTACTTTTTGCTAAACAGTCTTTGGTGCTTTTGGCAGCGATTTTAAATAGAAAAATCGATTTTCTTCTCATTTTAATTTTCTGTCTGCACTCAGGAAAATCTCTGTTTTTGACCTTTTAATCACAGGAGTCAGCTGCCAGTGGTAGTTTCTTCCCGTTCCAACCTCCAATCAGTTTTAAAGCTGTGGTTTTTCCCCCCTCTTCCTTTTGTCTCGTGTTTGCAGGTGACCGGTTGAGTGCCATACTGAATTCCATTCAGTCTGGGCCCTTCCTCTCAGCAACTCCCTCTTCCTCCATGTTTGACCAAGCTACCCAACCTCCTACCTCCTCCTCTGCCTCCTCTTCTTCCTCTTCCTCCTCTTCCTCTTCCCTTGTCCACAGCCCATTTGTGTTTGGACAGTCCCCCTCCCAACACTCCCAAGCACAGCCACAGGGTCCGAGTAAGTGTGTCCTGCCTTAACACAGGGCTTGTTGTTTAACAAACATAAGTATTAGACCAAACTCCTCGCTGCACACAACATTGTCAGCTTTTTTCTGGTATATCAGGCTGAGTTGTTTAGTTTTTCTGCTTGCTTTCTCATGTGGTCTGCTTCTCCTCTTATTCCTCGTCTTAATCACTGCTTTAACTGTGGTTTCTCATCTTGATTTTACACTTATTTTATTTTCTGCCTCAACCACCCCAGGAAATTTTTTTTATATATATTTTTTAATAAATACCATACTGATGCATGTTTCACGTGCAGAACAAAAGATTGCCCCTCACAACCAAAAACTTCTACTGCCAACCAGTTTCCATGCCCAACTCAATTTCTGAAGGAGGTGCTGTAGGAAAAAGGCTCATCAATAGTCTGCTTTTTACTGTTTACCAAAGGAAAAAGTATAATAACTCAGAATATACAAAACAGTCAATCATTAGGTATGAGCTTTGTAACTTCAAAAAGTTGGACTATGTCTATGTACAAGAGCTGTAATTTCACAGTTCATTTTTCTCTCAGGGTAAAACGCAACAATAAGAAGTGACTGTAGACAGTACTTTTATTTGGCTCTTCTCTGGTTTTCTATTTCCATGTCCCTCATCTTTTTTGCTAATCTTTTTATTTATGGTTTCAAACTTTGAACTTTGCCTGTTTCATTGCCTTGACTTGACCCCATTGCCTCTGTATGCTTTATTTTTTCCTGTCTCTCTCTGTCTGTGGTGGCCTGGCATTCCATGGCTCATTTGTTTACCTGCTGCACTGTTTTCCGCTGTAGATGATTCAACTCGCAGCCCCGCTTCTCATGAGCGTTTGCACAAAAGCAGTTTGTCCATGGCGGGGCATGGTACTGCTCTCTCATCTCTCACTCACAAGCAAAAGGGTGGGTAATCACTGCATGCATGCTTCACTCAGAAGAAACAGAGGGTGGGTAGGAACTATGGATTGAAACATAGTTATTGGTAAATGTGTTAAATTGTAGTTTAAAATGGGTGTAGGTGAAGTTTAACTTCACTGATTGACTTCCAGACAGTTTTAGAAATAGCTGCAGTAACAGGACTGACTGCCTTTATGTAGTTGAGACTCGGACCCTGATCCCAAATTATTAAAAGAGTTTCCGGAATTGAGGTGAAATAATTCACTCATCATCTCTTTCAAGGTCAAAATAGTTCTCATTCAAATCGAAGTTTATTTGAGTCAAGACAGTTACTTCAACGGTGATCTTTGTGTTTCTTTGTGATTCTTAACATCTTTTTTATCTGATTATCTATCTTTCTGCCTTTCATTTCATGCTATCTTTTTAACATTGGAGTTTTTCAGTTTGTTGTCAAATGTTTCATTTTTTGTTCACGACACAAAGATTGTATATAGGAATTGGGCACAGCTCATCAGCATTAAGTGAAGCTTATTTAAAAGGCCAGATTTTCTCTGCTGGTTTTGTTTGTGGTGTGACAAAATCTTTAACCTTTAGGTGAACGAGGTGCCCTGATCTCTGCTGCGCGTTCCATGTCTCCAGCCTCTAAACACCGTCAAGAGAATCGCTCACCAAAACAGGAGAGCCGTGGAGGCCGCTCATTGGAGCAGAGCAGGAGTAAAAATGGCGAAGGTGGACTCTCAGCCAGTGAGGCGCTCATCCTACGGTCAGACACGGCCAAACTGAGGTCTGACTCCCACAGCCGCTCTCACTCGCCCAATCACAACACGCTGCAGGCTCTGAAGGCAGATGGTAGAACGCCAGGACATCGAGCAGAGTCTCCAAACCCTGGTTCTCGCTCCTCTTCTCCCAAACAAAAAGGAGTAACGTCTTCAGGCAGGTCAAGTCCCTCTAACACTTCCACACAGCACTCCTCTCCAACCCACCACGACAAGAATCTCCCACCTAAAGTTAGTCCATCCTCCAAAGCCCGACTAGACCCTCCAAGAGAAAGATCTAAATCTGATTCTTACACTCTGGATCCAGACACGCTGCGAAAAAAGAAGATTCCCCTCACAGAGCCACTGAGAGGCCGATCTACATCTCCAAAACCCAAACTTTCTCCTAAAGATCCAAACAAAGGTGTAATCAACAATACAGAGAACCGTGTTCCCTCTCCACATGTAACCCAGGAAAACCTGCACAGTGAGGTGGTGGAAGTTTGCACCTCCAGTACTCTCCTGTCCAACGAGGAAGGGAATGAGGAAAACACAGAGGTCAGTAACTCAGAGGAAGGTTCTTGCAAGGTGCACTTCAGCATCGGCAAAGCTCCCGTCAAAGAAGAGCTGGAGAGTCGCTCTTCCCCTAAGGTCAGCCGCAAAACCTCCAGTCGACACATGCGTCCAAAGAAGGACAAATCTGGACCACTGTTTAAAGGAGAGGGTACGTCAAAGACCACAGAGCCCGTCAAACAGGCCATGTCGCCCTCTGTGGCCGAGTGTGCGCGAGCAGTCTTTGCCGCCTTCCTCTGGCATGAAGGTATTGTCCACGATGCCATGGCTTGCTCCTCCTTCCTGAAGTTTAACCCTGATTTGACCAAGGAGCATGCCCCCATCCGCAGCTCACTGGGAGGACAAGGTGCAGAAGAGAAGGAAAGCAAACTGAAGAACCGCCACTCTTTGGAGATCTCATCTGCTCTTAACATGTTTAACATTGCACCACATGGTCCAGATATCTCCAAAATGGGCAGCATCAACAAAAACAAGGTGCTGTCCATGCTGAAGGAACCGCCCTTGCCAGAAAAGTGTGAAGATGGAAAAGGGGAGTCCATCTCCTATGAGATGACGTCTCATCCCACTATGAGAGTAAAGTCCATCTTACCATTAACACTACAGCATCTGGTGGCCTTCTGGGAGGACATATCCATGGCCACTATCAAGGCAGCAACTCAGAACATGATCTTCCCCAGTCCTGGCTCCAGTGCCATCTTAAAAAAGAAGGAACACGAGAAGGACAGTAAAAAGGCAAAGAAGGAGAAGAAGAAGAGAGAAAAGGCTGAGGTGCGTCCAAGAGGAAATCTGTTTGGAGAGATGGCACAGTTAGCCATGGGTGGTCCAGAGAAAGACACTATCTGTGAGTTGTGTGGAGAATCTCACCCTTACCCAGTCACCTACCACATGAGACAAGCTCATCCAGGTAAAGGTCCTAGAAGTCTGTGATACATGTAGGCATCAACACTGAATTGTTTTTTCACTCTTTGATGTGTCGTTGTCAGGATGTGGACGATATGCTGGAGGTCAGGGCTACAACAGTATCGGTCACTTCTGTGGTGGTTGGGCTGGAAACTGTGGAGACGGAGGAATAGGAGGTAGTACCTGGTACCTAGTCTGTGACCGCTGTCGGGAAAAATATCTCAGAGAGAAGCAGAGCGCTGCCAGGGAAAAGGTACCAATGTTAATGTCACATGAACTGTTCCTCACTGTAACTGGTTTCACTTTAGTAAAGTTGTTTACTTTTACTTACCGTTAGGCAAATAGTTCAGGTAATATGACAAATTTGGGCAATTTTTGACATCATCCTCTTACTTTTTCAACTTTCATTTACTTTCATTTAGTTAAATTGATACTTGTATTTAATAACACCTACTGCACATTATAGATTAAATACACACTTATTATAATTACTAAATAACGTTTTACATGTATGTCATGTAATTGCAGTTTTTAGTACTACGGGGTAAAAATATGTAATTGCAGTTTTTAGTACTACGGGGGAGCTCTTGGGTATTTTTGCGTATTCCAATCTGGATCCTTTTATAAAAGTTTGGACAGCCATACGTAAACATATTCCATTGTGTGTGTTCCTTGCAGGTAAAGCAGTCAAGGAAGAAACCTCTGCAAGTGAAGACCCCAAGGGCTCTGCCCACCATGGAGGCCCACCAGGTGATCAGAGCCAACGCTCTTTTCCTACTGTCCCTCAGCAGTGCCGCTGAGCCCAGCATGTTATGCCACCACCCTCCTCGACCTCCACATTCACAGCTGCTCCCCAGCCTAAAGGAGGGTGTGTCAGATGAGCTTCCCAACAAAATGGGCTGCCTGTATCTGCAAACACTAGCTCGGTAACTATCTTTAAAAACATGAAACATTTCATCTAAACGTTACAACTGTGAGTCACCTGTTTTCCTCCCCGTACAGACAACACACAGAGAACTTTGGTGGCTACCAGGACGATAACCTCTTCCAAGATGAGATGAGATATCTGCGTTCCACGTCTGTTCCTGCTCCCTACATTTCTGTCACCCCTGATGCCTGCCCCAATGTCTTTGAGGAACCAGAGAGCAACATGAAGTCAATGCCCCCCAGGTGAAATTCATTCACAGAACAACCTTTTGTGAAATAAAAAAAGACAAGGTTGTAACCAAAATGTTCACAGATAATAACAGTAGGTATAACATGTTCCCCTTTTAAGATGTGAAAACACAATAGCACAGAGAACTGGGCTTGCATAATAATAGTCCAAAATGGCCCAATGCCAACAAAAGAAAGTAATACTTTATGCTAAAAAAATGCGTCAAACAAAATGAATGATGAAGTTAAAGCATTAAAGTTTGCCAAAAATATAGCATTTTGGCAGGAAGACCAAATTTATGTAATGGTAGCTAAAGTTTGGTCCAAAAACAGCTAACGATTGACAAACAATAGGTCAAAACAAAAGAAGCCAACATATATATATATTTTTTAAATCTCTAATGTCCACCCCTGAATAGGTTGCTGTGTAATAAAGCAGAAATAGAGTATGGTTAGCCATGATGATCCTGTATAAGCTGTGCATATTTTTTATTGTTTCCGCCCAAATATAAGCAATGAACGTGTTCCAGTATCTTTATTGATATTTTGAGTTCTTGGTTTAACCTTGTTCCTCTGTGTTTCTTTGTTGTCTCTCTATTAGTCTTGAGACCAGTCCAATCACAGACAGTGACACAGCCAAGCGTACGGTATTTCAGAGGTCGTACTCCGTCGTTGCCTCAGAGTACGACAAACAACACTCACCCTCTCCAGCCCGCGTTAAAGCTGTTCCCAGGCGCAGGGTTCACAGTGGGGATGCAGGTAAGAGAGAATATTGACTGGTCCTGAGGCTGAACTGTGAACTTTTGATGTAGGTTAGTGACTGACTGACTGTCTGTTATTCAGAGGTGGGCTCTTCCCTGCTGAGACATCCTTCTCCAGAGCTTTCTCGCCTGATCTCAGCCCATGGCTCCCTCAGTAAAGGAGAAAGGAACTTCCAGTGGCCCGTTTTGGCTTTTGTTATCCAGCACCACGACCTGGAGGGTCTGGAGGTGGCCATGAAGCATGCTCTGAGGAAGTCCGCCTGCAGAGTTTTTGCCATGGAGGTAAAGCAATATATGTCTCTGTTGCAATTTAATTACAGTTTATCACACAGAAGTGGCTTTTGTGTTAAGGGATATTAGTAGTGGGATGGATTTTATGAATGAATTAGCTGCTTTTAATGGAAGGCATAAAAATTTAATTGGACTCTAGTTGAGTCTCAGTGTAATCATCAAAACTAACTGGTGTGATTTACTCTGCCAGGCGTTCAACTGGCTGCTGTGCAACGTGATCCAGACAACCTCACTGCACGACATCCTCTGGCACTTTGTAGCATCTCTCACCCCTTCCCCCTTTGAACCAGAGGATGAAGAAGATGAAGAAAACAAGGGCAACAAGGAAAATGTGGAACAGGTGATTTAAATATGGTGAAAAATGTAACAGATCTATTTGACTTTGTTGTTTGAGCTTTTATCGTGAAAATCTGTCCTGTTTCCTGCAGGAAAGAGACCTTGGGGTTTGTGAACACCCCCTGTCAGATATTGTTATTGCTGGAGAAGCAGCTCATCCTCTTCCTCACACTTTCCACCGTCTCCTTCAGACCATCTCTGACCTTATGATGTCACTTCCTAGTGGCAGCTCACTTCAGCAGATGGCACTTAGGTAATATTTCAGTCTAGTACAACTGAACAGCAACTTAACTAATTATTCATGAATAATAGAGATAAATCAACAGTCCTGAATATGACAAAACGTTATTTTTTTTATGCATTAGAATTTGTTAAAAATTAGATTCTGAGTAATTTCACAAAATAAACAACGTGATTCTGACAACCACTGTATAACAACTATGTAATAAGGGTTTGTTATTTTTTCTGTAGGTGTTGGAGCCTCAAATTTAAACAGTCAGACCATCAGTTCCTTCATCAGAGCAATGTTTTCCATCACATCAACAACATTTTGTCCAAGTCAGATGATGGAGACAGTGAGGAGAGCTTCAACATTAGTGTACAGTCTGGTTATGAAGCAATAAGTCAGGTGAGAAAACAAACACATATGTACCTAATTGGGGACCACGTTTTATGTCTTTGTGTAAACCAATCATTACAATCCTAACAACTTGTTGTGTTTTTTTATGTGTGACTGCAGGATCTCTGCCTGGTGACCTGCCTGAAAGACCTGACCAGTGTAGTGGACATTAAAACTTCCAGTCGTCCAGCAATGATTGGCAGTCTGACTGATGGCTCCACAGAGACTTTCTGGGAGTCTGGGGACGAGGACAAGAACAAAACCAAGAGTATTACCATCAGCTGTGTGAAGGGCATCAACTCCTGCAATGTGTCAGTGCATGTGGACAACTCCAGAGACATAGGAGTAAGGAGATGTTTGGAATGCTCCGGAAGCTTATGGACATAATTACAGTGATACTAGTTTTATGTTACATTCTGTTCTCTTTCTCCAGAACAAAGTCACATCAGTGACATTCCTTTGTGGAAAAGCAATAGAAGACCTCTGCAGAATCAAACAGGTCTGTACCCCGGCAACTTAAGACAAATTGAGTTGAAAACACTGTAAATGAAGTAGAGAAACATCGAAACTTGATTGAAACTTGATGATTGATTTCATCCTAGGTTGACCTTGACTCTCGTCACATGGGCTGGGTGACAAGTGAACTCCCTGGTGGAGACCATCATGTGATAAAGGTGGAACTCAAGGGTCCAGAAAACACCCTTCGGGTGCGTCAGGTGAAGGTGCTGGGCTGGAAGGAAGGCGAGAGCATCAAGATTCCTGGACAGATCTCGGCCAGCATGGCTCAACAGAAGAACTGTGAGGCCGAGACCCTGAGAGTTTTCAGACTCATCACATCACAGGTGATTTATTACTGTTCACATCATCTTTTTTTGATGATTTGTGTTTCCTGGAAAAAAATCTGTTAAATGCTGTTGTTTAATATTCAGGTATTTGGAAAATTGATCTGTGGCGATGCGGAGCCAACTCCAGAGCAGGAGGAGAAGAATCTGCTTTCATCACCAGAAGGAGAAGACAAGGTCTGGGCCCGTACTCTACACCTGACATGGATTTCTATATTGTCTTTCCAATTTAAACCTAATATTTCTATTTGTTGTCTTTGAAAAGGCTCCCTCTGATGCAGACCTGAAAGAGCACATGGTGGGAATCATTTTTAGCAGAAGCAAACTCACCAATCTGCAGAAACAGGTAAATGTTCAGCTCCTCTTACCATCAAACCACACAAGTTGTTTTCATGCCAGCTCTTCTAACCAAGATGCGTCCTCCAGGTTTGTGCCCACATCGTGCAGGCCATCCGTATGGAGGCCACACGGGTGAGGGAGGAGTGGGAGCACGCCATCTCCAGCAAGGAGAATGCCAACTCTCAGCCCAGCGATGACGATGCCTCCTCTGATGCCTACTGCTTCGAGCTCCTGTCCATGGTCCTGGCTCTGAGTGGCTCTAATGTGGGCCGACAGTACCTCGCTCAGCAGCTCACGCTCCTGCAGGATCTGTTTTCCCTGCTACACACGGCTTCTCCACGTGTCCAAAGACAGGTAGTTATATTTATATTAGTTATATTGCCTCTCAACAAATTGTTAATCTCTGTTTCTCATTAATTTATCATCTGTTGCCATGTGTCTTGTCACTTTAAGGACACCTGCTGTTCAAAATTGGAACAACATAAAATGTTCCTATGCTAACGCTGAAGAAAATGTTGTTCTTAATGTAAAAAAAAAATCAAACTGTGGTCTGAAAGCCTACATTTATGCTCTGATTTACATAAGTAAACAATAGAACGCAGCTCCTTAAAATAGGCTTGTAGACAGATGAGAAATATTAAACATGATATATGAAAAAGATAATCCAGTGAATAGCAAAGGTTATCCACAATGACAGTCACAACATGTAATGTTATGGACATGTTAAAATAAATAACTCTTGAAACAGGGCCCAAATGTGTCCTCTTTCTGTCCTGTTCTGTTATCAGGATAGTTACACAAAATACAAGGTATTACTTATGGGGGATTAGTGTTTTTGTGTGTGTGTGTGTTTTTTTAAATTGCTTAAAATGTTCTTCGACAATTTAAACAATAGACTTGCGTTTTCTCAGGTGACGTCTTTACTGAGACGTGTCCTTCCCGAAGTCACACCTGTGCGACTTGCCAGCATCATTGGTGTTAAGGCTCTGCCCCCGGCTGACATCAGTGACATCATCCACTCTACTGAAAAGGGTGACTGGAACAAACTTGGCATCTTGGACATGTTCCTGGGCTGCATTGCCAAAGCCCTCACTGTGCAGCTGAAAGCCAAAGGAACCACAATCTCGGGAACCGCTGGTATGGCTGCTGGTAAAGGAGTCACCACCGTGACTCTGCCCATGATCTTTAACTCTAGGTGAGTTTAACTTAAAGTCAACGAGAGTTAAACTTAACGCAAGTCAATGTAAATATACTTAGTATAAGTTTTTAGGACTTATCGTTGTAATTCTTGTTGTGATTAGTTACATCCGCAGAGGAGAGAGTCACTGGTGGATGAAAGGCTCCACCCCTCCTCAGATCGCAGAGATCATCATAAAGCTGGTGAAAGACATGGCTTTTGTAAGTTTCTCTTGTTCTTTGTATCATTGACTGTATAATAGTAGATAAATAGGTATACTTTATTTATACTTTTACTGATCCCTGGGAAATTACAGAGTAGTAGTAGTGGACGTAGCAGAGTAGTAGTGTTTCTGTTCAAGTCTTTGAATAAAAGGTAAGTCAAGTCCAAGTTAGGTCTCCAAGGGTTTCAGTTTTAGTCTAAATCACTGAAGAAGAATGCTGAGACAGTGGAGATCAAGACTTCCCCTAGTGTCTATATGTTAAATCTGATTCCTAGATCTTAAAAAAACTTTGAGTAGAATGTATGCATTAGGGTTTGTATCCTCAGTATCTCAATTCAGGCCTGGGTCTTAAATACTGCAACACGGCATAAAGAATATCTGTACTGGCTCCAAAGTACCGTACAGTACAACACCAGGGTTCATCTAAGTGTCCCTTTAATTTACGACTCCTTGAGTTCAAATTGTGAAGTGATGTTAAATTAAAATCTGTAGCTCTCCTCAGAGATCAGTGTATTTACCTGTCTAGTACTGTATGTACAACCAGTATTTCTAAAAGAGCTTTCTTCTACCCTTAGGGCCACCTTTCAGACGCCTGGTCCAGAGTCACTAAAAATGCAATAGCTGAGACCATTATTGCTTTGACTAAAATGGAGGAGGAGCATCGATCACCTGTCCGCTGCATCGCCACCACAAGGGTAAAGTTTTGAATAAAATGTAATTTATTTACTGTACATTTCAGAAAACAGAAGAACAGGTATTCATATCATATACTGTTTTTATAGCTCTGGTTGGCCTTAGCATCGCTCTGTGTGCTGGACCAGGACCATGTGGACAGACTGTCCTCTGGTCGGTGGATGGGAAAAGATGGTCAGCAGAAGCAGATGGTGAGATCAGTATAAACAAACCAAATTTAAAACTTAAGAATAATAAATAAAAAAAGCACTCATCGTTGTATGCCTCCATCCTCAGCCCATGTGTGACAACCATGACGATGGGGAGACAGCAGCCATCATACTGTGTAACTTGTGTGGAAACCTCTGCACTGACTGTGACCGGTTCCTGCACCTGCACAGAAGGACCCGCTCCCACCAGAGACAGGTTAGTTAAAGTACTGTGGATCTGAGAAAGATCCATTTCATGGGGTTTTTTGGTACTAATTTTAACACTGATGCTTTCAGGTGTTTAAGGAGGAAGAGGAGGCCATCAAGGTGGATCTCCATGAAGGCTGTGGGAGAACCAAGCTCTTCTGGCTCATGGCTTTGGCAGACTCAAAGACTATGAAGGCAATGGTTGAGTTCAGAGAACACACAGGTAATTGCAGAGGTTGCAGAGATTTGTTTCTCTTTGTGGCTGTAGAATTACCTCCAGAACTTCATTCTATTTCTGTTTACCTAATTTAAAGAGTTTGGATGACTTTTGTAGGTAAACCAGCCTCCAGTAGTTCAGATGCCTGCAGGTTCTGTGGAACAAGAAATGGAACAGAGCTGTCTGCTGTGGGCAGTGTGTGTTCAGACCCAGACTGTCAGGTATGTCACACCCACCGCAGGCATAACTGACTAAAAGTGAATAATATTGAAAAATATTTTAATAATTTAGTTGATCATCAAATGTAGCTGATAAAATTCAGTCATTATCTGAATCTATGTAGCTTTGCCTGTGTGATTGTTTGTGACTGTTCTGTCAGAGAAGCTGAATGTGTACCTACTGATAAAATCATAGAAATTAATAAAGAAATCTAGGCCTGCCACTAAGACTCTTTCCTTCCTTCTCTGTTAGGAATATGCCAAACTGGCATGCAGTAAGACCCACCCTTGTGGACACCCCTGCGGAGGAGTAAAGAATGAGGATTCGTGTCTACCATGTCTTCACGGCTGTGACAAGAGCAGCGGCTGTCTGAAACAGGATGCAGATGACATGTGTATGATCTGCTTTACGGAAGCTCTCTCTGCTGCGCCTGCTGTTCAGGTTGGTCAAACTACAACTGTCTATCCACCTAGTAGCTGCTCCTGGATTAACATACGTCCTTTTTCTGATTCTTTGTTTTGTCCACAGCTGGATTGCACTCACGTGTTTCACCTTCAGTGCACTCGTCGTGTTCTTGAAAACCGTTGGCTAGGGCCCAGGATCACATTCGGCTTCATGTTGTGTCCAATTTGTAAGGTGAGATGTCATAAGACATGATCCGTCAAGAGACAAATTAAAATTGCACCACATCCTAACCTCTTTCTTCTTCCCTTTCTTATTTAATTGCTTTACTGATTACCTTGAATAAACTGCCCCTCATGCTGTTGGGTAATTTCCCCACAGAACAAAATCAATCACTCTGTGATCAAGGACCTTTTGGATCCTATCAAAGAACTGTATGAGGATGTAAGGAGAAAGGCTCTGATGAGGCTTGAGTACGAGGGTCTACATAAGAGCGAGGCCATAACTACACCAGGAGCCCGATTCCACAACGATCCTGCAGGCTTCGCCATGAATAGATATGCATACTATGTCTGCTACAAGTGCAAGAAGGTACCACATTACCTGAAAAGGCAAAACCTTTAAATCTAAATGTTGTTGAAGTGGCAGAAAATTCACAGTGTCATTGCCCAAACCAGGCCTACTTTGGTGGAGAGGCTCGCTGCGATGCAGAGGCAGGACAGGGAGATGATTACGACCCAAGGGAGCTCATCTGTGGAGCATGTTCAGATGTCTCCAGAGCACAGGTGAGAATGTGCTTAGGGTATTTAGCGGTGACACTTCAGATATTGATATTTAATAACCTTTAAAGTGAAAGCAAAAGTGTCACACCTGGGTATGTTGTTTGATTCATGAAAATCACTGCTGTATTTTTTTAAATAAAATGTAATTTGGGTGTATTTAGATTGCATAGTGAATACATTTAAGAAGTCTTTATTAATTGTTTTGCCAATCAATGGTAATCTGTGGTTTGTTTTCCCCATCACCAGATGTGCTCTAAGCATGGAACAGATTTCCTGGAGTATAAATGCCGGTACTGCTGCTCGGTGGCTGTATTCTTCTGCTTTGGCACCACGCACTTTTGCAATGCCTGCCATGATGACTTCCAGAGGATGACCAGTGTCCCTAAGGAGGAACTGCCCCATTGTCCTGCAGGTATTAGACTTGATGACTAACAACGCAAGATTGTTTTTGGTTAGTGTTAGTAGTAATGTCATGATCTACTTCTCTTCTTCTCTGTTTTGGTCACAGGCCCTAAAGGAAAGCAGCTGGAAGGAACTGAGTGCCCTCTGCATGTGGTTCACCCACCAACTGGGGAGGAGTTTGCTTTGGGCTGTGGGGTTTGTAGGAATGCTCACACCTTTTAAACAACAACAAGACATTTCCTGAAAACCAGTCTGTCTACTGTGATCTCTGGCCACTGCTGCTTTTGCAGAAGTTCAGCCATGAAGCCTTCTCCCTGTGGCCCTTTGGCACTTTTGTCAGGTCTGGACCAGGGTTCTGCTCCACACCAAGAGTCCTCAGGTCTGCTCTGCTACCTATTACATCAGTAACTGGGCCCCTACTGCAATGATGCATTGTGGCTTCCTTAGAAACAGAGTGGCCTGTCGGTGGGAGGAAAAAACCATAATAGACTTTGAAAAAGAAGTTTAAAAAAAAAAAAAAAAAAAATACCTTGTGACGTGTTTGCATGCAGCCGTTGTATTCCCTCGGCTTATTTTGACGTTGCACACCTCCAGAAGTGTAACGATACAAGATAAAACATTGAATATGAAATGAGTTTGCGTAAAGGCAACTGTGGAACAGCTATTGAAAAAGGATCAGGCCCTATTTCCAGCTTCCTAACTATAAATTTAAAGTCTTGTATGTAAAACGTTTTCCCTTTTCATAATCTTGTACAGTATTCTCCACTGTCAAGTGCTACATTGGTTAATGGACAAATGAAAATAAGAAAGGTCGGTGGACAAGACTGTTAAAATAATGTTTGGGCAGAAAATAGTGTACGATTTATCTAATCTTGTATATAACGATATTATTCAAATTAGCTGTATTACAAAGTTGCTACTCTTCACTTCAATTTTGTTTGATATTCTGGGTTATGTTTTGAGCCAGAACTTTTAATGAAGTGCAATACTGGGTGTGCCTCCTATTTTGCAGCTGTTTAACCTATGGAATGTATGTCAATAAAGCCACTGTACATTTTTATACAGTAGAGAGTCGTAATTTCACCCACTTCTTGTTAATGTCACATCTCATTTGTTCTGTAGATATGAGGAGGAGCCTGGCATCTGCAGTGAATGATTATGGATGCAAATCCAATTAATAGCTGTCTTAAAAAAAAGAGTACCAAATCATACAAAAAACTCACAACAAGACTGTTGGCAGCTCTCACTGATATGCGGCACCAGTCTTCACACCAAATATGACATATTGTGCACCTGTGATGGTTTTCCCTTAGTGGGAGGCAGGGAAGACTGGGGGTGGGGAGGGGTCAGTCAGAAACAGAGTATGAAAAAAAGCTGCTGTTATATATATACATAAAAAAGCTTAATACTTGTGAATCTGCTCTGTAATATCCGTGGTGGATGGAGTTGAATAAACCAGGTTTTCTGTTTCACAAAGTATACACTGTGTCATTTCTTTACAAGTCATATTTTCTTTAGTATGTTAGTGTTTTTGTTTTGTTTCTGAAACTAAAGAAACAAAAGCCAGTTAATACATTATTATGCAAAGACAAATTGGAGGTTAACACAACGCTAAAATAGCAACATCATCTAAAAAAAGCAAAATATACAAGAATTAGCTAAGCTTCAAATATAGCTTGAAGGTAGTCCAGCAATATCTTAGTGAAAGTTTATTATTATTATTTAGATGTTGATAGAACTATTTTTTCCCCAAATGCCCTTATAAAATGTATTTTAAGAAAAAGACCAGATAAAACATGCCTAAGAACCACATTGTCCCAATATACTTCAGGTTTTCGTGACATTGTCTAAGCATACTTAAATTTTGTTGTATCTTATTGTATTAATGTATTGTTATTCGTTTTATGTAATTGCCACTATTTTCTCACCTATTCTACATTAAGCGCTTAACTGGCCGAATGTATTGCATAAGATCTGCCAAAATGAATGTTTTGAATCAGGGTGACTTATCGTCCAAACAGAGACGATCTTTACCTCCAACCATTTTGCATTGCATTTCCCATGATGCAGTGCAGCTGTCACAACAACATTTCGCCATTTCAGAAGCATTACAGCAGCCATTGGTCCCGCGAAAGAAGTAGGTCAACCAACACAGGGGCTAGTCTGCGGCCGTCTCTTCACCCAAAACAACATTTGCGTCGTGTTATTGTGTTCAAATGCGTATTATTTGGTTAATGCAGATGAGTTTTTCGAGTGTGGGCCCGGGCTAAAGTGTCACTTGTGCGAGGACTCGGATATCCCTGCTAACAGCAATTCAGCTAGCTGTGTGTGTAAACAACAAGGTACGGTGTTTAGACGTGGTCGTATATACACTGAAATATTCTTTTTGTTTACTGTTTGTAAAGATTTTTTTAATGACGAGAATTTATAATAACTCTGCCATTGTAGCTAGCTAAGCTAACAGACATGTTTATAAAGGCTGTGTTTTTCTGTAGTTTCTGTGTTATATACTGTTATTCAGTATAATGTAGATACACTCATTGTAAATACATCATATTTTCAAATACACTGACCCACATGCAGTCTTTGAATACGGGATCATTTCGAAGCTTTGTGGTTCATTAAGGTGTCAAAAGTTTCATTACCAGCAGAGGAACATTTTATATTGATGCTCCCATATACACACGTGCTCAACTCTCAGCAGTCGCACTTGATTGTGATTTGTTTTGGTCAATATAATTTAAAAGTTATACTCCAAATAAACAGCCAACAGCCAGTACCAAACTACTTGGTCTATCATATTTACAGTAATCAATACGATTTAAATACGGATTAGTTAATTAAAGACGCCCCTGCGTGTTTTGGTTTTGACAATGAACCAAAAAAAAAAGTTCAGTTGTACTATGGTATATCCCCCGAACATAGGCACATTTTAGATGTTATATTTTCTTTTTTTTCCAAACGCACTGTAATTGATTACAGTAATTGATTAAGGAAGGATGTATGTTATATTCAGGTATTTTCTTCCGGTGTCTAAACAGATAGAACTTGTGTCTGTCAAAGAGATATGTTTTCTAGTGCACAAAGTCCTAATTATGAGGAGCATTTCCAACACAAAAGTTAAGTGCCATCTTGTTAGGTGAGTCATCCTACTTTATAGTGTATGTGTGAACTGGGTTGACCTGAACCCCTTGTCCCTGCAGTGCAGGGTGATTGTGTAAGGCTTTTGTGCTTAAGGACTTGTTTTGCTGCAACTTCATCATCATGGTTTAGAACTGAACAAAATATTCCCAATCACTGTATGAGTCATTGAAGAAGAGATGTTTACCTGCATCACTACAATACTATCTGTTGATGTGTTCCAGGATGAAGCGGATGAAAGGATCGGAGGAGGTTAGCAGCTCCTCCAGTAGGAGCCCACCAGAAACCTGCAAGAAAGTCCGAAAGCAAATATGTGAGGCTGCCGTGTCCACTGATTTATCAGAGCGTGACTGGGCAAGTCTCCCTCAGGAGCTTCTGCTCCACATCCTTCAGTACCTTCCCCTGCTGGACCGGGCTTATGCCTCTCAGGTGTGCCGCCAATGGAACCAGGCCTTCCACATGCCAGAGCTGTGGAGATGCTTTGAGTTTGAGCTGAACCAACCAGCCAGCTCCTACCTGAAGGCCACACATCCGGATCTCATCAAGCAGATCATCAAGAGGCACTCCAACCACCTGCAGTATGTCAGCTTCAAGGTGAGCAAACAATCTGTGTCTTTTCGGAAATGGGCAACCCGTGCAGTTTCATGCATCTTGGCCTTGAACTTTTGATTCACAGTTATCATCTTTGTTTGGACTTGCCAGGTGGACAGCAGTACAGAGTCTGCAGAGGCTGCGTGTGACATTCTTTCCCAGTTGGTGAACTGCTCGCTGAAGACCTTGGGGCTTATCTCTACAGCCAGACCAAGTTTCATGGAAGTTCCAAAGGTATAATCTACATGCATTCAACGTTTGTCTATAATTATACTGTATGATTTGTAAATCAACAGTATTTGTTTACCTTTTTTTTCTTTGCTAATGTACAAGCTAAATAGCTTTGTGGAAAGATTATTTTTGCATTGACTTGTAATCACTGAACAGGCCTAAGTAACAGTCTGTACTCAGGCAGAACCAAGGACAATCTAGTGGAGACATTGTGTTACTGTTGCAGCCTTGTTGTGTCACTCCTTGTGTGTAGCAAATTGCTCAGTGTTTTTGACGTAAATGACAATAAAGTAAGAAAATAACTGTTGTGTTGTAACTAATTGTTACAACACAACAGTTATGCTTACATTATTGAGTTCTCTGTGCTGGAGACTTTTTTTTCTAAGACAAGTTGACTCAGTAGGTATGGCTACAATTGTATCAGGATCTGTAAACACAAACTTTCAGTTTTCAGTTCAACACTTCATCTCTTCTCTCTCACAGTCCCATTTCATTTCGGCGCTGACAGTGGTGTTTGTCAACTCCAAGTCACTGTCTTCATTGAAGATTGATGATACACCAGTGGATGATCCCTCTCTAAAGGTGCTGGTGGCCAACAACAGTGACACCTTAAAACTGCTGAAGATGAGCAGCTGCCCGCATGTCTCTCCAGCAGGTATAGTGACAGTAAAGGCATCGTCAACATAAAAATAGATGTTAATGTCATACATTTGACTTCACTTGTTAAAATTTTTACTTTTTATTTTATGTTTTTCTCTGAAAACAAACCAAATATTAATACATATTTAAACAGCAAAAAAAACTATCTGTTTTTTAGGAATTCTGTGTGTGGCTGACCAGTGTCATGGGCTGAGAGAGCTGGCGTTGAACTACCACCTCCTGAGTGATGAACTCCTCTTGGCCCTGTCCTCAGAGAAACACGTCCACCTGGAACATTTGCGTATTGATGTGGTGAGTGAGAACCCTGGCCAACACTTCCACACCATCAAGAAGAGCAGCTGGGATGCCATGGTGCGGCACTCGCCCAAATTCAACCTGGTCATGTACTTCTTCCTCTACGAAGACGAGTTCGGCCCCTTTTTTAACGAGGAGATCCCTGTCACGCATCTTTACTTCGGCCGCTCTGTCAGCAAAGAGGTCCTGGGCCGTGTTGGTCTGCACTGCCCCCGTCTGGTGGAGCTGGTGGTATGCGCCAACGGCCTACGTCCCCTGGACGAAGAGCTGATCCGCATTGCAAAGCACTGCACCCAGCTGTCAGCAATTGGACTGGGCGAGTGCGAAGTCTCCTGCAGCGCGTTTGTGGAGTTTGTGAAGATGTGTGGGCGGAGGCTGTCCCAGCTGTCCATCATGGAGGAGGTTCTGATCCCTGATCACAAATACTCCCTGGATGAGATTCACTGGGAGGTCTCCAAACACCTGGGAAGGGTCTGGTTCCCGGATATGATGCCAACATGGTAGATAGAATCCAGAGAGGAGTCAAGAGTGTTACTGTGGAGCAGTCACAGTCTCAATGTTTGCACTGAAAGGCCTTTGAAATAACACTTTAAAGCTATAATGGAATGTTTATTGCCAACATGGAGAACACAAACTCTCTGAACTTTCTGGGTTTGAATAAGCGCAGCTCAGGGGAATAATGTGGCACCTGACTGCTACCAAACACACACACGCACACACACCACTAACATCTGCGTTGCCTGTTCATTTGTCAGTCTTGAGTGAATCTTGTGATATTCAGCTCTCTCTTTTTTTGTGGTGAAAGAACTGGATGGCTTCTTCCCATATTCTTCACAGATCAGTGCTGAAAAATGTCTAACAAACCAGCAATGTTTTTATAACAAGCTAAGCTGACAAAAGCATCCCTTGGTTTAAATCTATAACATAAAAAGGTGAGTGAGGCTGTGACTAGAAAAACTAATTTAAAGACGTAATAGCAGCTGCCATGCTGCTTTCTTTGTTGGTTGAAATGACAGGAGTAGAAGAAAAATTGTAAATATATTTCTATGTTTGTTATGTGAAGGTGTAAATTGGTGTCCTCAGTTTTTTTGCTGAAGAACTGTGCTACAGTTAGTCAGAAGCGCTTCTTCTTGCGCAGGCACAAAAGCATTATCCGTTTCCAAATATGATTGCGAGTTGGAAAGAATCACATTTCAGAACTTTTAGATCCAAATATAGTTATCCACCTAATTGGACCAGTTGTCTTGGCTGCCAACAGTAGAACAGCACACAGCTTGTGTCCCATGTTTTGCTTTTGTGTAGATTCACTCAAACAGGTTTAAACCATTGAACCTATAATAGGAGGATTGTGCTTACAGTTCTCCTGTTAGCTTGCATGCTAACAACATAACATCAAACAAGATTCTTGTTGGTATAACGACCCAATGTGTTGAAGTGAAGGAGCAGTCTGCACCCCTTCAGTTCTGTGGTGAGAGATTTGGCAAGTCAGATGAGAGAAACAAACATTTGTTTCTTTTCCTTTAAGAAGGAAGCGAAAAGCATGTGTATATAAAAACGATGTGTGTTTGATAAATATTATTATCATTAATAGAAATGTACTTATTTCTTTATTTTACCCTCTGCTAGGGTTCAAAGGTTCCTTTGTGGTTTGTGTCTTTTATAAAAGAAAGTCATTCTTTATCCCATAGCTGTTTTCATACTGTGGTGTTTAGAGGAGATGGTAATTTATTGACCATGGATCTGTTCTTTTTTTAAACTTTAAATCTCAGTAACAAGTCAGTTCTGAATCCTTTCACCTGCAAAACTTCTACATATTAAACAATTTGGCCAATCTTGTTGAGTTCTTTCAATGAAAGCACTACTCAAAGGTAGGCATATGAACCAAAACCTTAAAATGTGCAAAATATATTTGTGAGTATAAATTCTGATTCAGGAGAAATTGTTCTGCTATTTCTATTCCACTAAAACTAAAAATTCTGTCTTGGCTGAATTGACACATGCAGGTTTTAACTGCATTAGAGAATTTCTCATCCTGTGGAACTAATAGTTAAATAGTAGAGTAAAGTAAAATATCATAAAATGTCTCAAGCCACAGCTTTTTTTTTACTCATGATGGTGTTTATTAAGGAATAACACGGGTAATTCAATTGTATAACTTGTTAAATGTGTTGTTATGGCACTTCAGAAGTAGACATACTATATTTTTTTTGTAAAAAAAATCCTTTGTCAGGCTGAAGTTTTAGTTGATGGGTTTTTTTTTGCTGTAGACATTTCATGAAGCCTGGCACTGATGGAGAAAAGTGAGAGTGGTCTTTACAGATGTATTGTGAACAAACAAAGTAATTGAACAGTATAATTAGAAGCTGATCTCTGCCTGAGAGTTAATGTTCATGTACATTAGCATCTTGAAGCTACAGTCACTCATCTGCCTGTGTTTCATAGTTTGAACATGGCAATGGAAGCAGCTCCAAACTGAAGACTTTGGCAAAGAAACATTCTTTATCTTTATTGGCTTCTGTTGAAGTAGCTGCTAAAAATATTGACCATTAATACAGAGTAAGAGATGAATTAATAATCATCCTGAATTTATTTTAAAATAAATAAAATAGAATCTTTGCTTCTATTCCTTTGTAAAAGTCTGTCCATTTTGATTTACTGGTCACTTGTCTTAAAATTTAAAGGTATTATTTTGGATTTGTCGTCTTCTACCAAAATAAAAATTGAAGCTGTACTCTCCGCTGTTGTTTCATCTCTTTTAATGCAAAATTTATGTTTGTAAATCTTTGTGTCCACAAGCAATGGACGTTTTTTTTCTAACAAAAACATTTGAAAAACACTTGAAAACTAACTTTTAACAAGATGGATAAAGCATACAGATAATCTCAGAAATCTTTTACCAATAAACATATCAAATACTTCAGCTCAATAAACATCAAATATAAAAAAAATATTTAGTAGTTGTATTTTATCACAAAGTAAAGATGATTCTTAAGGGAAAAGTGAAGGTGAATGTTTAGGTAAAGGAACCTCTTCATATATGATGCGTATGTAGGGAGGTTTCATTGGTAGAAACCAATACTCAAAGTTGTAGTAAAGGTAAAAACTTTTGTCCAACACAACTTTTTTATAAACCTCCAACAAACTGACGGCTAAGTCAGTAAACGACTGGTGTGGCCTGAACGTGTGGTAAAATGTACGGATGTCTGTGGCAAGGTTCTTCAGTGCCGGTTGACCAAAGATGGCACTGTCGTTGCCGAGGTAAGTGGGTTCCCCACTGTACAGGTAGATCTTGGTGTAGTTGGTTTGCGATCGGCTGGACAGTTTGGCTCCGAGCTCCGTCAGTTTCCTGTAGGTACGGTGGACAAACTGGGAGCAATCATAAGACTCAAACCACACAGTTGCATTAGGCCCCGGGTCAGAGCAAACTGTCCAGGTCTCATAGTAAATCCCAGTCTGGTTGTCGTCCTGGACCCACTGGGCCATGTTGTTGAACTGGTTTCCTGTAAAAGAACGGAAATATAAAACAAACAATCCTTACATAATATACTGTATTATTTTCTACGCCAATACCTTACCGGTTATTTCTCCTATTTTCTCCAGTGTTCCATTCTGTGACCAGTGCAAATCATCGATGCCTTCAAAGAAACAGGCTGCCCCCTGGTTGCACCAAAAAGGTGCAGACACCTCAGGTCTGAGGTGAGGGAACGTGCAGTTCCCCAACTGAAAGAGCTCGTACCACTCCATGGTGTAGTTGGTCCCTGTCTCTGAGCTGCTGAAGCCAATGGCATCATGCATGATGTGCTGGAAAACAAACAGAAAGATTATGCAGTAAACAATGTTCTCAAAGAACGACTACAGCTGTTAGAAGAAAATAAGGGTTGAAGCACTTACAAATTTTCCCAACAAATCTCCATACTTGAACTCCCACACAGGTGTTTGCAGTCTGTAAACGGAGATTACATCAGAGTCTCTCATGTAGGGTATTCGTCCATCTCTGTCCCCAGTGGGACAGAAGGGATACAGTGCTTCACAGTAGGAGTCAGTGTCTGGACGGTAGTCAAACCGTCTGTAGATGAGAGGAGAAGTTCACTGCTGACAGTTCCACAGATTTACATTGAATGATCACTCTGTTTACATGTTGTTTTGCAGGTTTTTAGAGGTTTTATTTGCCATTGGGAGGCCACATGAGGTGATTTCTTTTTGGCTCCCATTTTACCGAAAAGTTATTACATTTATTTTGTCTTTTGTCCAACAGCCCTTTTGAGGTTTCTTTAACAAGACAAGAAACTAAGACTCATAGCTACAGTTTTGCAAAGTTTAACAGTGCATTTGAAAGGCAACACTCATGTAATTCTCATTTTGGAGAACATGAAAGTTAGAAACCTTTCGTTTCCAGTAACATTTCCACAGCAGCGGCCACAATTCAGTGAAATTGTCCACATGTATTTCATAGCTGTTATGGAATTTGCAAAGCACAAATGTATAAAACAAACAAATAAAAAAACAAGGTTGGAACCTTAAATACAGCCTTTAAAACTTTTAATTTACTCTGTCACGTGAAAAAAAGATAACGTGTTGGTTGGGGTTCGTACCTGTATGGAACAGGCCACTGCTGTTGAAAATGAGCCACAACACGGAGAATCAGGAGCAGGTTTAAAAACAAAACGACAAATTGACAATGAGTCATGGTAAAAAGCGTTAAAAAGTTTAGGACGATCAAAACTACTAGCAGCAAGAACTGAGTGACTTCCCATGATCCTCTGACACCCACTTCCGCATTACCTGTCACGTGGTTTTGTTGACGAATTGAAATCCCATGACACCAAAGAGAACTGAGTACAGATGCTTAAATTGGTTCTATTTCATGTATGTGAGACGGTTCAAAATGTGTCCAAGTCTCTTTTCATTTCTATGAAAGTTTTTTCCACTGGTTTGTAATGTTCTGCGTTTCGATAAATCTAAAGCAAATGTGTAAAAGATTGAGAAAGCGCAACATATACAAGTTTGAGTGGAACACAAATGGAAACATTTAAAACAACTGTCTGGTAATAAGAACATATTTATTAAATTTTGTGTTTAGATAAGTTGTAGGGGGCGAGTTTTCCACAAGGGATGGCGTAACAGCATCGACCAGATACATCACTATATTAATAGCGTAAAAGAAGAAGTGGGAAGTGGGCGGGACTTCCTCTCCGCGTTGACAGACAGTACAGTTGACTGTGACCGCCATGCTGTCGCTGCTGCAGCTCAGCGGTCGTCACCTCCTCTCAGTCAGGACTGTTCAGTGCTTGAACACAGCTCGGGTTTACTCCGCACACATGGCTGCTAACAAACGCGTGGCAGTGATTTTGGCAGGCTGCGGGGTTTATGACGGCAGTGAAATTCACGAAGCCTCCGCTGTTTTGGTTCACCTGAGCAGAGGAGGAGCCAGTGTAAGTCTGTCAACTTTATTCTGTTATTAAGTGTCTTAACTCTTCTTGAAATTTGTATATGTGTATAAAGTTTCACATATATAACATTTAGCCACAAATAAACGCAACATAAATATTTTTTCTATGGATGTTGCTAATGAAATGCACAGTTATAGTGTACCTTGCAACAGACGCTGGAAAAACCTAAAATGACAACACAGCCCCGGAAGTTGTTTGTAACAATTACGTACGCAAACACTACCGAATAAGCGTAAACCTTCATCTACGTAAAAACAATTCTTGAAATGTGCGTAAGTCTCTGACCCGTGTGTGATGACTAATCGACATCCGAATTATTTACACTGTTTTGGACAATACCATTAATATAGTCGTACGTTTTGGAGCACTGCACTCTTAGTGTTAATTTAGTTTATGTTTTATGCTTAATTACCCTTAGGTAAACATGTTTGCCCCCAACATCGATCAGATGCATGTCATCAACCATCTTAAAGGAGAACCATCTGAGGAGAAGAGGAACGTGTTGGTGGAGAGTGCAAGGTTGGCACGTGGAAACATCCAGGACCTTTCCAAACTCGGTGTCAAGGACCATGATGCCATTATAGTCCCAGGTCATTATAAATATGATAATTCAACTCTCTCCAATGATTCACCATCAGATAGTCCAAATATAGTATGTTTTAGTATGACCAAAGAACCCATTTACCCCCTGTATCAGAACATACACGCTGCTGCATTTGTTTTCAGTCTAAAAACAAATTAATGTTTGACAGGGGGTTTCGGGGCAGCAAAGAACCTGTGTACCTGGGCAGTGCAGGGTAAAGACTGCTCAGTTAATGACCAGGTTAAAGCCGCACTGCAGGCGTTTCACGGTGAAGGAAAACCCATCGGTCTCTGCTGCATCGCACCTGTCCTGGCTGCTAAAGTCTTTTCAGGATGTGAGGTGACTGTGGGCATTGAGAATGACGATAAGTAAGACCAATCTTCTTCTTCGTTTTCTTTCTTTTTTTGTTATCAAAAACTTGTTGAATGTCAAGAATGATTAATTGAAATAATGATTAAAAAAACAAAACTTGAAAGTTAACCTGTCACTTATAACAATGACCTTTTATTGACATTAGATTACACAAAAATAATACAATCACAGCCATTTTACACATTAATAAAAACAATAGATAATCATTTCTTAGACAAAAGATCACTATTATTAACCATATTATTCTTTCTATTATTGATAGAAGCTTTTTTTCCTGTTTAGGACATGTCTAGATCAATGCCAGAATAATAACAAAATAAAACATGAAGAATGTATTTAAAAAATACATAAGAAAGGAAACTATAGTAAAGACTTTCTTTTTCTTGCTTTTCCCTGTTTTCCTCTCCAGGTACCCAAACACGACTGACACGGCAGCAGCCATCAACTCTCTGGGCTGCAAACACATGAGCACAGGTGTCGGTGAGAGCCACGTGGACGAGAAGAACAAGCTGGTATCCACCAGTGCCTTCATGTGTGACGCTCCCATCCATGAGATCTTTGACGGGATCGGATCCATGGTTCGGGCCGTGCTGAAACTTGCCTGAAAATTACCGAAACTGCTTGTCTCTGCTCCATACCGATCTGATGTTTAGGCGATTAGCTGTCATCTAGATAAGAAGCACTTCCAGACATACAGTAAATATGTTTGTACAGTAGTGGCGATCTGCACTGCATGGTCTAATTTTTGTAGAAGTATCTGCAATGAAGGCTATTGTCTCTGTGTTATTTTCATGAAAATGTTTAGAGACAACAGAGAATAAAAATTTAAATTGTACTTTTGAAGTGTTCACAGTGTCAGTGTCAGGTGCAGAAGTTAGCAAAGGATTAGGGCTGTTCTTGCATCCATTTTTTAAACACTTAACAGTTTCTGCAATTTCTTCCCAAACAGACAAAAGTTGGCAAATCTGAATTACCCAACAACGAGAGACTTTTTACTCATAAGGACCTGATCCTGACCTCTTTAATATCTGATTTGGTGCAGTTGACAGAGTGGACTGCTGGTCCTTCTCAAAAAAGACCCCAAAATGGAGGCTTCACTGACTTTCTCCATGTTTTCTACCACATCAATGACTCCTTCCACTCCCTGTGTGCTCAACACTGAAGAAGCATTTACACTGAATTTCTCCACCAGGTCCTTGTTACTCAGTGGCTTCCTCCAGTGGCCGTAGAAGGTATCACACCTGGCAGTACAAAGCTGACCGTCATGAGTTTCTATCTGAACCTCACAGTACATCTTGTCAAAGCTGGGCTGGTTGTCTTTAGGAGTCTCCATCTCCACCTTGGACAGGAGCTCTGTCAGTGCAGGCCTCTTCATCTGGGCCTCACTGAAGGTCTCCACTGTGACTTTGTTGTCCAGCAGAGCAGAGCAGGCATTAAACTGAAAGGAGTGTCTGGCCTGGTGCTCTGAGGTTGGTGTGGGACAGTTGACATATTTAGATGGAGGCACTCGAAGTGTGACTTTACGGATCTGGCTGAGGTCGAAGCCCCTAACAGTGTTTTCTAACTTCCTGCGAGCATTCAGGGCTGCATCTACAACCCAGTGCATCCCCAGATGTGCAGGAATTCGCTTCACAGCTACGGCTTGATCATCCAGGATCCATCTGTAGCCACTGGAGGAAGAGTCAGCCAGTGGTTCAGGACTGTAGTCTTTGTAGTAGACCCCAAACCCTCGGTCAATATCCAGGATGGCTGGGTTCCCTTCTAGTCCGATGTGGGCCAGTTGGGCGGCCTCCAGACCTTTGCGAGCTGCGTTTCCGGCATGAAGAGGTTTGGTTTGTGTGGCAGCATTGGCCAGAGGAGCTCCAGCAGAGGAAGCGGCGATGGCCAGAGCATGAGAGCACTGAGCAGGAGTCAGACCCAGGAGCTTTGCCGAGGCTGCGGCACTCCCCATCACACCCACAACACTGGGAGGATGGAACCTGAGCAGGAGACGAAGAAAGTAAGTGAAATACAAGGATGTAAACTATTTTAAAGTTTACAGTGAAGAAAAAAGGTCTAAATTATGTTAAGCTTTATATGGAAGTCCTTTTGAAAATAAAATATATGTAAGATTTTGAAAAAAAATTGCTCTAATTTAATAATAATATAATAAAATAAATATAATAAAAAAATGAAAAATCCACTATTAATTTTGAGCATCTGACCAAAAATGACATGCTAAATTGGGATTATGCCAAAAAATTCCAGAAAAAAATCTAAAAATGACTCAGTTTTTAAAATAGTTTAATTTGATGAGAAACATTTTTTATCTGTACAAACCACTTTGAGTTGCCTGCCTAGGTGTACTTAGCCTTGCATGGCTTAATCTTTGAGACAAGCATATGCTACTGGCAGGATCAACCAGGTAGCCTCCCCAGAGCGAAGCTGCCTGGAGGCTTGTTTTTTTATAAAAATCAAAGATTTCTCTTCTACGTCAAGGAGCATTAGACCAGTTTACATTAAATGTGTCCTTAATGATAGACAACACTAGAGGTAGGTGTTGTCACTTTCTCGATTTAGTAAATTCAGCTTCATCCTCCTTTAGTCATTCATCTCCTAGCGTTTAGTCTAAGCTTTCCCGTTCAGGGTTGGTCTGTAGTTCACCATTCCATCACAGAGCCACATGTTCACAATTGTGTAACTCACCTCTCAGGGATGTTGTAGGCCTCAGTGGAAAACCGCATGAGTCTGCCCTGAACTTCAATGCCAATATTAAAAGCCAGCAGCAGGTCCAGACCAGAGGGCCGACTGGGCAGAGTTTCTGCCAGGGCCAGCACTGCTGGAAGTACGGCCCCTGAGGGGTGAGTAGCTGGGTGCCAGGTGTCGTCAAAGTCCATGGAATGAACCTGTGAGCAGGTGATGTGACAGAATCAGAGTGTGACCAGCATCATCACATCACTTAACACTGTCCAGTTTTTCCTGTTTTTATTCGACCAACTTACAGCCACACCGTTGACAAAAGCAGCAAACTGAGGAGGCAGAGATAAGTCAGAGTTTCCCCAAACACTGCTCCTTTCTTCAGATGTGAACATCTGCAAAATAACAATAAAATAAGAGCTCTAATAAATATCTGAAATATGTTCCAGCTTTCAGGAGACATCAGTACACAGTCTGTTGTGTCTATGTCTCGTAATGCAAAAATGTTCTAAAAAGAGGAAATGAATCACAGACGGTGCATTTTAGTGAATGGAACTTCTCCACTTTTTGAAATGGGAACTTTTCCTGTTGTAAACAGTAGTTTCCTTTTAACAACACCCACCACCTTAAACAATTTTACTTTAGTATATTGATATAGATATCATCTACAATATATTTGTTGTATACAAAAATATTCATCTCCCAAAGTATTTAAATACAACATGTAAAAGATTGTGAATGAAAAAAAAATGCTATTAAATTAATCTGTTAACAATACCACACTTTTTGTTATAAGGAAAAGATTAGCAAATGTAAGTTAAATTTTAATCTACCTAAAATAATGACTTAAAGTTAGTCAAAAAAAAAGAAGAGAAGAGAAATCTAACAGGTCATTAATATAAAAATAATTGCCATTAAAGTTAGTCTAACATCAATAAAAACCAAACAATAAAAATATAGCAGAGATAGCTCAGGAAAGCTTAGCATCTCCCAAAATAGCTATAAACTTGAGACAAACAATTTGCCAAAACTACAAATACACCAGTACAATAAAAAAGGGTGGTTAAGTCAGCTTTGTTAGTTAAATGTTTCTTAAACATTTAGCAGAAATGTCTAATTTTCTTGTTTGATAACCAAACAATTGGCAAAAAGAGATTAACAGTTTTTTAAGATGATGATTCAAAACCTCAACCTCATATTTATTGATGTTCCTCCTGTTGCACAGTTACCTGACTGTGAGTCAGAACCTTGTTGAAAACTGATGTCCTGGTACCGATCAACCCGACCCCCAGAGTGTCCAGAATCATCCTTTTACTCCTGTTAATCACAGTCCCAGTCAGCTGTGCGGCACCGAGGGAGTGGATCGCAGTTCCAAAACTCTCTGTAATTCCCTGGTTAAGAAATAAATAATAATAAAAAATCTTACATTTATTTGTTCTTTACAAATTTCAACAAGCAACTAAATGCAGAGAAAGTATAGGAAATGTCCAGTCTAATAAAACCAGTTTAATATCTGTTGGTAGAACAGGCAGCGTTACCTTGCGGAGCATTGTTGTGGATCAGAGGTGAAGTGACACTACAGCCCTGTTAAATGTCTCTTTATAGTAGGCCACAACTGCAGGATTTCCAAACTGTGTACATTCCACCACAATGAGAAGTAGGTACTTTCACAATGACTGAACATCACGTTTTATGTCTTTATTTCTCTTTCATATGTTTTGTATTATTTGTGGATAGTTGATGTATAAATATGCAGCACAGTATGTTCTAACTTTGTTTTATTTCTATTACAGTAGCAAATGAGGAAGTGTTCGAAACCAAGTTGTATGCATCATTTATAAAAAAATACAGAACGCCTTTATTTATTACAATAATGTCAGAAATCATTTCTAATAAAATATAAGGTTTCATTAATGATAAATGAATTATAAATAAAAGGTTGTTGTTTTTTCTTTCACAATCAGTTTCATTTCTGAATGACATCCTACGGAAATTCATTTCAGTAGGAAATTATTGAAAATCCCTGATAATGACAGTGAGCACTGGGGAAACAACCTGCTGACTTAAGAGACTGAAAAAGTTCATCAGGCCTGAAGCTTTGACCACAGTGTGACCTTAGAAATCACCGAATGACCCATGTCCAAAAATAAGCTAGTAATAAGCTCCAGTAAAATTGATTATATATAAAAAACAAATTCAGATTAATAGAGTAAATGTGGTAGAATTGAATGCTGTATCTTTAAAAAAAAAAATCACTAATTCAATTTTTTTTCTGTTTTTAAAACATTCTTTTTTTTTACTTCTGAAAATGTTTTACATATTTGAGTGAGTATTTTTATTATAAAAAAAACATTTTCTTTCTTTTCTTTTCTTTACAGATATGAGATTTCCAACATTTTCGGGAAATTGCGGACTATGTGAGTGACAGACTGTGACTTCCCCCCACAGTCACACACCCGTTCCAAAACGTGACAATAAATGTTACGCCCTGTATTGAACCAATACCAGGCGCGATTTGTTCCGCATTTCTATCACTGTCCAACACATAAGTCTGTCACACACACTTCAACACTAAAAGCTGAAGAAAACAATATATACTGCGCCAGCAACTGTCATGGCGGGAGCTACACATAAGTCCACTAACAGCCTATACATTTGAACAGGCAAAAGAAAAAGAGACCTAGAACCTAAAACGGTTGGGGCGTGTGACGTCAGAGGCTGAAATGGTTCGCCGCTCGCTTTAAAAGCCACAAGCGTACTGCATTCATACATGTACTGCATTTTAAATGCAAACCAACAGGATCGATCTGAGCTGTTATATTTTACCGTGAGTCATAATGGAAGTACTACGTAATATGTGTTGCGGTTGGTAAAATTGACAACAAACAACTGCTGTACAGTACATATAAGGAGGAGCATCTACTGTAACAAAAACCCCTGCGATGCATATTAACCACCGCTGGGTGGTACTGCCGGATAGTAGCGTGAACAAAAGAGTGCGTAGCTGTTTTCGCTCAAACTTGGAATCTTTGCTCGCAAACTTCTGCAGACTGTACAAACCACAGGCTGGTGTTAGTAGTTGAGTCGTAGTCTCAGATTGTTATTTGTTGGCAGAAATGCAGTAGATTTTCTCCGTTGTTGTGATTTTAGTCCGCTGTCATGGCAACAAAGGGAAATTCAGGTGTCATGAAGGAATCACAAGGTGAGGAAAAATAGACCCGCTCACAGAGCCACGGGGCAGAACCCTTTCTGCTGCCCCTCCAGCCTCCAGCCTCCTGCGGTTTAAAGCTCCACTCCTCTCAGCCGCTCCTCCTGTCGGTGTGTAAAGGTGGAGTTAAGCGAGCGCAGTCCAAGGAAACCACAGGTGGAGTTCAGGTGTGTCGGACAAAAGAAGCAGACGGAAGCTACAGGAGTAGGAGTAGTAGTAGGAGGAGGAGGATGATGATACCAAACGGAATGCATGACTGTTGAAACACCTTGCATTCATTTCTTGATGAGCTGCATGAAACAATAGGAGACATATTTGCTGAAGGAGCAGTTCCTGTGTGGTCTGTCACTTGTGAGCCCGACAGAAGTTTAGACCGCCGTCTGTATTCACTGGCTGCGGATCCAGGAGTTTGGACATTCACGTTTATTTTTCAACAGACATCGAACTGATCCAACTGGGACTGTGATGGAGTGGAGAGAACAGTCTGCGGTCGGCTGCCAAGAAGCCTTCATGGAGGCGCAGCGGTGGATAGAGGTGAGAATGAAAGTCTGTGAACTATATAGTTAACTGTGTATATACTGATTTTCTAGTATTAAATATTCGTTCTGTGAGTCAATGGCTGGGTGAGGGACCCCCGAATTGGTCATGTCAGATTCTTGTTGGGGTCATAACCTTTTTGGAGAGTTATTCACTGATTTAAAGGCGTCATGTCCTGTTTTATGGACCAATAGCAAATTGTATCACTCATTTTTTTTTTTTTGTGGGGGGGGGGGGGGTGCATCATTTTGAGCTCTGGGCTTGTAAAAGTCTAACTAAGTACGATGAAGTTCAAGATTAAGATTTATTTTGATTGGTTATTAATTATTTCTTCAGATTATTATTGAATCTTTAATCTTGAAGAAGGCAGGATGGTGACTGGTGATGCCATGTAGTACTTGTTGTGCCCTGCAGCTAGAGTGGTATAACCCACATATGTAGGCTGCATATCAACTGAACTGGTTAACTGTCCAGGCTCCAGCTAGGCCATGTCTGAAGACTGCTGGGATTAGCTGCAGCTGCCCTTGTGACCCTGAAAAGTATTTTGTTGTTGAAGATACATGAGCAATTGGAAAAAACAAAAACAAAAAATGCCAGAAGTCTGAGGACAAAAACATGATCTGTTGAGGTTTGGATTATATAAACCTGACCCATGTCGTGGCTCATGTAAAGCCATGTGGGTCACATATTCAATGTGAACATGCTGGTTGAGTAATTCCGAGTTATTTTGGAGGGAAAATTAGCTGAGCTTGACTTGCAGCAGGTTGACAGACTGTTTCCTAAATTTACGGCTGAAAGCAGCTCAGGTTTCTCAGCTGTTTGCCCCAGAGCTCCAGATAATAGCTGCCTGCACTGGTGAAAGGATGGAGGCATGTGTCACCCTTAACCTTACCTGTCAGGTAACTGCTGAGAGTCATCGGTGACTTGTCATTAACTAGAACCCAATAAATCTGCTGAAATCTTCTAATATACCCAGTCCTCCTTCTCCTCTCGGTCTCTGCCATCAGGGGGTTAAAGTATGAACTTTTGTCATATTATCTGTTCGCTCCTGATTTTGTCACATCTTGTCCAAACCTGCTCATAATTTTTTCCTAATGGGCTTGAAGGCTCCAGATGCATTTAAGTGATGAGAAAAATGTTCAGAGCCATTAAGAAAACATGCTTGATTGACATACAGGTTTTTTGTTTTTAAATCCTGGTTGAACCTTTAAGAATTGATGACAGACATGTCCACTCTGGTCTGGGGGTCAACAGTGAAAAGTGAATATGTCCAAAAGGTGATTTATGTGACCCACAGAAAGTTTTTGTGCTGCAGTAATTGTCAAACTAACAGTCTCAGCATACCTATATGGAATTTGCCTTATTTTTGGCTAAATACTTAATGACTTACTAATTATTATCAGATAAAGCTTTATTTTTAAATCTTTGTTTTTCAAATAATGTTATCTTAAAGCCAATGTTAAACCTGCTAACTTTTAGCCTTCTTAGGACAAACTCTTATTTACTTATTGGCTAATGTTTAGAAGCCCTTTGGTGGTAGATATTTCTGGCATTTCATTGGCCTACCCTAGCTGGTCCTGAAGCTGGTCTTATTGTTTGTTAACAACATTGAGTTATCTTGTGGCTGTTTGTATTTTTGTGTTTTTTTTTTTTTCATGGTGTAATATAATTGTTTTGGATGTTAATTTATCTCTGAACTTTTGTAACAGTTTTTGGTACAAATTGTGTTTCCTTAGTATCAGTTTCTCATTTTCATGCAAATTGAATATTTTATCGAAACATTGAGCTGTTTTCATAATAATTACAGTTTTAGGTGCCAGTAATAAACCCACATGGATGTACACATGAATATTTTGACCGTGTTTTTGTTACTGTGTAAAATTCAGCAGATTTGATGAGGTGGTTTCCTGGTTTTTATGGTCATAAAGTTCCCTCTAACGCAGCTGTCAAAATGAAGAAGTGGTTTCCAAGACAGAAAACCGATCCTCCGGCCTTTTCTTTCAATAACAGAGCGTTTATTTTTCAAATGTCTAATTATCCAGAGTTTCCACGTGGCCTGCCATCAGACCCTCGGTCCGTCTGTGTTCTCTTTTACGAGTGAGTGAAATTATGTTTCCTCAATGGACAAATTCTGTTCCCAGCAGGGAAGCTGAGAGAGGGGGAGGAGGAGGAGCAGGGGGGGGGGGGGGGGGGGGGGGGGGGTTCTGCCGGCGGCTGCTCCGGCTGCTGGTGCTGCTGCTGCTGCTGCTGCTGCTGCTGCCGTTGATCAAACGCATTTGTAACTAAACAAATATTGTTGTAATTTCACGAGCAGTGAATCAGAATGCTTTGGATGTGACATCAGTGTCTCTGTCTCTCACACACACTGGACCATTGTGGTGGTGTGTGGTGAACATTGGTGGTGAAGAATCCCTAGGCAGAGTGAACAGAAGCAGGGCTGTTGTATTAACTAGGTGTGTCCAAAGTCCAGTTCGTGGCCCAGCAAGGTACTTCAGGGGTTGGTATGGTCGTCACTTTTTTTGTGTTTCTACTTTTCTTTGACACTTCATCAAGATCAGAATGATTTCTGTTCTTTTAAGGGCTTGTCCTTGCCCTGTATGGACAACACCCAGGGACACAACTAGGATCATTTCCGAGGGCATCCTTATCCAAATTTTGAGTCATCTCTTTGCTAACCATTAGCTGTTTCCAAGCTAACTAAGCAGGTAGACTGTTTGGTCTCAGACCACACTAATCGGATTTGACGTTGATGGAATGAATTTCCGCGAGGGAGTGTAAAATCTGACGGTAGAAGAAAAATATCCACTCGAACATCCAAATGAAAGAAGTTCTGTTGGACTGGATCATGTTGACCTGAATACATGCCTACTGAATACGGTAGTCATGTGTTAGGCATGTACAACAAATTCCACGGCCTCGTCCAGCTTTCTTTTATTAGTTGGGGTTCTCCCCACTCCCAGATCTCTGCTGCTTTTCATCTCCTAAGAACTGATTGGTTGTTATCTCAACTTTAACGTCTAGTTTTTATGCAATGTAATGGAAAACACACAGTATTATGACAAATAATAGAGTGAGCGTGAGTGTAGACTGAGTAAATGATATTCTCTTTAGTCAGCTTTCCAGCAAACGCTGAAAGTAATGGTCCTGGACCAAGTTCATTGTGTGAAAGTTTGGGATTTACAGGCAGCCCTGGACCCCATCTGTTGACCTGCAAGCTGCATTTTAAACATTTCCACTTGTTCTGAATTGTTACAACAGTCACACTTGCAGCCTTTCCATTACGTTAACAAGGACTTCCATTATTCCGGTTCAGTGATCCCAGAACACGGTGCCCAGCGCTGACAGCAGAGCAGCTCTGAGGGGGTCTATGTTCACAGACATAGCAGCTAATGCAGGAATGTGTCCATGTGATGGAGTGCAGAGCTGCAGAGTTTAGTTTTTAACAGCAACACTTCTCACTGTGCAACGCACGCCTCTGTTCAAACCCACTGTGAACTCCGAGGTATGTTAATCAGTGGCAGAATCTACTCTTTGAGGGGAGAACTGTTAGTCTCGTATCAGAGTGCAGTGTCAGGTTGCCTTTGTATTCAGCTCTGTAACAGATAACCTTATTATTAGCATTAGCCTTCACAGGTTTCACCCATTGGTAGAGAAACACCCACTTAATCTGCTTAATCTGCTTTTTCTCTCTCTCTCATTTTTGAATTTGTTAGCTTTCTCTGTGGACTTTTCATACGTAGTTTCAATACAGCGCTCGGTGCATAGCACTGTGGCCTATTTACCCCACAGCCACTCGATAAGGTTATGTAAAACAATGTGTCAAAGTACCCCACTTGGGGCCACAAGCGCTATGGATTTATTTTTTTTAAATAATAAATATAAATATAACTTTTTCCTTAAAAAAAAATAAACGTCCCTAATCATCTCAAATTCTCAAATTTCCCATGTTACCTGAATGTACCTCGCGTGACAGCTGCAACTGCGGTATTAAGACGTTATAATCTGTGTAGAACTGGTAGATTATTATTTCAGTGGGAATACTGTATATTCAGTGGTCAAAACATTAAGACTTCTTTTTGTGGTAAACAAATCTAAAAGCTGCAAAAATTGATGTTTCTTTACATATATCGTACTGTTGTCTGTGGGTTTGCTAAGGGGGGTTACGGCCAGAAGCTAATTCTGTTGGGGAGATGGGAGGGTTCATACCAATGGACTGCTTTTGAACATCTGTATTTAGCAAGTGTTGTGGGAAAATGACTTCACATGGACCCTGTGAGTCAGCAGACTGCTCCAAACTAACTTTTTTTTAAAAAACTCAATATGTACTTGGGTCAACACCAAATTCTAATATGTCAGACCCTAACAGGATAACAATGTTCTTAAGATCTTCTACCCAAGCCTGATTTTTGTTTCCTGGCCTACACTGTTGACAGTCAGTTTTCCTTTATGTCACTAACGCAGGTAACAGTGTCACACACATCGTTCCAGTTTCTTTTCTTTAGCTTTTCTTTCACGGTACAAGAATGTGTTGTCTGAGAGATCCATTCATAAGGTTTTACCCAGAATGCTTTGAATCCCTTCAGAAAACAGGTTTGGAGACAGAGCTTTGAGTCCAGCCTGTGATCTGGTGGAAGGCCATGTAACCACACACAGCACAACCTGTCATCTGTATTAAGATGTCAGATTATCTTTTAAATTGTACCCGTGTGTGTGAACGTGTGTGTGACTGCATTGTGTTTCTCACATATTTAGCCACAAAGCGGCCAATCACAGGTAAGACAATCCAGTCTCATTGTGTTGGTGTTGTATTTGTGTGGTTTTGAGCGCACAAAAACTTCATCATCAGTATGTGTGTTTTCAGGAAAACAATATCACTAAATGTTTATTATTATACTATATTGAGACTATTTCTGCTTTGGTAGTATGTGTTTGAAGTATTTAGACTAATGTTTAGCTATTTGTGATAGCTCAGTACAGATCATTAGTGGACGTTTGATGCATCTATTATCTGATTTCCTAGAATTAGTGCGACAATGAGGCACACAAATGCTGAAACACAATGCAGTTCCATTTTCCTCCTCTGTCCATTTTTATGTACCAGTGGCTTTCAACACTGTTGTGTTTGTTTTGAGCCAGTACGCTGAAACGGTTGGATAACAGCAGTGTTGCCCTCTGGTGACCCGTGCACGCTGCCCTTGCTGGGGAAACAAAGAACTTTAGAAACAATAATTTGGGTTGTGTGGTGTTTGTGGTGGTGGTGGATGTGTAGGGGGCGCTCCATCCACACAAACCTCAAATGCTGATGTACCTCAGCGGCCGTCATGAATAAACAATAGCTGTGGTCAGAGATCCAGAGTGAGACTGGGCTTTGGTTATTTATCTTCCACCAAGACACCGATCCAGCTCCACCACAGTAACAATAGTAGAATTGACACACGTCTCACTGAGTCAATAATGAGCTCTGAGGGGCATATTTCAGTTGTTTAGAGTGTGTGTTGGAGGGAGGGGGGGTCAGTGTGGTCATCATGAGACCCAACATGTTAAGGCAGTACATTCTTGAGGGGAGGGAGAGTGAGGTTTTGTCGAAGAAAAAGCAAGTTGTTTTTGAACTCTCCTGGTTCAGTCACAGCAGCAGGATGTTGCTGCAGATTAGAGCTGTGATTCCACAGATTCAACAGAGAGGGGAGAGAAGTGGGCCGGGTCAGGGGTGAGGGGGAGTTAATGCTTTGAATGGTGAGGAGCCAGAGGTGAGAAGCCTCCTGTTACTCCATCATCAGGGCCAGGTCGAGTCTCACCTGCACCACTATCGGACTGTAGGACAAGTATGTCCAAGGTGAGGTCTGGGGCCCATCCTGGCACTTCAGAGGTTTCTACAGTATATTGCATTTCAGCAATTAAACCTGTGAAGTTCTATATTTATTATGGGCTAGATTAATTTTTAGCATCATCTTAGTTTATTTTTTTAGCTAGTGTTCTTATTCATCACAATTCCTTAATTCTATTATATATTGCGTAACATTGTCTTTTGTCTTTTTGACATTTATTTGCCTAATTCTTCCAATCTTTTGGGGCAGAATTTGGCCAAACTCCCTGCTTTTTCAGCCAAACGTGTTTTCATTCATTCACACATAGTTATTTCTATTTATTTGTCTGTGCTAATTTTCACTTATAGTTGTCAATTTTTAGTCATAATCAGCTGAGTGTTAAATGGTTTATAAAATAACCTATAGCTTTACAATATTATTTTGCTTTAAAATGTATTTACTCTTGTCTTAAAAAAATCTTCAAGGAGGAAGGTGTTTTTTTTCCTTTCCTCATCCAGATATCCCGCCCAGACTAATCTCTGGACCTCCCTGGATAAAGAGATAAAATCTTAATCAGTCTATTCAGACTAAAAGATAAACACCTTTGCTACGCCCCAGTGTAAAAGGATAAGTTCCCAAACATTGTTGATTTCTATCTGGTGTCAACAGCTGCCGTCTGTTGTAGTTTGAATAAATGTGAGTCTGAGCTGCGTACAGAACAGTAGGGGTCAGGATTTCATCTGACAAACTGCAGCCTGACCGACTGGATGTCAACCCACTGTGTGTATGCTGTTCTGTAGCATATACTAAGAGTGAGTCTGTGGTGTTGTTGTGATGTGTGTCAGATTACGACTGTATTTCTGTCAAAGAAAGCGATACTCCACAAACAAAAACAACTATTTCCCAACAAAGGCTAAGTCACAGTCGCGTCAGTGCTTCGCCTGGCTGAATCATATTCATCCATTGGTCTAATTCACTTGGAATGATGGGTATTCACGGCCATGCCCAGTTCAGTTTACCCAAGGTGTGTTCTGAGGTGTACGTCAGGATAAAATAATAATTATGTCGTCACTATAAATATTTGTCACCAATGGTTTGGTTTCCTGTGAAGCAGGTCTACGCCTATGTCAGGAATTAGATCTAAAAAAAAAAAAAAAAACTAGAAAGAAACAAAGAGTTGACCTTTAAACTGTCAATAAAGGATATTTTTATGACTTAATATAAAAGTGCTTTTTCAGTGTGTGAGAAATAAATGTCCAGCTGAGGTTCTGTCCCAACGAGAGTGGAGTTTTTTCTATTAATACATTATAGGTTAAATCTTAGTTTTTATTTTCTATGAATAATTAAAATAGTTGGAAAATAATAAAATATTTAATAACCCAAGTTAGCCAAAAATTAAGCTAAGAGTTATCTATAAAGTAGAGAAAAGAAACAAATCAGAAATGATGAAGGTTATATATGAACATAACCATGAAATCAGACAGAAGTTGTCAAAAAAGCCCAAACAATGAAAAACTACATTCCTTCACCACAAAACATTGAGAGCTAAAATACAAACAGCTTAGCATAACTGGGAGGCTAAAAGCTACCTGAGTGATAAACAAGTTAGTCCAGAAACAGCGAAAAAATGACAGAACACTAGCTAGAAGTTTATGGTTAGTTTAAAGACATTTAATGGGGATGTTCTTCTTGATCAGATCCAAAATGCCCCTGACACTTAAGAAAAATAAAAGGCCCATTCTACCATCTACCGTCTGCCAAGACTTGTCTCACTGATTTTCTTTAAATCTTTCTTTAAAGGAAAAAGAGACGAAACCTTTCAACCAGAGCACGAATAAATGACTTTGTTTTAACCTGTCCAGCTAGTTCTCCTGCCTGGGTGTGAATGTTGAAGTGTGTGTATAATAACAACAACAACTCTGAGCTCCTCTGTGTTCTCACAGTCTGTCTGTCCACCTGCCTTATATTTAATGTTATTACCGTAAGCCTGTTTCTTTTTTTTTCTACCTGTTTCAGGTCCACCTGGCCATTCTCCAATCACCAGCCTCAATCATAAACCAACAGGCCACAGGTTTCCGCCATTGCTAGGCCTCAAAAACGATATGGCCTTTATGTTGCATTACTGCCACCTACTGGCTTTAAAGTTTCTCAGATAAACATCCAGAAGGATCTATACAGCTTGCAAAAAGAAGTGAAAATTCAAAACCACGTCTTATCAAACGTCCTCCCCTTTGAACCGCTGTCCATTCATCTGTTCTAGTCTTGGTGTGTGTTTTGTTGCACAACACAAATACACAGCACTGTGCGGTGTGTTACTGTTAGAAAGAATGCACGAATTGTTCTGTACTGCGACTGTTTGTGTTGGACTCGGTCACTCAGGTACCATTTGTTCAAGTCGTTGATGGTGGAATCAGTCCAGCAAAACAAAACAGGAAGTCGTGTTAGGGAGCGGCCGGCCCCAAACACAGAGCTCACACTTTCCCATGAAGAAGAAAATAAATACACAAATGTGTGGCGTTGTTGTCGTTGAGTGGAAACACAGTGTGTGCATTGTATGCATGTGTTTTAATTGTGTGTACTTGCACCTCATGCATGCAGTCTGTGTTTAAGTGTGTGTGTATTTGAGCCACATAATGACTCTGGTGTTCCAGCAGCAGTGGTTTGAGATCATGGGAAAGGCATGAGGCTGCAGCGCAGTGGTGTGTTCCTCCACTGCTCCAGATTCTCCCAAAGCACTGCGGCTTGGATCCTGCACTGGAGTTGTTTCTTTACCCCTTGGGGGGCGGAGGGGCTTTTCTAGGCATTAAAGTGAGAGTATTTTAAAATCTGAGAAGGAATACCTTAGTATCTGCTCCTAAGTCTTTCCCACAGACACTGTAAGAACTGAGGAGGAAATACCTCCAACTTCCTCTCCTACTGTTCTCAACATCCTACCTTTCTTCTCTAGCCTGACAAACACTCTCTAACCCCCGCCTTTCTCCCTTCTCCTCTCCTCTCCTCCTCCTCGCTCAAACCTTCAGCACTTTCCTCAGTGCGTCTTACCATATTCCCCCTTTTTTTTTTACAGGCAGTAACCAAGAAAAATTTTGGGAGCCAGGACTTCCGATCAGCGTTGGAAAACGGCGTTCTCCTGTGCGAGTAAGTACACCGTCTTTGTTTTGATGTGGAGGAACTTTTCCACACGTACAGCACAGCAAGTGTTACTTATATTTCCCAGACTGTCAGACTTCACAGAGTGAGCTACTGTTTCCTGGACACAATAGAGGTGGTGTTATTATGTAGCTGTTTGATGTTCCACCGTCACATCTGCCCTCTGAGGTCTCGTCTGAGAACATACAGTGTGTGGGCTCTATTCCAGGAGGAGTAGTGTTGTCTGTTCAACAGATGTTAGGGATCTGTGGACGGGGGCGCATCACCATCCCTGCTTTAATTAGAGCTGTGAAAAGCCGGGTCGTGAATGGAAAGCGACCGTCCACGGCCCAAACCACAGTGCAGAGCCGGAGCTGCTGCTTTTTCATTACGTGCAGAGATGTGAGGGACAAATTTATCTCCGCAGAATTAGCTCTTCCATTGATTCACCCCAGCTATCATCACACCAGGGATGTGTTTTCAGAACGTGACAGGAATGTTGCATTGTGTCTTGTTGGTAAGTTTGTAACGCCGGCAGCACATTGAGATGGACACAATGATGTGATTTGCACGAATCAGCAGGACGCCGTAATTACCAGCAGCCCCGATCTTCCGTTCCCTCTCTGTACTGGCACAGTGTCAGAGAAGAACCCCTCATTCTGCTGATCTGCTGAGAGACGGAGGACAACTGACCGAGCTGTCCATGTTTTCTCAGGGAAGATCAGCTCCCGTTCCCTTTGCACTCTGGGTAACCCGTCAAAAACTATTTAGGAACTAATGTTTAGTGCTGGTTTTCACACCACATGATTGTATCCTAATTATACTTGTCTTATCAGATGAGAAATTCTTACACGTTTCTCTGTAATTGCCGCGTGGTGAACCTAAACCCTTCTGCGTCAAGCATTTCATTCACACCAACGTCAGGAGCATCGTGTTCATTTTTTAGCTCACAGACGTGAGCTAAAAGTTAGCCTAGCAAAAGTTATGATAGAGCTGCTTGAAATTTGCTCAAAGCAAATACTAAATAACAAGTCAGGTTAGAAATGATAAAAACACTGAATGTAGTCTACGTTTGCTCAATAGGGGGCGTAGCCCTAAAGCCAGGAGTAATAAAATGAATGGGAATTTCCTGAAAATGACTTGAATGATCTTTAAAATCAGTCTGAGACAATAACACTTACAATAACCTATTAAAAAGCTTAGCCTATGTTAGCCTGAGTATAATAGCTAAAAATAAAACCCTTGTTTTACAGAAAAACAAGAGAATATAGTATTAATCAAACAATCACTGTAATGATATTTCAACGCATTATTCTGACGTTTCAAAGGCTACAAAACACGTTGACCATCTGAATGGTTAAAGTAACTGCACAAGGCAGCGTCAAATATCAGACACCTTTTGTCTGGTTGTACATGTGGTGGCCGGGGCTTTGTTTGGGTGTGTTTCATTTCATTTCACAGTGCACTGTATGTGTGAGCAGCGGAGAACCGACCGTGTTTACATCACGGTGCGGGCACATGCCATTTACAAAACTGGAGCCAGGTGGCCACCATTAAAACCAGTCGTAAACACAACAACAGCCAGACTCTGCTGCACTTTCTGTTCATTTCTTGGCCACAGTTAGAGCCGTCTGGTCGGTGACCAGTAGCTTTCACTTTACTACTGTCTTCATCCTGTTGGTTGATGTTCTGTCTGTGTCTGTTCCTCACAGTCTAGTCAACAGAATCAGGCCTGGACTCATCAAGAGGGTGAACCGACTTCCTACACCTATCGCTGGACTGGTGAGTTAGTGACGCCGACTGTATTTTCAAATGTTGAAAACACAGCGAATATCCATGTGAAGGCGTGTCTTTACACTCTGAACTCTGACATATGTGGTTTGTTGAGTTCCAGCTAACTTTGAATTGTCTTTTGGCTCTTTTGTTATATTTGGCTCATTTCTGGCTACCTCTACATAAGCCAACATGTCTTGTTATTTTAAAGCTAACCTTTAGCAATAAATCTTTGTCTGAATTGTTTAGGTTCTTTGTTCACTACCTTAGGTTATTCATCTATTAATGCTACTGTATATTTTTGATAATTTTGAAATGCTGAAGTGTACTAGTTTAACATTTCTTTGCAATATATTTGGTTCATGTGCAGCCTTTAGATTGCCTTTAGTATTTTTTGTGCTTACTTTAAGACATTAACCCTTCAGCTTCACAGTGGTTCCTTGTTGGTTCTCCTTTGGCTTACCTACACTGCATCTTTTGAAATAGCTTTCTCCATAGGTTAATAAAACACTAAAAAGGTTCATCAAGTGAATTTTAAGGACAAGTTGAGATATTTCCAGGGTATTGTGTCTCAGTACTTTTCTTTCCTTCTATCAGGTGTTCTCAGCATTCTTTTTTCTTGTTTGAGTGAGCGTTTAAAGTTGCATCACTGACAGTGCTGACAACTCAGCGGCCTGTCTCTGCTCATATCCATCCCAGCTCAAAAGTTCACCCATCTTGCAGCTCTAAAGGCCACCGTCGTCATTAGTGTGCGTCTCAAATATTATGTCTGCTCTGCTTCAGCCAAAAACTACGGCATGATAATTGTTTCTTTGATGAGTGATGGGAGTGAGAGGCCAGACGCCTTCGTTTGATGTCATTAAATCAGTGTTTTCTTCCCTTCGTCCTTATCTCTAAATTCTACTTACGCTCGGCCATTTGAGGCCACGGTGACTCAGTTTGAAGACATGTTTTGGGAGTGTCGACATCAGCCCTGGAAGGAGAGGACTGAGAACACACCACCTTACACCCATTTCTCATAAAAAGCTCTCATTTGTGGGTGAAATTGAGTCCATCTGTCTGGAGGAATTACAGGGAACCATTACCTTAGAAAGAAACCTGGGGAGTCTGTGTGGATGTCAATTACACTCATCCAGTCGAACAGGCCAACGCGCTTCATGTTAACTGTAAACACAGCCTTTAAACGTATGAACCGTCAGGTCCAGTCATGATGTATTGTTGTACTTAGAACAACACTGTTAAAATAATATAATATTTCATGTTCTACAACATATTGTACTTTTTGGTAGGTTGAGATTTGGCTGTGATCACAATGGCCTAATAACCAATGCTGATCAGTAGTCAGTCGAAACCTGCTGTTAAATGAATGGAATCTGACTTAATTTCAGAGAAAGTCCAGCTGTTGTATTGGAATTTTCTTGACATGTACTGAGTTAAAACATGTTTTGTTAAAGAAGCTCGGTAACAGGTGGATTCCACTTTTTGGAGGAACTTTGGGTTTCAAATTAAGCAAGATTGATTTTGTTTTTAACTGAAAAAGCCTGCAAATAACAAGGTCGTCAGCAGGGATTAGGGACTGTATCAGGAATAAAGCTGGAAAAATCAACTTTTTTTGAATGATAACAATCCAAAGCATATGAGGATGACACAAAAACACTAGGCTAAAATGACCCTGAATATAAAAGAAATCAAAATCACAATCTTTCATTTAGGTCTATTTTTAAAGAGGTCTTTTGCACATCCTACTTCTTTGCTTTGATTCTAAAGTTTGGTTGGTATTCAAATTACACATATGAGGTGATTTAATTGATTTTTTTTTGGGGGGGGGCAGTGAAGCACCAAGATATACTAATGAAACCTGTCAAAGTTTTTAAGACACCCAAGATACGTTTCTGAACACTTTTTATAATGACGACATCTCTACTAGAACCTTTTGTCTTTTTGTGTGCTGTACACTTCCTCCCAGACCGATGGCTGCTGTAGAATATAGAGGTGATTGCATTGGAATTCTTGGAATTTTCATCTTCCGTTCCTAAAGATCTTTTTGTTTGTTTTCAATGAAAATGTATATACTACAGGATATGGAAAAAAAGTTCTTGGAGTAAATATCTGTGGGTCGTTGTTTCACCATCTAGTAGCCTGAATCTTTACCTGGGTGTTTAATCCTTCTTTAGATCTACTCTAAGTCTTCATTTCCTGCTGGTTTGTTTGTGAACTGCCGGTAATATCAGAGTGTGGACACCTGCTGAGGTAATGAGGTAAAGTATCTCCTCCGTCAGTAGCGCGGCTGTGGTATTTCCGAAACTTTGACACCAGCCTTTAAACCAGTGCATCATAAAATCCCCTCTCATATGTGAAGACTGGTTTGGCCTGAAGCTCTCAGTTAGTGCCGACCACATGGAGGAGGACAGGAGATCTTTTAAACAAACATTACTCAGTCTCTGTGAGCAGGGTTTTAGAACATTTTATATATTCTGTTTTTTTTTTTGTTTTTTTTTTTGCCAAAAGCTAATCAGGATTGTTTGTTTTTCTGCAGCTCATCTATGATGAAAATCAGGAGGAATGAATGGCTGAGCTTAGCTGTTCCTCTTTGAATTTGAATGTAAATCATTCAGTTATCTTACTTTAGTGTGCTGACGTCTTTGGCTTTCTTAGGGTATATCCTAACAGTACTCCATACCTTATGAAATGGCTTGGGAAATAATAAAGAGTTTAGCCACAGTAGTACTGCATTAATAAATAGATTTAAAAAAGGGAGAAGTAAAGAAAAGAAAACTCATTTTGAACAGGGCTTAAAGTGTATTTTCTGAAAACAAGTATAAAAAACACTTAAGACTCGGCAGAGGATCTTAGTGGATACACTGTCAGAGACCTTCATTTCAGTGATGAGGTCTTATTGAGAAGAGTTTTCAAAGTCCCGGGGACTTTGGGAAGACTCCAAACATTTTTGGCCTTAGATCGAGGAGGAAATATAAAATTCAGTTTTATTCTTCCTTGAAAACAGTGACAGAACTTGACGTCCATCAAAGAAAGAAAAAAATAAATACACGAACAACTGTTTGGACGCTTAAGTAAAGCAAGGTGGTGAAGGCTCTGTAATGATTTAGGACTTCATTTCAGCCAGTGGTGTTGTGGTTGAAATTGTTGAACCAAATATCACTATTGTCAAATACTGGTGAATCATAGGGTCAGAACTGTGGTAAAACGTTTTGTCCATAACTGGTCATTTTTGGTTTGTTTGGTTTTTTTTTAGACTTTCATTCCTGGCTCTGAGAATCAGTTTTGTGAAACAGAGGGGAAAAACGGGAATCACTGGTTTCACGGAATATTTAGTAACATGGTCTTCAGATCCGAGGCGATGATATGCCTTCTCTTGAGTCCAAAAGAATGTTTCCCATGTCAGCGGACTTTTCTGTCCATTGTTATTCACTTTGTGCAGTGGGTTTGGGTCATGGCAACCCATTTCCCACCCGGTCATGGTTTTACTAGTGCTGGACAGGAAGTTGGTATAAAAGTGTTGGCCTTAATTCAAGCCTCACTGGGCCGAAGTCAGAGGTCAGATTCTGCTTACTGTAAATAGAGAGATGTTACCACAAACATCGTCAGTCCTTTCACAGAGCTGTTGGAGGTGATGATGGACCTAGATGTTGTAAAAATAGGAGTGAAGTTAAAAGAGCCAGGCATGAAGAAATACAAAAAGAAATTAGCCAAAAGTTAGGCAAGATTGACAACAAATCAAAAAGTCAGGAATTAACTGATTAACTATTAACTGAACTAATAAAATAAAAATAACTAAAATAAATACCATAAGTTGAGAAATAGTTGAGAATAAAAAATCAATTTAAGGTCAAATAAAACACTTTTGTAGATTTAAAGGTTAGCTAAAGAAGATCAGACCAGAAATAGCAAATCTGGGAAACAGTTAGTCTAAAAGAGTTAGTTAATAGCTAAAAAAAAGTAACAGATGGGATAACTGAGTGTTATATAACAAAAAGCTTAAGTGAATTAGGGGAACATTTTTTGCAAAAATCTCATCATAGCAAACGAGTGAAAAATCTGAAATAACTTCTGCTGCACATGAATATTCTGTAACTGAGATGTTCCTACACCCACCGTCGTCCTCGGACTCTAAGGGAGTCTTTGCTCATTTCCATGTGTAATGTGTAATCATGTGTGCAATGACAGGCATTCTGCCTGTGTTTTCTGACTGCGTGTTTGTCTTGTATGGCTGCATGTTATGACTGGACGGACTGTTTGAATGGCATCCTTTTCTTGGAACTGTCTCAAACCCGTACGCTCTCTTCTCTGTTTACTGTGACAAAACTGGAAGAATGTGTAGTTTGATATTTTAACCACAGCTTTTCTCGTCGCTAAGGGTCAGTTCAGGGTAGTTTACACACAATTTGGCCAAAGAATGTATTGGTCAGCAGATCAGGAGCCAATCAGTGCTCTTGGACAGGTTTTATGAGGTCTGTCTTTTAAAATATTGTTATTTTTATTGGTGCAGCTATTGAGCAGCTATCACTAAGCTATCTTTCACTTAATTCCTTTCTGTCTCTTAGTTGTTTCTTGCCTTGGTTTTTTAATCTCTGGCCTTTTAAAAGTGACAACGACCTATTTTGTCTTAGTTTGCTTACTCATTTGACTAACTAATGTGTTTTGAGCTAACTTTTAAGTTAGCTTAAGTTTCAGCTACGCCTTACCAGATTTCTGCTTAGTTGCGTTATTTCTGATTAATAGTTAGCAGGACATTTATTTCAGTTTAATTTTGGATAATTTTAACTAAGATTTTGTCCAACATTTACAAATGGCTAACTTCAACTAATTTGAGGTTGGATCAACCTCACAATTTCTTACTAAATGTTGTGTTTTGGGTTGATTATATGTCTAAGTGGATTACCTTTTTCTATTTTTTACCTGGTTTCATATCCTTTGACCCTGTGTTGTTTATACATTATTATTCAGATACCTTTATGAGGCCTATTGTACTGTTTCGTGCTGTAGATTTCTTAAATCATGTCCACACCTCTCCTGGAGAGGATTAAAGGCCACAGCATATTTAGCAGGATTATGTTCTGACCACAGTCACCATTCTTTCAACATCATTAACTCTGCATGTTTTGGAACTGACTGTGAGTCTTTCAGAGAGTCAATGTTTCTCTAAGAGGTTGAATGGCACTGATACCAAGGTTAGAACCACACATGTATCCTCCAGATGAACTGTTCTTCCCATCGAAGGACCTGTTGGTACAGTGACCCCTCCATAGTGATATAGTGAACATTTTGTGAGATTGGATTAAAAAAAAAATCTGCGATGTACTGAGGGAGCGAAATGAGAACTGCAAGACAGATATCTATCTTTCTATCTATAAATATACATACATACATACATCCTCCTCACATAGGAGATGGGGGTGTTGATCGTTGACCTGCAGGGCCCCAGAGTGACCTGTAGGGGCACAGCAGCCAGCTGTTGAAGGACAGGCGAAGCTGTTGGCAGCGGCTGCACACAGAGGTCAGCTCTCTCCTAACATTTGCTAATAAGCACGTTTGACATTTTAAATATAGAACAGGCTACTACCCCTTAATTATACCAGCCCATGTTAAAACCATGTGTCATTACATCCAAACCCATGTAAAGCAACCTCATCCCAAAGGGAAGTGCAGACTTATGACCAAGGCAGTTGGGATTACCACTGGAAGTCTGAAGTGCATGATGACATATGTTTGTATGTATGAAGTAAAATGTATTTTTATTTTACTGGCACTTCTTTGTAAATCCTGCACAGAAGTTTTGGTTCTATAAATAGTCAGCTGAAGACAGGGTTGAGGGAAACCACCGTAGGAAGCAGATCTGAACAATTAACATGCATTAACATGTCTTTATATTAATTTGGCCTTAAATTCTTGGAATCTTGGAATGTGTTTGTAATATTTCAATTTGCAACCTTTAGGACTGGAATGTTAAATAATTATCTTGTACTTGTTCTTTTGGAGTTCACAACAAGACCTAGACCTAAACGTTTTTTGTTTTTTGTTTACAATTTTTTGGGCGCTGGACTTGAAATAACTGAGATTTGACTATGTCTTAGTCTTAACTGCTCTGTGTCTTAAATGAGACAAGACCTGAATGTCTTCCATATGATAAGAAACAAGTAATTAAAAATAAATTAATTAAAAAATTAAAATTTTACGTTTAGAAAATAATTACTAATACACTTTCTGTGTATGGAGGTTACATGCCCTGTTAAAGGTACATGGGGTTTTTCCGCCCTCAGCTCAAAACCATGCAGGATTTCCATATGCCATGTGACGTGTATCTGTGTGACTGGTTGTTTATCTTTATGGGAAACCACCATAGATGTTCCCTGCTCTCTCTCTAAGATTGGCTCAAGTCCCTGATGACTAAGTCAAATGGACTTGTCATGAAGAGGATTAAACTCTGCCAAATAAATCCATTTAGTGTCCCTTTATTTAACATGAATACCCCCCCCCAACCCCCCATATCTGAACCAAAAAGTTGGAGTTGGACTTTTATGCCACACAGTAGTAAATCCACACACAGATATTGGTAACATTTTTTCTACTCTCCTCTGATGCGACTGTCCCATCCTTTGATATGGCAGTCGTTGTCCGTCAGTCTCCTCCTTCTCCTGTTCAGTATCGTTAGTTACAGCACGGGAGGAGCTGACACTCTCCTTCCACGCCCATGTCCTCACGACTTGCTTCAGGGGAAAATATTTGTCAGTTTGTATCACCCGGCTTCGTGTTTCATAGCAACCAAAATGTCTCCAAAATAATCCAGCAGCAGTACCACCACCCCTCGGATTCCTCAGGTATTCTCCAGTAAAAGGGCTTGGCAGGGACAGTGAAGAGGAGGAGACAGTTTCAGGGTGTTAGACAGTCAATGTGCTCCTGTCTTTGTCATTTTTGCACTTGCATGTGGCAGGAGTGGAGCTGGGTGTGACTCTGTGCAGCACACTGCACTGCTTTGATGTCATTCTTCCTGCTTCTTTTGGTTTAGTCTCCACCCAAAAACCCAGCCCACAGGTATGGCTTTGCTGCTGTCACTCAGCTGCTGTCACGCAGTCCCTACCTCCTCCTCCTCCTCCTCCACCTCCCCCCTCCCTGCTGCATGTGTGTGTTTGTGTGCTGGGTCACTTCTTATTTGCTAAACTCATGCTCCTCCCCACTTTGTCTGTTCTCTGCTGATATGAATTTTGGAAGCAATCACTTGTAGTCTGCCATCCCTGACAGAGTACCTGATTCCTCTTAGCTTCTGGAGTGGGAGGAAGTAACCCCGTTACCCGCTCTCTCTCCTTTGTCCAGGACAACCTCAACGTCTTCCTCAGGGCCTGCGGGAGACTTGGACTAAAGGAAGCTCAGCTCTTTCACCCCGGTGATCTTCAGGACTTGTCCACGAGAGTCACAGTCAAGTAAGTTCTGATCTTGACTAGTCCTTTAAACCTTTGGCTCATCCTTTAAATCCAGAGACCAACCTGTGACTGGTGTTTCCTCATCAGCTGTTAAAGACACAGATGAATGTCAATCAGACACATTATGGTTTCCTGTTGGAAGTCTTTGTACATTTGAAAATCAATGTTTACATGTTTCAAAACAACTCATGCACACACACACACACACACACACACACACACACACACCCACACACCCATTACTTCAGAGCACATGTCGTCTCATGTGAGACATGAATCAAGGGAACTGCTGAGGTCTTTAAAAAAAGGTCAGTGCTATTTCCAGGCTGCGTGGACAGTATTTTTGTGGTGGCGAGCACCTGCTGTAGGACATAGCTCTGTGTTTATGTGTTTCCACGTCATACGACTGAGGTTTGACACGTGAAAGTAAAACGATGAGTATGCAGAATGACTTCATTTTGTTTTTCGGAAACTGAGCAAAATCTTTGTTTTTTAATCAATTTCTTTCTAGTTTCATTTGTCTAAAAAGCATAAACTGTCAGAGTCTCTTTTGTTCCGTGCCTCTGTCATTTGCATGTCAAGCATAAAAGGCATGGAGTATGCAGAACAACCTGTTTAGCTTTTGAACAGGTGTGCCTTGAGGAAGCAGCAGCAGAGATCAGTCCACACATCCTCTCTGAGAAATCCACCGGGTTTTGGTTGAAGTTAAAATAGATTTATATCATTGTTGGACAAATAATAATAGCAGTTGTGCAGTTAAGGTTCAAATTGAACGCATCTCAGTAGTTGTTATTACCCAGATGGGTTATGGTCCATAAATGTCTCACAGAGCCTAATAAAGCGGGTCCCAAGAATGAAGACGACCAACCGCTGTCAGTTAGGTTCTGCAGCAAAACTATTTTCCAGGGAACAGATACCTTGAAACTTTCTCTATCTCTCCTCCAGACTGCAGGTTATTTATTCACTGTTTATTTGACGGATCAGGAAGTTGGCCAGAAAGAAATGCAGTGTAATATTCAGCCGAAACTAGTAAAATACAGCCATAAACTCTCACTGAACCAGAATTTCTCACGTCCATGTCTGTTCTCTGTTCACCAACACTAACACAACATTATTGAAAAATGTACATTTAAATAAAATGGAACACTTCAGAGAGTGAGTCATCTCAATGATAAATCTTAAGGCTCTTATCAAGGCCTTGCCCTTTTTCACCAAAGTTACACTAACATATCATTTGCTAAATGTCACAATGCCATAAATACCAAGATAATCTTTTACAGTCATTTACCCTCTGTATATTATCAAAAATTAACTAGTTTCTATAACCTGGTGAAACTGTAAATGTTCTGAAACTAAAACTTAAGATCATACCTAACAGTAGAGAATTACTGCTGAATTATCTCACAAATACTTTGGTCTGTATTGTAATAACTAAATCTTTAAACTTTCTCCAAGAATTCTAAAGCTACCGTGCTGTTCAACTCTTCTCTCCAATGTTTTCCTGCTATTGCGGATTTAGAAAGACAGGGATTCAAAGTCCTATTCTTAGGACGTGGGAGTCACTTTGTCAGACAGGATTGATTGGAATGGTATCAGCCAGAGTGGACATGAGGTCGTGGTCGTTACACCCCGTAGATTTAGACCCCCGTGAACGTCTAAGTATATCATCGTGGGACCAAAGCCAAAACACCTCCTGAAGTCGTCAGTTTGTTTCTGGGTTGTCTCTCTCAGACAGACGTGGAGACACATCACCTCTGTGACAGAGCTGGTAGAATGGAATGAGCACAGATCAGCCCCAGGCTCTTTCAGAATCACAGACACGAGGGTGTGTCTCTTCAAAGCATCAAAGATGAAAAAACAACCGAATAGTGGGAGTCAAGTTTTAATTCCCAGAAGACACATTGGTGGCGTCTTCGTCAGATGAGTCCAAACTCCTCCTGATGAGACACTTAAGTCTGTAATTTAGTTAGATCTAAAAGCAGCACATGTTAGCGCATCAACGGAACACAGAACAATGGCCTTTGTTCAGATGGAAGTGTCATCGTATGTTGTGTTGAACAACTGCACTGGAGGTCTGACATCACAGTGCTTCTCAATGCTCAATGTGTGCCTGGAATTTGGGAAATGTGCCTTTAGTTTACAAACAAATGGCAGTCTGATGCATTTACTTACACTTAAGATGCAGAGATAAAATGATGTGAACCAGTACTCGATATATAAATATGTGTACATCCACCTGTGGCACAATATAGGCATACATTTATGCAAGTTTAACAAACATCTTATAATTAGCCTAAATAATCGGATAAAAAATGAAAGTATGCTAAAGGAAAGAGAGGCTGATAATAGAGCCTTGCAGTTGCTCACTGTGAAGGTCAGAATTAAAAGATTAAACGTTGTCTATTACCTAGCTCATACGTTAGCCCACACCTTTTAAAAACAATAAAGGTCTCCCCAAACAGCTTAACATCAGCAAACCTTTGGTGAAACACTGACATTCGAAAAAGTCCGGCAAAGGTTAGCCAATCCCAAGACGTGTATAAGCCATACAACCTATTTATGCTAAATAAAAGAAGCCCAATTGGACAAGCCTCTCAGAAGAAATACAACTTCCCAACTGAAACCTAAGATTAGAAAAGAACAGACTAACAATAAAAAAATATATCGCTCATGTTTGCTGAGAACTAAAATCCTTAAGGTGCATGAGAAAATTGTAACTAGATCTTTAATGTTCTGACTTAACCTGAAAAAAGTGAAGAAATTCTATTGGTCTACATTTGATTTGGTTCCCATGTAACCTAACGGACACACAGTACGCACTGATTATTTATAATTTTTCAATTGAAGTAAATCCTTCAGCTGCTGTTACTGTTTTCATCTTGAGTCAGCCTTGAAATATTGTAAAATTGTAGCAACTTTTGTTATTTTTTCTTTCAGCAAATATTTCTCACTGGGAAGAAATATTTAGTGGTCTTTGTGTTTGTGGTCACAATGATGTGGTTTCTCTCCAGCTGTTGTATTTATAACTGTTGGATCACAGAGAGTAACATGAGGACATAATCCCAAACTGGGCTGCAGACGTCCAACCCACCAGTGGAAGCTTTTCACTGGGACTTATCAGAGTGCAGGCAAATGAACACAGAGGGAAAGTAGTTTAGATCAGCTGTCGTTGCCTGTGGTGTGTGTCCAACTGACACTCCATGGAACCCAGTCTGGCAGGTGCTCTCTACTTCATTTCCCTTTTCCCCACATCAGCAGTGAAGGTGTTGCTGATGCTGTGTGAAGGCAGTGTTGTGTAGGAAGAGCAGAACAGAAATAGAAGAATTTTTAGATTGTTGGAAATGTAATGAAATGTTTACTTACCTGCGCATTTACATACATTTACAAGTATGTAAGTAGAAGAACCAGAGGAGAACTAGCATCTAATTTTAGCAACCTACAAATAGTTGTTGATATGGTCTGTGTGATTTTAGACACAATGGCTGACATCTGTCTTTCTTTGCGTTTCTTTGACTAAATTACCAGTATAGAGGGTGTCCTCAACTAACGTCGGGATTCCATTCCTCAACTGTCGCAGTGAGTCGTAACTCACATACTGTACACAAGCACCAGTGTCACTCACACAGTGGTCAGAAGAGTCTGACTTATGCTTAGGAACCACAATTAAGGGCAAAAAGTTCCTAAAAAACAAAATGAAAGTGGGAAAGCAAACGTAGCACAATCCAATGTATGGCGTACAACCGGCTAATGTAAACAAAGGCGTCTTCTGCTTATAAAATATATTATTTCACTGAGCCAAATAAAAGCCTTAAATAAACTAGACACTCTCACAGTTTTAAATGAAAATGAATTGAATGAAGTTCAGTTGAAGATACTTTTGTCCCTAATACGTGCTCAGTCTATTTCACAGACTGCTGGATGTCTTTCCACAGCCATAAAACATTATTTGACGTCTGCTGTGACCTTTGTGCTTTACAACCGTTGTATTGGTCTCTCCACACCATCTGCAGTGCCTGTTGCTCTGTTATAGTTCTGTGTTGTGAAACTCCATCCTCTGATAAAGAGGTTTATCACTTTTAAGCACATTTAGTACCAGAGTTGTCATAAAACAGGACAGACTGAGACCTGCTCTTCTGGAAGATTTCCTTCTCATTACTCACGTGTACAGTCAGACATTGAGTGGCCACGACTGTGTCTGATTTATCGCTGGAGGCTATGATTCACTGGACAACTCTGTGAGGCTTGGTCAGGAAATGATACCAAAACGCCTATAGCAGAAATGCTAGGAAGTTTTCTGCTGGAAAATCATTGTATCTGCCATTTTAATGCATTTGAGAGAGTTACTGTAGCTCAGCCACACAACCAGATGAAATTATGACATTTACACACACACACACACACACACACACACACACACACACACACACACACACACACACACATATATATATATATATATATATATATGTATATATGCTAAACCCTACCATATCAAGCTGGTGTTCATCTTGCAGATGCAAAATGGGGAAGATTATGCTATCAGCTGATATTTAGAATGAAACAGCAGCTTTAAGCAAGATGTATCACTTGATGAAAATAAAAATAAACATCTGCTAATAAAACATTCTTCACTTTTTATACTGCACTGGACAATATTCCAATTACATGGCCGAGACCTGCAGTAACTTTAGATCAATTTAATTGTCAACCTTTTGATAGCGTTGTGTTGACAGTGGCGTTAAATGTCAGCCGATTACTCCACACTTGACCTCCATTAATGTGTTAGCAGTGCCATTTGTCACCAAGTTGACTTCTAAACAGGACGTGTACCATTACAGCTGGAAATGCAGGGAATCTGCCTTACCTGAAATTATATTATATAAAAAATATAAAATATAAAAAATAAAGAAGTAAGAGATAAGTTAAGATTTTGCTAAAATTCAAGCAGGCTGTCCCAGAAATGTCTAAACATAAGCCATAAATATATTAACCATTGGTGA